CTCACAAAGAAAAGAAGTAGCGTCTGAATTTTTTCCAATTTTAATTTAAAAAAAAATAATTTTCATTTTAACAGAATTTGAGTAACAAAAAAAAACAAGATTTTATATTTAATTTACATTATTACAAAATTCAATAAAAATTATCAATAATTGAAAAATATTACGCTATTTGAGAAAATTAAACAAAAAGTTATAATAAAATTGTTACGCTTCCTTTTTTTAATATACAGGGATTAATATTATTGACATAATTTTTTTTTATTATATTTATAAGTGGAGATCGCGAGACGACTTGTCGCATTTCAATTTATTCTTGACACGATTTAGCGTATAAGTTTAAAAGAAAATGTAATACTTTTTTTCATATTTACTAAATTTATGCAAATATATGCAGAGTTTTAATCATCTTTTTTTTCATAACGAATGTTGAATTTACGAAATATTAAGTTACTGTTTTTTACCTCGAAAATAATATTCATAAAATATTTTCCAATAAAAATGTGAGATAAATAAATAAAAAAATTCTCTAACGCAAAAAAACTTCAAAATTCACAACCACTATGGATTTATGTATATATATATATCCACTACTGGAACTTATAACCGGAGGGAAAATCAATATTTCCGTAAAAAGAGAAACACAATAATAATAATAATAATAAACATTTGTAGACATGTAATAATTTATATATAAAAATAACAATTGTAAGGGATTGAAAATCAATATAAAGACCTACCTAAAGGGTGGACATAAAAAAAAAAAATAATAAGAACATTTTAACGATATATAAATATACTGAATTCAATATGTACTATAATTGAAAAATTAACTCACAAACTAAAAAACATTCTGAAATTAAATTATTAAAATATTAAAACAATTAAACAAGTTACCCAAAAATTATAATAAATATATTCTATTCATTTGATGATTTATTCAATTTTATAAAATAATAAATAAAATATATATTTTAATATAATTTTTTTTCTAAATTAGAATAATATTGTTATAATATATTATGTATTATAAAGACAAAAATTTAATAATAACTTAACCAAATTAAAATTAATTTTCGTTTAAAATAATTAGGAAAATAATTTAAAGTAATTAGTTACCGCGTATATAATCAAAAGGGATATTTATAAATTTCACAGAGTTATAATAACTGTAAAATTAAAATAATTATTTGTCGCCATATGTTGATGTATTAATATAGAAACCTTTCACTTTCCCTCTGAATTAATTTTTACAAATAATTAATAAATCGAATCCTAAACATTAAGTATAAATGTCTTTCATAGTAACTAAATTCCTAATTAATATACATTTTTTTGTTTTAAATATTTTAAATTAATTATATTTTTTAAACTAAAATAAAAATTATTTATGTCAGATTATAATTAATTATGACCAATAATTGTAATTAATTATATCTAACCATCTAATCAATTATCACTTAATTAATTTAGATTAGTTTTTAAATTACATTTACATACATAAATAGTAATTAATTTCATCGATTAAAAGAAAACCCGATAACACTCGCAAATATAAATACAGTGGAACCTCGATTATCCGAACCCCTGTTATCCGAACCGTAAAACATTTTATCCGAACTTCTCTTATACGAACTTTTTTTGTCTTTCCGAATCTTAAAATTTATTTTTATATTTTTTTTTTCATTTTTAAAATTTCGTTAAAAAACGAATATGATTCAATTTTCCAAAGCAAAATAACAAAATTTATTTCAAAGAAATCTTAAAAAAAATCGTTTTTTTATTTTTTTAATGTATTTATATCTTAATTATTATTTAATATGTCCACAGAAAATTAAAAGGCATTAAAATAATAAGCGTTGCAGCTTATTTTAATACCTTATAATTTTCTGTGTCTTTAATTTAATATAAATATTTTTTTACATTAAAAATATTACATTAAATTAAATATAACTGTTCCACTGTTTTACTTTAATTAGGTATATAAAAAAATTTGAAATTTCCATTATCCGAACCCGCGGTCCTGTCTATAGTTTAGTTCGGATAATCGAGGTCCCACTGTACAAAGAAAAAAAAGAAAATAAAAATTTATATAAAAATAGAGGAGGACCAAATTTCTATATATAAATTTACAACAATAACTTGCGTTATACAATTTGTGTATATATATAGAAGGTCCCGCGAGCAATAATTGCCAATTAAATAAGGATTTATTAACAATATAAAATGTAAGAAAAGCTCTCCCACTCTCCATTAGATTTTATATCCCTCTTCTCGTTGTATATATCTACAGAAAAAAGAAAAAAAAGAAAAAAAAAAAGTGAAAGAAAAAGGGATAATGGATTCTTCCATTTTCATTTTTTAAATTATATAATATCCCGATCAATTGATATATCATCATCGGCGAGTATACTTTTGCAGTCGACATAAAGATCGTCTTATTCCCTTAAATTGCATTTGAATAAAGCAATTTGTGCACGGACCGTAATCTAATTCAGCCTCATAGCTAGTTTTCAGTGCGCGAAAGCACCAATAAATCAACCAGTTGCGCGGCATCGGCCTAGCACGCCCCTACGATGTAGTCAGATGGGTTAATTTCATTGCCATTCTGGGTTTTACGCGGCAAAAAAGTTTTACGGCTCTGTCTCAACTATAAAGGAATACGTGCTCGGATTTTAGGGTGACAATAATTTTAAATTCGACACCCCTCACCCTTTCACCTTTTTTTTTCTTCCTTCGTCTCCCACAAATGAAATATCTGAATTTAAGAATTATTTTCTTTAACTTAATTACAATTAACATAAATTATCATAATAAACTTTGTTACACAATTTATAAATAAAATATCCCAAGGACAATCTAACGAAATATGTATACAGATAAATATAAGAAATTAAAATATTATTATTATTATCAATAAAAGAATTTAAAAAGCCGTATAATTAAATAAAAAGTTATTATTATTATTGTATTATTTTTTAATGTATATAACAGTAAATTGAAAATGTATAAAAAGAAAATTATGACTTCTATAATTGAACCTCCCAATTCTGTAATTCGTTTAGCGCTCGGCCGGACGCTCTATTGGTAGTCGGGTAGCAGAAAGGGAGCCATTGACGCTCGCTACTACCCGACTACTAATAGAGCGTCCGTCCGAGCGCTAAACGAGTTATAGAATTGGGAGGTTCAATTTCATAAAGTAGAAAAAATTATTGGACGAATTAAAAATTTATTAAATTCATCATATTCTGTAATCTTCAAATAAAAAGATGTTCTAAATTTAAGAATAATTTCTAAATGCTAAATATTATATTCTTAAAGTTAGAATACGTTATTCTATAAGAATACAATATGTTTGCTTAAAAAAATATCTATAAAAAGAGAAAATTCGACAAATAAATTGTATAATATAGTATATTTATTTATTTTTATTCATGTTTTTTTATATTTTATTATATTTCACTCTATATACATTCATTTTTATTTTCTTCTCTTATAATGTACGAAAATTTCTTTTTAATTTTTATTCGAAAAAAAAACAATCTATACCTATAACAAGTAATGCATATCTAAAAATTCATCTATAAAAATGCAAATATGGATGAAATATCTAAAAGCAAGAATCGAAATTTATAATAATATATGATAAAAGAAGGTAGGTAAAGGCAGATGAGACAGCTTTCTAGGGAAACATATCGCTAAACACCGAGCAGCCAAAATGGAAAGCATATATGTATATATATATTTCAAGAGATATTTTTGTGTAAAAACTGTGTTCAATTCAAGTTTTCATTATAATAGCTGTTTCGAAAAAAAAGTTTCCTAGAAAAATATGATGAAGCTTTTAAAAAAAAGTTTCAAATCATTTTATAAAACTGTTGTGCGAAAGTTAAAATAAAAGAGTTCTCTTATTTTGAAAGAAACAAATTTTTATCACACAAAATGAAAACAAATTTTTAAATTCAAAAAAAATTAATAAATATTAATTTTGAATAATGTATATAAGAAAAATTTGTGTTATTAAAAAAAAATTGCAGTATCGATTTTTAAAGCAGATACAACGTTCTGGCTGCATTATTGCTTGTCATATTTTTTATAGTTAAGATTTATATTATTCTATAATATGTTTTTATAATTTTATTTAAAAATGTTTATATATAAAATTTTCTATAATTTTGATTTATAAACAAATTTTGTTTTCAATGAAATTATAAAACCAAAATTAAACAACAAAACAGTATAACTATCAAAATTATAATTATTTATTTTCAAATTATAAAAATATTATACATATAAATATAAACGTAAACACATGTCTTAGAAATTTCAATAAAAGTTGTGAAAAAAATCATTTTCTTTTAATAAATTATTATTAATTTCCAATTATTTTAATTGCATATTTTAAGAAAAATTAACATTTAATGAAAATTAAAATAGTTTTATTCATTTTTAAATCAATTTCTTATTCATGAAACATTTATATAAAATATAATTTTCAAAAAGAAATTATTAATTTATGAAACGATAATAATTGAAAATAAATTTTTATATATTATCTTTTAAACAAATTTTTAAAAAAATTAAAATCATTAATAAACAAATAATAAAATTATTAACTTACAAATCGTAACTATAAAAAAATGTTTAACAATACATTTAAAACTCTATAAAAAGTTGTATTAACAAATTAATTTATAATATTAAATTATTAAAAAATGAATTTTTTTTTTCATTAAAAATGAATTACTAAATAAATTAATTATTCAAAATAAATTTTTAATCAGAAAAAAAGCGTGAAACTTATTAAGAATTTTTTACAAAAGTAAAAAATACATTAAATTTTTGTAAAATTTAAATAAACTTGTTTTTTTGTAATGGGTACATTTTTTGATAAATGTATTATGATGTCGCGCTCGCGAGGTGTACACGCATGTATAGAATGTACATGTACATCGAGTTGAAAATCGAAACATCTACGCGGACATCTAAAACAGCTATCTCACCGCCTGCCACCAGGGCCTTCGGCACTTGAAAATTCACAACAGAAGTTAAATAATTATCGTTTATTATTAAAAAAAATATTTACACCCTATTCACGTTTACTTTCTCTCTAAATAACCTAAAAACAAAAATAAAATTCGCGATATTATAAATGCACTAGTTCTCGTCGTGCTTATTGTGTGTTATATGCTTCACCAAAAGATGTTACCTAGCGTGGCTCTAGTGCCACCTGATAGACCCTGAGAAATCCGCGAGAAAACTGGAACTTCCTTCGACCATGCGCGAGAACTTTAATCGAATTTCGTCGCTTACGGTAGCGACAATGGACCACTTTCCACCCCCTCAGGATGCAGTAACACATTGTCACCGAAAATTGATATATCAAATATAAAATTATTGCCCTCTAACTTTCTAAACTGCTCTAACTCATTTAAGTATTATTCTTCATCTATAATTATTTTAAAATAAATTTAATTCTAAAAAAAATAAGGAATACCTTAATATTTTCATTGTTATTAACATATTGTTATTCTGAATTCTAACTTTTTCTCATTATTTAACCAAGTAATTTGTCCTTTCTTTATTAGACAAAGATTAAAACAACTGAATTTTAGCATAATAAAAGGCTAATTACGTAACAAAACAATGGTAATTATGCAAAAGAGGTGCTAAAAAAAAAAGAAACAACTTTTTGCATCACTATCGATTTTTAAAAAAGCAAACAGCGACAACTATAGGTAAAGTCTTCAACTTCCGGCCTTTCATCAATTTCAAGTGCGGATTTACGAGAAATTTATCATTATTTTTACAAGGTTTTTATCGTAAAATCGAGGACAATATCGATCCTCGATACATAATTAATTATAAAAAATAAGAATACACTTACTTGAAAAACATTTTACCAGTGATATTTAAAAGCGAAGTGTTTAAAGGATTGGTTGTCACGTGTTGAATTTGTGAGAACAATGGCAGGTCCGGTGAAAAAACGTGAAATTCAACAAAATTTTGGCAAAACTAGCGATGATGAGAGTGGTAATTCATCTGGAAATGAAGAAAATGAAAATATAATCTCAAAGGAGCAGGTAATTAACAAAAATTTTCATGTAAAAATTGCCATGACGTTGTTAAAAGGCATTCTAACCTCAATTTTAAGCATGGGTCATATTTGTCTCGATTTACTGTTTCAATCAACATTTTTTTTGCAATTTTTCGCCTTTTAACAATGAATGAATATTAAAATATCATTAATTTCATGTGATATTATCTATCTAATTAAAAACTACTGTAAAACTAATTTATTTTGCCTCGTGCTCTAAACTTAAACTTTACACAGCGCATAATTGTTGCGCATTGCGGGTTATCTATTTGCAGGGATTGTAAATTTGAAAAAAAACGCGGGAAGTTTATATGAAAAAAATCTTTATTAAACGTTCAAGTTACTAATATGTAATTAATATATACGAATTATTTATATATAAATTTAATCAGTATTAAATGATTTATTTCGAATTTCAGGGAATGGAAATCACTGTCGATTTTGAAGGACGAAGTCCAACAGATCCTGATTTCCATGGGATCAAAACTCTTTTGCAACAGCTTTTCCTAAAAGCACATGTAGATTTAAGTAATCTCGCAAATTTAATAATTGAACAAAATTACATTGGATCAGTAGTGAAACAATCACAAGATGACGCAGCGTCTGATGATGAAGACGATGACGATGACATCAACGATGTTTTTGGAATTACAACTGTAATAAATATTTCCAATAGACAGGTATTTATATTATTCTTTAATCTCTAACTTTTTCATTAATTTTTTTTTTATTTTAATATAATTGAATTAAAAATGAAAAATATTCAAATAATTATCTATTTATTAAATATAACTAGGGAAATATTTTTCAAAACAATTTTTAATTAAAAATTAGATTAATTGAAATTTAAAAAAAAGAAACCAATTAAAATTAGAAGAAAATAATGTGAAACTAATTATTTTGTTTCAGAACGTACAATGTATTCAACAATTGCGCGATTTATTGAAACAAATGTCAAATGATCATGCAACTGACGCAACTAATACAATGATTAAAAATGTCCTTGAAAATGATTCCGCTCCACTTGGTTTATTAATTAATGAACGTTTTGTTAATCTTCCTGCACAAATTTCCGTTCCACTATTGGAAAATTTAATTTCTGAAATGAAACGTGCCACAAACAAACGAATGCCATTTGAATTTTCACATTTTATATTGATTTGTAAATTATACAAACCAACCGAGGAAGATGTGACAAAGAAGAAAAATAAAAATAAACGAAGAAACGCTAACGAAGAACCAGAAGTATTTTGGAGTAATCCTGAGGAGGAACTTTTCAATGAGGAAGCAACTTGTAGTTTTGAGTTTTCTGTCGAATTGGAATCAGACAGTGGTCTTTCCGGTGCATGGACTGAATCTGATAAAGAAATGACTCCATACAGACGAGTTCTTTTGTTCGATGCCTCGAAACTTCAGACAATTGTCGATAAGATAAAGCAAGAAATTCAATAAACAATCTTTTGCAAAAAAAAACTGGATAAAAGAAACTTGTACTCTTTCAAAAAAAAAAAAAAGAAGAAACTAATCCTATTTAAACATTTATATGAATCTTTCTTTGTAAGAAATCCAAAGAATTTCTACGTTTTGATACGGATACTCGTAAGTTTTATATTTTAATTAAAGCAAGAAAGATTTATCTATTATTAATATGCTTGAAACTCTGAACGTTCAAATAAACGATTTTTTTTAGAACTACTACTATGAAAAATATGAAATAGTATCCCTTTTTTGTAAGGGAATATTTTTTAAATATTTAAATTAAAAGGAGTAGTAAGCATATATTTTTTTTATTTGAACGTTCAGAATATTGCAGAACACCAATATTTTATATATATATGGAAAAATAAATTATTTTCACAACGCGTTTATAGTAATTTCGATATATATAAATATATATGTTATGTATACGTTGAAGAATATAAAAAGCTTTTATACTGCTTCTCGTAAAAAGGAAAATATTTATTTTTAGACCTTTATCTTCTAGTAGAAAATTCGAGTCTCTGTACTATGTAATGTACAATGTAAAAAATAATTATTTACTGCATTTTTAAATGCAACTAAATTATAAAATTCTTTCTTTTTTTAATATTCCTTAACCTAAGGATCTTAATTACTTATTATTATATTATTATTATTTGTAAATTCTTGGCACGAATGTTGTAAAATTATATGAAAATAACATTATGACTGATCATTTGATATTTTGAAAGACTGTCTTAATGGCTTTGCTCGTCTCCTCATGGTTCCTAAAATATTTAACATTTCGGAAACTGCTGGCGGCTTTTCTGTTTCTTGCTTTCGCTTTCGTTCCTCCTCTCTCTCTTTCTATTACACAAAAATATATATGTATAAACTAAATTTTCTATGAAGTACATTATAATTTTAACTCTTAATTTAATAATGGTTAAATAATGTAAATAATAATAAACTTATAGAATGTTATTAAAAAAAAAATTTTAATCCAAGTTTAAAACTTTTTCTAGTAAATAAAATTTCTAATATAAAAATTGACTTTTTTAAATTTCTATTTACTTTAGTAAACATACCTCTGTGTGCTTGAGAGTAAACCTTCCCCCTTTTATTTGGTTAATGATGTCATCAATTGCTGAAACAATGCAAATATTACTTTCGCTCGTAAATCATAACATTAAGATTACATTTGAATTATGAAATTGCAAGAAATTAATTAAATTTAATTTTTTTCAAAAATTACAAAAAAACAAAAATACCTGGTTGCTGTGGAATCGTAGTCGGTTTCTTGGTGATGCCGAGTATTTTTTCCATATCATTAACGGCCGATTCTCTTTCGTGACTTAATTTCTCTCTAGTAATTAATTTAAGGGACGATTGATTATTGGAAAACATTGGTGGTGGTGGAGGTGGAGGAGGAGGAGGTGGCGGAGGTTGATTCCGTTTTGCCTCAATCACAGTTATTTTGCTTTCCAAATCTTTCACGACTTCCTCTAAGTTTGCGGCTCTCTTTTCAGCTCTTTCCGCTTTCTGCATAACCATCTCAAGCTCCGACTCGGCGAGTTTCAGCTTTTCTTCGACAATTTCAAATTCTACATTCGACTCCTTTTCCTCTAATTTATCATGAAGAAGTTGAATCTGAGTTGCGTGGCTCTGTTGCTCTTCTTCTAATAGTCTTTTCAAAGATTCAACTTCTTGAAGTACGGTCATCATCCTTCCTCCTGGCTCGTCGCCTATTTCTGCCATAAGAAGCGCCGATTGGTGTGCAAGAATATTTCTCTCCTTTTGAACCTAGAATATTAATAATTTCTTTTTTTTATTTTTAATTTCAAGTTTTTTTCCCCCAACCATTGAATGTTATTTACTATAATTTTAAACTATTTTAAATGTACTTATTTTTCAAATACAAATTCAAAATTAAATCTTTTTAGTTTATAATATAAACTTACTCTGTCGGCTTCAATTTTCATCATTTTAGCATTTTCCCTCTCATTATCACATTGAGTTTTTAAGGTTTGCACCTCTTCAGCTACCATTCTTGTAATACGTTCCAAATTGTCTTTTTGCTGTTTTAATTCTCTCATTTTTTCTTCCTCTGCGAATACATAAAAAGAAAAGGAATAAATTCAACAATCATAACTATAAGTGAAAGCAAAAAAAAAAAGTTTTTAATAAACTCACCACTTTGACGGGCTATTCTTTCATCTTCGAGTTGAGAAGTTAAAAGTATAACTTGTTCTTGTGCTTCGAATTCTTGTAAACGAGCTGAATTTAGTTCTGTTTGTAATTTCGCAACTTCCTGGCTTAAGTCTAAAATAAGAAGCTTATTTGAAAAATTAATTGTATTGAATTATTTAAAGAAAATAAAAAAAACAGACAAAAATAAACTGATAATTATAATTTATCGTAAATAAAACAATAAACAATTCTAATTTACCTAATCAAATTTATAATTCATTCTATATTTATGATATTTAAAGAAAATCTGAGAGAATTTTCAAGGATAATTATTTCGTTTACAGTTGAAAAAAAGAAATGTTCTAAATTTAGAGAAATGAAAATAAGTGAAAAGCCCTTTAATATACCTCGAACAGTTTCTCGAAGTTGTTCAAGATCTTCGTTATTTGAGTCAACCTCATCGGATAAATCGACATCCGGCAGTCCTTCCGGATTCGATTCCAATATCTTTTGTGCTATCACTTGAGACCTTCTCTTAAGTTCCCGATTCTGTCTGTACCACTAAAAGAACAAAATCGATGAATTACAAACTAACGTATAGTGATAAAATAAGGGACAAGTGGTAATGTTGTATACGTAAAGTAATCCGCTTTAACATCACGGAAGTATTTGTAAGTATATACATATATATATTCGCCCTACTTGAGATGCTTGCTGCATAGCTTTATGCATTGCTCCTGTCTCGACGTCATATTGCCTCTTAAGCTGCTCATATTCTTTACAGACCGCCTCGGAAACTGTAGAAGGAAATACGTTATTTGTATGATAAACAGAAATTTCTTTAAAAAGCAATGAACGAAGCCATGACATCTTAAAATTTTAAAAGGAAATCTTAACATATTTTTCTTCATTCATTATTCAGGTTAATTTTTCCTGACTACAATAATAATTTAATTTATCAATCATTTGTTTTATGAATTCTATTTTTGTCAAATTTTAATCAGTTTATATTTAAACTTGATTTATTATGCATAATGTATGTATTTAGGTTTCTGTTTTTTTTAATTCTATAATAAATTTCTGTAAGTCATTAATTAATTTCTTCATCAATTTAAAAAATTTAAAAAAAAAATAATAGTAATAATAATTAATAATAATAATAATTATTATTAATAATAATTAATAAAATTAAAAATTAAAATTTTTAGTAATTATTTAAAACAAAATTAATTACCTGTCCGTAATTTTTGTAGTTTTTGCTCCTTATCGTGCACTTGTGATTGAAGATTACTGTTTTGCCTCTGCAATTGTTGATACTTCTTCCCTAAATCGGAATTTTCTTTGTTCACTGAAATATAAAGATTAGATCAAATTAAATTGTTTAAAAATTATTTCTTCTTTCTTTTTGAAAAATATTTTTTACTTTAAAACTTAAGAAAAAACAATTTTTTATTCTATAAAACGTTAGTTTATCATATCACTTAAAAAAAGTTATATAAATATTCATAAAAAAGAAAATTATTTCAATTATATTTTTATAAATGTACCTTTTCAAAAAATTGTAACAAATTGAAAAAATGAATGAATTTTTAAAAATAGATTACAAGAATATCTAAATGAAAATTTTTGTTTTCTTAAACTTTAAAAATTTCAAGTACAAATGATTCATCTTATTATAATAAATTATAATATGTAGAGTGTTGTCAGAAGGGCGTAATTGGTTTTCAAAAATGCAATAGATAGAATCACATGATTACGATCACGTTATGAATATCAAGTACCTACGTTAAAATTTATTCTTTTACATTGACACAATTTACTTGATATATTTTATACATCTTTTCAGTACATTTTTAATTAATATTTAATTATTCTTTTAAATTATCATGGATTTACATTTATATCTTCTGTTATTTTTCAAATTAGGTTTTCTTCAATTTAAAAAATTTTTTTCTAAATATTATAATAAAATGAATTAAATTAAAGAGAATTAAAATATTAAATTTATATTTGTTATTAAACTAAAATTAATAGAACTTTAAAAAAGATATAAACTGAAAAATAAAAAAAATTAGAAAAAAATATTGATACTTAAATGTAAATATGTTTTACTTCTGAAAAGCTCAATGTACTTAAATACAAAATTAATTCCGCTTCATAAATGAATTACAAGAAATATGATTAAATTGATTTTTTTCACAATGAACGGAAAACTGATAATAAGGAATTAAATTTTAATTATAACATATCATTTATAAATTGACCACACATGAACTGTGTGACTAATCTTATACAACATTGCTTCTTCAATCTGCATATGAGAATGAATCATTATAATGACCAAGACGCCTGTAGCAATTTGTAACCATGAACTATAATTTTGATCTGTGCCCTTTTACCATATAACTAATGCGACTTACTCAAATGGAGGTCAAAATAGCCAATTAACACTTTACATTTAAGATTTTCAATTAATCAAACACATTTTATATTGCTTATTAGAAAATTATTTTTGTCTTGGATATTTTTTGAAAAATTTTTAAAATAATATTACTTTCTTAGGAAGGAAATTTAGTTTATAAGATTGATGACTGAATATACGACGTAGAAACTAAAGAATTGAAATCAAATTTTTAAAATAATTAAATTGGAAAAATAAATAAATAATAAAATAGTGTTGGCTAATTTACGTTTAATTTATATTGAAAATAAAATTTTGTCATTATTTGTTGAAAACAAAATTAGGAAAATGTTCTATTTAGTAATTATTATAAAATTAAAATAAAAAATAAAACTTCTTTACCAGATTCGCTTCTTTGTAGCAAAAGTTTCCTTCGCTTCTCCGAGTCCTCGTATTTATTTTTCCATTTATTCTCGAGAAAACTATTGCTTCTATTTAAAGTGGGACTACATGGACTATTCAGTCGTGAATTATTTAATTTAGGACTGAGTGGACTATTTAATTTTGAACTGTATTCAAATTTCCTCGCAGGTGATGATCTCCCTTCAGAATGTCGAAGTTCAACATTATTTGATAAATTCAAATTATTACGAATCTTTTGACTAGCAGCATTGGCATCTAATTTTTCAAAAGCCGCACGTTGTGCCGCCACTGATATTGATTTTGCCGATGATGATTTTTCCAATGATCCACGTCTTGGTGGTAGGCGGTCATGCAACTTCATTGTTGTACTCGAAATTTTTGGAACCGGAATGTGAGAGTGATTCATGGTTGTGGAACTTCTCGGGGATTCCGCCCGCAGGACAATATTCAATTCTGCTTTGTTCATCTTTGTATATCCTTGATCCTATCTGAAATCATACATATATATTTTAGAATATTAATAAATTTTCAACTGTCGACATTAATTATTATACACAAATGTTTATAGATCTCGCGTAACTGATTGTGATTGTAAATTTTACTTTAATATTTATTTATTACTACGTTCTTATCTTGATAGTTTTTTTTTTAATATCATCGCAATTAATCGTGTAGAATTATTCACAGATTGTAAATTATACACAAAAATTTGATTTCTTTTAGTATTTTAAAAAATAAATTTTTACGGCAATAAACAGGAGATTTTAAATTCGATTGAATCAGAGAACAGAGTGACTTATCGATTGCTTTCGCGGGGTCAAAGAACCATAATCAGTGCGCAAAAAAAATATATATTTTATACGTACAGGATGTTTGCCTTTTATTTTATTACCGTGTCAATTTTACCAATTACTTTAGTTTTATCTTACGTTTAAATTACTTTAGATGTTTTTCTGTTTAAAAATTTTTTATTTTCAATTTCAAAAATTGACAAACTTTAATGAAATGAATAGTAAAATTTAAAATAATTTATTTTAAATTAATAATAATAATATTATTATTAAATTAAAATTTTCTAGTGTTAAAATTTATGTGACACATGTTAATTAATCAAAAATTACCATTAAATTAGTAGTATTTTAAAATTATTTCTGAAAAAATGTTAAGTTTTTTTTATTAAACTTTTCAATCAAGAAAATAAATACTTTAATTGTCAAGTTTGAAGAAATATAATTATTATTTATAATTTGGTCACAACTTCAAAAACAGTTTTTTTTAACTTTATTGGGGGATGGAGGAACCCAAACATTTCCACCCAACCGCGCGCACTTTCCACGAAGGGTTAATAACTTGCTGAGTTCTCTAAAAATAAATTTATCAGACTTGCCCCCCTAGCTAGACAGCGTTCGAAATAGCTACTCTGTTAATCTCTACACCATCTGTTTCCATAATTACACATTTTTTCCAAAAAAGGAAAATAAAAAAATAATATAATAGTCAAAACTTTTCAGATAATTAAAAGTGAATTCTTTTTTTCGAAAATAATTATTATCAAATTTTTTAGAGAAAATGTTACGAAAAAATTTGAAAATTAAAATTTATTTAATTAAACATAATTTTTATATTCTCATCGTATGTGATAAGATATTCAATTTACAATAATTTTTTGAACTGAAAATTTTTAAATTATTATATTAAAAATTTATTAAAGAAATCTACCACATTATTAAATATTTCCTTCTTTACATTAAGGAAACTGACATAACTATTAAAAATATGATTGATTATTGTAATTGTTAATCCCGTCACGTTTTATTAGAATTTTCAAGTCAATCATTGATATTTACCTCCTTTAAACACGTTTAAAATAATAAAATCCTTGAATCACGACAATCCTTAGACCACACACACGATGAAAAAACTTGTTTTTCATTCAAATTAAATCGAATTGGTTTTCATTTTTAAAAACGTTTAAAACAATAATTTTTTCTAGTTTTTTTAAAAAAATAATTGTCATTACATTGTAAAATTGTAAAATTTTGAAATTTCACGTTTTATAGAAATTTTTACATAATGTCACGGTTAAGAATCACTTTCACTATATAGACATTATTTGTCGAAGATTGTTCAATGCTATATGGGAGTTTTAGAAGTGGCGCGAAAGGCTTCAACCGCGGTCGAACTACGACTGTCACTAATTCTCTGTAATTTTACGTTATCTTAGAGAGCTGCGTTCCAATGCCATGAGGGATACTCAAGAATGTGTGCCATTTAATTCAAACTCCTTTACATATACATATACGTAAGCGCACTAGTTCGATTTAATTTTACAAAAAAAAGAAATTCCCACCTGTAGACAAAACAATTTCGAAAAAAAATTTGCAAAGTTTTAGAAAAAAAAAGCGAAAATAAATTTTCAACATCAAGGAAAAAAATCTGAAACAAAAAAGTTTAAATATAATTTCAAACATTAAAACGTATTAATTTTAATTTTTAATTAATAATTTAAAATAATTAAATTTGAAAAGTCGAAGAAATGTTTATTTAATATTTATATTATTGCGAGACTAGGATTATCTTCTTTTTTTTGTAGGAAGAATTATCCCTGACATGAATTAATATTAAAATTTTATAGAACAATAATGTTAAAGCTTTTTGAATGCAAAAATTTTGCGTATAAAGTGAGTCTTGCGCGTGAGAGTACAAATTCAATAGTTTACTGGAGAGAATGCAATTTATGTGGTTTAGCCTTCAGAAAATTACTCGACGGATTTGGCGACATTCATTTAAAATCATGAAATTGCAGCCCACACATTGCATTGTTTGTACAATTAAACAAGTCTGAGTAAATTGTCATTGTTAGTTGACATGCTTCATTATTAATTAAGCCAATTAAAATTTACTAATTGAGCTGAGAATTATGAGTTATTGAACTGACTTTATATTGTATACAATAATAATTATAGAACCAATTTTTTGAAAAGAACAATTTTTTATAAAAATTGTTTATGTTTCTAATATTTTTTTTTTAAACTTTTAACTTTTTCAGTTTTCCACATGGTTTTTTATTCCTTTATTTTTATTTATTATTTAATTTTTTGTTTTTGAAAAATGAAATTGAAATAAATTTATATTAAAAATTAAATTTTCTTCATGTTAGAAGAGATTAAAAAATTCCTCAAAGAATTTTAATGAATTTTTTTTTTAATTATTAAAAGACAATTATAAAAAAAAATTAATAAAAGAAACTAATTAATTAGAACCTATTTACAAAAGTCTTTTCAATAATTTAAAAAGAAATCAGTTATTTTTCTATAATAATTTCGATTGAATAAATAATTCTTATAATAAGTTTAATGAAAATAAATAATTACCGTTAAATAAAATTGAAGAAATCACAATATCGATCCTTAGTGAAGGTATAGATAAGAAGAAGACACTTATTTGTTGACGATGATTTATAATAAAATAATTCAGAATGTGGAACGATGGATTAGTTTCTTATGACATTGTATTCTCACACCTGTAGCACCTTGATAATACCTGTACACATATTAGTCATCACTTGTGAATAATCATTTCTGGAGTTTTTATTCGATTTCAAAGTAACCATAACCGCATCCGGTGACAGATGTAGAAATAAATTTTACATTATCAAAGGAAATAAACTTTCTTGGCTTTTCCTTATGATGATCAACATCGGTCTGTAAATAATAAAATATTCAATATCACAATACTTTCTTTATAAATATAGATTTTAAAAATCAAAATTTTACTTTATTTTAAGTTTCTTTTGCTTTGAAAATATTATATAGAAAAGAATATTTTTTTTTTAATTTTGAAACAAGAAAAACTAATAAGTTATCTTCTTAATAAAATTTCAAGAAAAAAAAGGTACATATTTTTTTTACCGAAAGAAAAAACGAAAACGATGAATGACGTATCATGTATACGAAAATACTAATATAAACTGAACACAAGAAACGCAATACAAGTGCAAAAGTGAGTTGTACTTTCACAAGTGAAGAGTTTTCGCAACGTAGAATCGATGATATACAGAAAAGGTTTTTTTTTATTTACTTGCCTTTTACTTCCTGAGAATATGGTATATCTATTCTGATCTAAAACAAAGATGAGGAATATGAAAATAAATAGAAATATCTTGACAAAAAGTAGAGAAATGTATATATTTATTTAATATATATTTTTAATGAAACATTTTAAACATCTACAAATATTATTTATTAATATTTATCCCATTTAATATAAACAAGTATACTAAGTAAACTAACAAAATGAAAAAATATAATAATGAAAATTATATTTTTATTTTAAAATCTACTCTAAGTTTTTCGCAACTAAAGTCATTTAACATTTGCCATCATCATCTTAAAGATGATCTATTGTCTTAAATTATTAAGCCTTCATTATTTTTCTCACTATATAAAAAAAACGTGACTCATGTCAATTGCAATGTACGCGAATTACGAAAAGTTGAATACAAAGTGACTATCAAAAAGAAAATGATTACGTTAACTTTTTTAGAAAAAAAGAATTAATAAGTTATAGTGTTAATAAAATAATAACAATAAAAAATATCACTTATACATATTAATTTGGTTAATACTTAAAATATTCATTTAATGAATTTAAAAATTAATGCAAATATGTAATTAAAATGTCTTTGAGTCAACAATTGCGTCTATATTGTTGTGTGTTATTGTTATCAAACAAGAGAATAAGAACGTTTAATTTATTAACATTTAATTAAACGTTTTATTATGATTCAATGATTAGTTATTAAAATGAAGAGTTGTTTCTTTAAAAGTATTGTCATGTTTTGTAAATGATAAAATTTTGTTTTTGTTTAAAAATACAAATTTTTAAATAAAACCTCGTTCAAGCAAGTATATTTTTAAAAATTATTTCTACTTAATTTTAAAAACAGCTACATAACATACATATATATCTTTAAGAACGTAATAATCACGTTTTGTAAATATATGTTTATTGAATAATAATAAAATATCAATTTTCGCGTAAATATATAATTACGCACAAAAAAAGTTACTGTTTGTTTTGATAATTTTTGAGGTTAAAAGGTATCAATACAAGAAAATTTTTAAAAATCTTCAGAATTTATAAAAATCATAAAGTCTAATGGTGTGCATGAAAGTAGAACGCTATTATTTAATTAAAGAGAGTGAAAGTTGAAGAAAATTTAAATACCTTTTGGTATAAATCTTGGAGAATTAGAGGGATCGTACATACACAACTAAAAAGGCAGCTGGTGAAACGTCAACAAACTTCAACAACTAAATTATAGTATTATCACTATATCCAGAACAATAACAATATTTCTTTAAATACAACTATACAAAGAATCCGTTACACGACGTTTTGTTTGAACCGCCTTGATCGTGGGTGATTGTGGGAGGAGAGTGATTCTCTCTTGCGTGCTGTCTTCCCAGCTGTTAAATCTAACCTCAAAATTCAAGAGAGTGATTCTGACGTTTCCAGAATGGATTTTTTCTTAGAACATTGACAATCTTTTTTTTAGCAAAGTGAATATTAGGTTCATAATTAGTGTACGAAAATTCATTTAAAATGGGAAATCAACTAGTAGGAATTGCACCAAGTCAAATATTTCCTGTTGAACATTATTTGACAGATCACAGTGATTTGCTGTTTGACATCAGGTATAAATTTATATATCAACAATCACTTTTGTTTATCTTATTTGACAAAAATTCTATAGTAAAAATACTTTTTATTATTTATTTACTTTAAACAATACATTGTTTATTGTGTATACGAATGTAAGATATAATTTTACCATTGTTGACAAATATCTTTAATATAGTGATATCATAAAGACATAATTAATTAATTAATTTTAATATTTTATTTGATACTAATTTTAATTATATTAACTTAAATATGTTAAAAATTCACGCACATTATTTATGTGTAGTATATATTTAATTTATTGGTCTATATATAATTATAAAAAATTGATATATTTCTTTAATTTTAATACAAATGAAAAAATAATATTTTAATAAAAAAAATAATAATTTTCAGTCTGGGAAGCACGAGATTTTTCAAAGTGGCTCGAGCTCGTAGTCAAGAAGGATTAATTGTTGTTAAAGTATTTGCCATTCATGATCCAACTCTGCCTTTGTCTGCTTATAAAGATAAATTAGAGGAAATTAGATCGAAATTAGCTTCCTCTGTTAATTGCTTATCATTCCAGAGGATGGTAGTATGTATAATCTTTATTCAAAAGTTAATTTTATTTATTTCCTAGAATTCACTTTCAAGATTTAATATTTTAAAGACTTTTTTTTAATATTTACATTATTTCATTTATTTTTTAATTTTATCAATTTTTGTATACTTATATATTGTTTAATATATTTTCTAATTTATTGATATTTATAGCTAACAGAAAAAGCTGGATTTATAATGAGGGAATATGTGAAATATTCTCTTTACGATCGGATTAGTACAAGACCTTTCTTATCTAGTATAGAGAAAAAATGGATAACTTTCCAGGTCCTTTATGCTCTCCATCAAGCACACAAAGTAAGTTAATAATATTAAATTTAATATTAAAATATTTTAATTTCGAAAATTTTAAATGATTAGTCATTAAATCAAAAAAATAATTATTAAATAAATGAATTAATATAAAAACTCATAGTTTGGAGTATGTCACGGAGATATTAAATTAGAGAACATAATGATAACAAGTTGGAACTGGGTTTTATTAACTGATTTTGCAAGTTTTAAACCTACATATTTACCAGAAGATAATCCTGCTGATTTTTCATACTTTTTTGACACGTCTAGAAGAAGGTAAGAATTTTATATTTTGTTGAATAACTTTTTACTATGTATGAAAAATATGAAATTAAATTCTGAAATAAGTGTAATTTAATTTAAACGATTAAATTAATATTTAATCGGATTGTTGTTTTAATTAACTAAAATAATAGATAATTATTGTTAATGAATATTATTCGTAATTTCAGAACTTGTTACATAGCACCAGAACGATTTGTTAAAACACTTTCTTCAGAAGCGAGCAATACAACACTTTTACTTCCAGAACAAGAATTAAAAACAGGAGATCTTAATCCAATGATGGATATATTTGCTGCAGGTTGCGCCCTAATAGAACTTTATAACGAAGGTCATCCGCCATTTGATTTTTCTCAGTTATTAGGTGAATATTATTATTTTTTTAAATAATTTTTTATCTAATAAGCTAAAATTTCATTAATATTCTAGTTTTTACATTTTTTTTAATTACGTTTTATTTATTTTTTAAAGCATATCGTAGCGGTGAATATTCAGCGAATAAACATCTCGATAAAATTGAAGATATCGGAGTTAAGGAACTTTTGGCCTCAATGATAGAAAAGAATCCCACAAAAAGAAAAAGTGCAGAAATTTATCTTTCACAAGCACGTGGTAATATATTTCCCGAATATTTTTACTCATTTTTACAATCGTACATGTTAATATTTTCCGCTGCACCAATTCTCTCGCCTGATGAAAAAATTATTAGACTTAAAAAAGACATTGAATATATCATTAACATATTAAAGACTGAGGAGGAGGAAAAAAATGTTGAAATTAAAAGAGAAATGAAAAATGAAGCCAAAAAGGATGATGATCAAAATAGTAATATAGTAGTGATGGATAGTGACAGTGATCATCAGAATTTAGAGATAAACGACGAGTCTAAATCTTATCTTGATTCAAAATTAGAGAACCAAAGAAGCATTGAGGGTGAAAATTGTTTAAATGAAGAAGAATTGGAAGGGGAAAATGAAAAATTAAAAGATTCAAGTAATTACATGGAAAATTTGGAAGGATTAGTTATTGTTACACAACTTGTAACTTCGTGCATTAGAGGTTTACATCATTCACAATCAAAATTACAAAGTTTAGAAATATTATTGGAACTTGCAAAAAATACATCGGATGAGACTATTTTAGATCGGATCTTGCCTTATATTGTAAGTTTTTAATAATAATATTTTTAATTAAAATTATGTTCTAATTTTTTTTATCCAGTATTGTAAACTAACAAAAGTATTTTAAAAATATAAATTATAATATAAATTTAACAAAATAATAAAATTTCAATGAGGTTAAATATACGATCTAATTTTTTTTATATAGTTTCAATTGGTGCATGATCCAGCGTCGAGAGTACGAGTTTCGGCAATTCACACATTAACAAAATGCCTGTATCTTGTTAAATCAATTCCCCCCTCGGACGTAAATATATTTCCAGAATATATTTTACCAGGTTTGGCTCATCTCACACAGGATGAAGCAGTGATTGTGAGGGCTGCTTATGCCGAAAATATTGCACACTTGGCACATATTGCTTTGCGATATTTAGAAAATTCACATGTTTCAAATTTAGGAAATAAGGAAGGTCCCAGGCCGAGTTACGACAGTGAACTACAAACCTTACACGAAATGGTAACGAAAATTTTAAACCTTTCTATTTTAAAATTTATTTTTTATTCAATTTAATCAAATTTCTTTTAACATTAAAAAAAATTCCTATAATTTAAATAATATTTGTTAATAATAATTTAATCTATGTATTTTCAAAACAATTAAGTTAAAAATTTTATTTTCTGTTTTGAGAAAATAATTTTGTAAATTAATTGATGAACGATTTTTAATTTATGATTAAATTATTCAAATATACAAAATAATCTTATTTATTTAGGTTCAGCAATCTGTGTCAATGTTGTTAACGGACCCACAAAATTTGGTGAAACAAACATTGATGGAAAATGGAATCAATAAACTGTGCGTTTTCTTTGGTAAACAAAAAGCGAATGATGTTTTACTTAGTCATGTTATAACTTTTCTCAATGACAAAGAAGACAAACAATTGCGAGGATCATTTTTTGAATGTATTGTGGGTGTTGCTGCTTATGTTGGATGGCACAGTAGTCCAATTTTAATGCCTCTCCTTCAGCAAGGATTAACTGATCCCGAAGAATTTGTCACTAGAAAAGCTATTAATGCAATGGCCACTCTTACCGAACTTGGACTTCTTCATAAATCGGCGCTCTATTCACTTTTGTCGGAAACTGTCATTTATTTGGTAGATAATTTGCTTAAATTTCTATTTACATTCAGTAATTAAAATTTCTTTAAAATTTCTTTAATTTTATGGAGATTTTTAAAAATTAAATTTACTAAAATTTTTTTAATTAATTTAGAAATAAATAAGTAATTTTAATTCTTTAGGAGAGACATTGTTTTTATTTTTAAATTTTTTCTCTCCAGGTACATCCAAATCTTTGGATAAGGCATGCGACTGTAGGATTTATTTCCGCTGCAGCCAGAACGTTAAATATCGTTGATGTTCAATGTAAAGTGCAAACAATAATTATGCCGTATTTAAAACATCCTATTATTCAAATTGAAAAAGAAATTTTACTTTTGGAAGCATTGGTTGGTCCCATTCCGCGAGTTGTTTATGACTCAATAATCAAATACAACGATGTAGAAGAATTGTTTAGAACTTTTGAACAAAGACAAATTGCAAGAGCAAAAGCAATCACCGGAATTGTTCCTCATTACAATGACATGAGTAATTCCTTGCGAAATGTAAGTTATTATAATTTTTATTTTACAAATATTTATACAGAAAATAAAGTAAATAAGTCAAAATTTTATTTACTTGCGTTACTATGTTTGGTTGTTGTTTTAGCTTTTCAGGCGCTTAAGTTCAGAACACATGACAGAAACAGTTGAGGATCAACTAATTGTTATGAAACCTCATTTAATAAAAATCAACAAATATCGCAATTTAATGGAGGCGAAACAAGGAGTTTCGAAATTGGTTGACGGAAAAATTGAACTTAATATTATGAAAGGAAAAATAAGTCCTCATACCGTTATTCTTTATCCTGACACAAAAGGCGATTTAGGATTGTCGTCATTTAAAAAAATCGATCGCAAAACTACGGACAATTCTGCTTCCTATGCATCAATGAATCAAGAATGGCGAACAATGTTTTCAACACAAGACAGTGTTCAGGTATTGATAATTATAAGAATATTTCATGATTGACGATATTGAATTTTCGAATTAATTTATTTTTTTTAATTGCAGCACACAATTGTGAAGATTCCGGAAATGACTGGAAGTACAGGTAGTCCCAGTCAAAGTATTCATGGAGGTGATATTCATTTATCACCACAACATAGTTTAGCGGACATAAACAGTATAAATGATCATTCGCTACATGAACGATCTTACATTCAATGTGAGTGTTTTTTTATCTGGTAAATTTTTTAAATGTAATTATCACTTACAAAATGATTTGATAATTTTTTGTGTATAATAATGGATTTTTTGTAAGTGATGAATGTTTTAATTGCAAGCGATAGACTTTTTTTTTACTGCATGACTGAATATTTTTAATCAATGCAATAGTTGCAACGCTTTATGGTTTCGCAGACAGGTGCGCTCCTTGTAGATTGGAATTGAGACAACTCACCTATAGAAAACAAGAGCAGTATGCTGCAGCCCTAAGAGCGCAACATTGGGCAGATAATATTGCCTGGCAAAATGGTAACGAGAGAAAACGATTAAAAAGTTTTTAAATATGTGACGCTCCACGAGAAAAGGGACCTAACGTGCTTTTGACTTAAGGTTCATTCACTGTGTCATTGCACGGTAAAAGCGAACCTTAAGTCAAAAGCACGTTAGGTCCCTTTTCTCGTGGAGCGTCACATATATTTTCATTAAGAAAGAAATTTTTGAATTTCGGAAAAGAAAAATCTTTTTTATTTTTTTTTACTTTTCAATTCTTTTATTGGATTTTACACGGAGAGAAATCTGGTGCGATTTACGCATGAGCATGTCCTTAGGAATATAGTAACAGACGCTTTCAAGCAAAAATCCTAAGTGAGCGAGGTATTATTGTATGAGTCTCACCTGATATTCAGATGGAATCTTATGGTTTTTGCTTGGAAGTGTCCATGCTATATTCCTTTGGACTTGCTCATGCGCAAATCGCAGCAGATTTCTCTCCGTGTATATATAATTTAATTAATTTTTTTAGTTTTTAAATTAAGAGTTTTTTAATTAAAATAAATTTTTTTTTTTTAATTTAAAATAAAACAAATATATGCATATTACAAGGTTCAAGATTACTTCCTAATGGATGGAGACCACGAGGAGCTCTTGTGGCGCATCTTCACGAACATAGAGCGGCGATAAATCGACTGGTTTCAATACCGGACACGAGTTTATTTGGAAGTAGTGCGGCTGATGGATGTGTGAGAATTTGGGATACAAGCAAAATGGAAGGAAGAAATATAGTCAATCGATCCAGGTAAATATTTTTATATTATTTAATAAAAAATTAAAACGATCATCATAAAAATAAAATTCAATTTAGAAAAATATTCAAATTTCTAAATTAAAAAAGAAAAAATAAATGGACTAATGGATTTTTTTTTTTACTTTAGGCAAACTTACATTCATCGAGGTGGTCCTTTAGTTGGATTAACAGTTTGCGAACAAGGACAATCTTTAGCGAGTTCAGCTACTCAATCGGGAACTGTTTTTGTTCTTCGAATTGAGCCGAATTCAAATAAAATGTCTGTTACTCATTCTCGTCAATTGGACCTTCAGGTAAATTGATTTTTCCTCGAAAATGATGAATAAATCAGATATTTAATAAATAAAAATAAATAGAAAAGAAAAATGGAAATAAATATAGAAGGAAGAGGAAAAGGGATAAATAAACTAAATAATATAGTGAAAATAAAAATTTTTGTTGGGACGATTTTAGGAGGAAGGCTGCGCTGTTGATATTCAATATTTGGATTCTGGTTCACAATCGGTTCTCGTTTATGCTTCTCTTTACGGTTCTCTTGTCGGATGGGATTTGCGATGTCCGGGAACTGTTTGGAAATTGGAAAACGATTTAAAGCACGGTGTAATAACGTCCTTTTGTGTGAACAATTATCAACAATGGCTTACACTTGGAACAAGTTCAGGAGTTCACATTTGTTGGGATTTGAGGTTTCAACTTCCAATCAGTAGTATAAAACATCCTATAGGTGAATAATTTTCTAATAATTATTATTTTAATTTAAAGAAAAGAAAATAATGAAAAAAAAATTATAAATTTCATTTTTAGGCGCAAGAGTTAGAAAAGTCATAACTCATCCAACAGAACATTCTTGGATTATTTCGGCCGTTCAAGGACACAATGAAATATCAATGTGGAATTTGGAGACTGGTTTTCGACAAATGGTTCTTTGGGCTTCGAGTGCACCACCTTTAAGCCATTCTCCAGGTGGTCACAATGTTTGTGCTATGCATTCGGGATCTATAGATCGATCAGGATTTTTATTAGCCAGCGGCACTGATATGAGATTAAGATATTGGAACCTTAATAATCCCAGTGAATCATACGTTGCTTTGCCAGCTGCGAATGATGTTATACCTCCAAATTCATTAGCTTATGAGTAAGAGATAGCTTTCTGATTTTTTCAATTTCAATAATTTTGTCTTTTCCCTCCTTTCATTAATTGTAATTTTTTGTTTTTCATTTTTAAATTTATCTTTATTTTATTAATTAATAAATCATTTTTGACTCAAAACTTTTTCTAATAAAATAAATTAATTAATTAATTTAATACAAATTTACAACAGGCAGAGATTAATAGACGGAACAAACGTAGTGCAAGAAGTGTTGGCAGGAGGACTTCCGACTTTACCTTCATCAGGCGGAAGTGGAATGAGAGGAAGAGGCACGGAAGAAGGAGGTCAAGGTCCAGAGACACCACCATCAGGTCATCACGATACAATTTCTGCAGTTGCCATGTCAAACACTTGTATTCTCACTGGCAGTACTGATGGACTTATTCAAGTTTGGAAGTGATTTTTTTATTATTTCAATAATATTTTCTTTCTTGACTCTTTTAGAAAGAATACTTACAACGTAACTGAATGTATGTATTCATTATTTATTTCTATATTCATCGACTGTAAATTCAAGCACTCGAAAGTCTTCCGAAAGATATACGTATGACTTTTAAGTGCTGAACATCAAAAATGCTGTGATTATTTATGAATTGTAAATAATAATAATAATAATAGTATACCTAAGATTATTGACATAATTGAACAAGCAAATTTTCAGGGGAGAATTTGCAAAGCAATAATTTTTCTTTTTATCATTTAGAATCAATATTAATTGCTATTTATGAATATAAACTGAGTTTATAATAATATTAACAAATTTTAAAAGTTGAATATTTTATGAGAACAAACATCATTAAGATCTTTACCATCAAATTTTTCGTACGAATTACGAATTTAAAATCTTTAGATATTTTCATTAGATTCTATAAAAAACATTTTTTGTACAGAATTCTGTAAAAACTTCTAATAATTTTTTTTAATAGATTAATTTAAAAAATTATTTAACAGTACAAATTCTTTAATAGATTTCCGAATAGGTAAGGAGATTTTAAAGACCTTTTTAAGTAGTTTCTTTAATGATTCTCAAATAGATGCTTTAAATAAGTATTATAAATTCTTAATAAAAATCTTATAATAGAGAATCTAGATAAAACGATCTTATTGGTGATGTTGGAGTATATTTATAAATATAATAATTGTTTGTATTTATTTTTTCGTTATTCAACGATAATTGGACTGAAAGAATGTTTTCTTTACAAGATTGTTTCAAAAGTTACATTTTAATCATGAATTTAATTCCTCTAACTAATTTTGTTAGGACATCATTGCTTTACATTTTCCTTTTTTTTTTTTACTAGCGTGTAAATAATCATTGGTAGATCGTAGAATCATTGCACGAGAGTATATATAATTACACACATTTATGTAAATTCATTTACATTGAAAGAACTGTCACATGACGACTGATAATAATATACTCAAGATTGAGAACAGTAAATAATTACATTCTGTACAAAATTGTTACAATAAATAATTATTTTTCAAAAAAAAAAGTTTTTTTTTTATTTCAACTATCACAAGGTCTAGAAGTTTTTATAAAAAATTATTTTTAATAATAGGACAAAAACATATTTAAAAAAAAAATTATACAATAAAAAATATAAATCTTATTCTATATTATTAATAGGTGAATAATGATTACAACTGAATAACAAGAAATAGAATTTAATAAAAAAAAATTAATATTACAAAAGCTCGAAATTTTTAATTTTATAAAATATTCGATACTTAAAAATTATTTTCCCTACCAGGGACAAACTGGTGCTGCAGGATATGGAACTCGACCTGGATATGCAAAACCATCGGGATTAATTGTTCGACAAATTTCTTTCCAACGTTCACCGCCACTTTTACCCTGTCGATGTCTTCCTTCACTTCTGTAATATGGTTCTCCAAACAATAAATCAAGCCAAGGTGCACTCAAACCGCCAACAATCAAGAGTAAAAAGACAAAAATTGTCTTCATTTTACGTCACAGTAATCACAAAGGGACGTTTTCAACTACCAGCAATCTTTTATTAGTCTTCGAAAAGTTTAATGAAGACTTTTATTGAAACTCGTTAATTTTTTCTCAACATCCATTGTGGAAATGCTGGAAAAAATTGTATGTAATTAAATTAATAATCCGAAGGGAAAAAAATTTAGTAATTAGAAGAAAAACCAAAAGAAAAGGAAGAAATTAAAAAAATATTTTAATTAACATTTATAAAATAGAGAGAAAGAAATTTTTAAAAAAATTGATATTTCCAACATAGATAAAAAGAGAAAAAAATAAACATAAAGAAAAAAAACAAAATAAAAATAAAAAAAAATTGAAGAAAAAATAAATACAAACAGATAAAATCGAAGAAAATAATTAGAAAAAAAATGTTAAAATAAATTGCAAAATGAAGATAAAAAAAAATTGATGAAAAATTAACAATTATTATTTTATAAAAATAATGATTAAAAATTTAAAAAATGATACAAATTAAATTAACAAAAAACCTAAAGTTAAATTGACAAAAAAATATGTTAATGAATTAAAGAAATTAAGAAAAAATTTTAAACAGTACGGATTTGATCACCTCACTTTACTGAATCAAATATGTATCAATGAATCGCCTCGCACGTGGAACTAAAAGTAGAACTCGTAAGATGAGAGTATAATATCACGGACAAGAAATCATTAAAGTTTGCGTGCAAGTTTACTCTTGTCTTGTTAAATAAAGGACGTTACATCATTGAGCATTTACTACGTCATTATACTATTTCATATTTTGAATTGTTTTTGTCCTTTCCAACTTCACACTTTCTGAACACCAAACCCGCAGTATTTGCAAAATTTATTACTTTCTTCACGGTCCAATGATTAAATTCACGGCTCGCTTCGTTGATAATTACTGGTAAAACGAGATAAAATGTTTCATTAGAATATTTCTCTAGGATGATATTTATCTTAATCAAAAAATGTCTCCTAAAAATTCTAAAACTATTCGAAAACATAAAGTATAATATTTATTAGACATAGTACTTGTCTTTGGACTTCAAACATGATAATGAAAAATATAATAAATAAAAATATGAAATATTATACGAAAGGTATTAAAAAAGAAAAAATAGAAAAAGAATAACAGTAAAAAGTAAAATATAATAACAGACAAAGAAGAATAAAAATAAAATAAATTTCTTTGATCTACAAGGAAATGATTTAATTAGTAATTTGATTGTAAGTTGGTTTCCTTGAAATCGAAGGAAGATCACTTTTTTCAAGGTTTAAATTTATTTTCCAATCTCTTCCTGATCAAGGTAGCAAAAATATTTAAATATTTTATTTTAATAATAATAATATAAAAATTTATAATTATATTTATCAAAATTTATTTATCACAAAGAAAAATGATTAAAATGCACTAACTGTGGAAAAGCGATGTTATTATAGTTTTATTTTTTTGAAATTTGAAAGTAAAAAAGTTATCGTACGATTTCAAGGCGACTATATGTAATACAATTAACAAACGCACACTACTCTTGGAATGAAGAGATGCTGGATGTTCTCTGCTGTTTTATAGAACCTCCCTTCCCTACTGAGAAAAATGATATGGGTAAATGGTTGATTATTTTTGGGGTGTGCACGTGCAAACTCAATATAAATGAATATTTCATTACTACATGCTGCTTTTTATAGACTAACTTAAAATAAAAACGTGACAAAAAAAGTGATAAGTTTTAAATGCAAAAGCAATTCGCGAAAATGAGATGCTCTATAAGGAAATCGTTCAATTCGTCAATATATTTTGAATCATTTTCGTTCGTATACGAAAATTATAATTAATTTGTCCAAATCTTCATTGGATTCTGTTTGTACTAATAAAGTTGTCAGATAGTAAAAATTTTAATTAATTCCTTTTTAATCATTGTATTTATTAATTTAAAGTCATTATTAAAAATGGAAGAACAATTTTTGAGAAATTAATTTAATTACAATTTATTTTTAAATTTAAATCGAATATAATGAAGTATTAGAATTAATAAAAAAAATTAATGAAAGATTTTTTAAATTATATGGCAAATTAGTAGGATTTCTCTTCCCCCTTCAATTGGTAAAGAATTTTTATTTTAGTCATTTGATATGCGTACAATATTAATATTTTAATTAAATATCTTTGTACTTTAATGTCCGCGTAAAAAGGAGCAAATTTAGTATTAAGAGAGAAATCTAGTTTGAATTGACATGTGGTTTTCAATTGAGTTAGGCAAGAGCTTCTGATGTATTACCTTTATATTTCACAATTTGTAATTTAACATTTCTAATTGCAATTTAAAAGGAATTTTATTCCAATTTAATTGTGGGAACCAAATGGATGTTTAATTTTATAGAGATTTAAAATTTATTCAATGCAAATTGGTTTGATAAATAATTTTTTTAAATTTAATTTTTGATTTTGTAAGCCGATTGATTACTGTAAATAAGTAAATAAATCGGTAATTAAAAAATATTAATTAATGATTTATTATTGTACATATTTTTGTTTGAAAAAAAAAATTTTTTTTTTTTACTATTTTTGACAGTTTCTTTTCCTTGAGGAAGGATATTAACTGCGAATGAGTTAACAGTAACATTGAACTTGAAAAGTGACTCGGGAAGACCCGTCACAGACTAATGCGCACGTAGATCTAATTTATAATTATTTATACACATCTCACGATTTCATGATTCACGTGTGTTCACGTTTTGTTCACGTTCATTGGTCTCTTTTGTTTTAATTTTCTTTGTCTAATGAACCAACGATACTTTACATAATATATTACATTAATTCATTATTCTAAATCCAAATTTAAACTTTTTTTTATTTTTCTTTTTTTTGCATATTCGTTTGTTTCTAATTCTAATTTAATTTAGAAAAAATGAAATCTTTTTTCTAAAAATCTATTTTTATTGTGAAATTTTTTTTTTCTTCTTTTTGAGTTGTAAAAAATGTTTTGAGAATTATTATTTTATATTCTAGATTCTTAAAATTATAAATAATTGAAAATTATTATTTATTTTATAATTCAAAGTCAATTAAAATAGGTATAAATAATTTTTTTCGACACAATTTTCATTTTTTCATCAGGATCGTTTTTTGAAGCGAAAGAAATTTTTTTTCCGAGAATAATCTAAAGGATTATATCAAAGGATAATATTCCTTTGAATTGTGATTTTCTTTTTTTCGAAAAAAAGAACTGGATTTAAAACATCAAAGAGATTGAGAATGAAGCATGTCACGGTCAAGCTCTGGTTCAACTTACTGATCTTGGTTTGAGCTGAAATTAGTTTCAGACATAAAATTCTATAGGCGAATTAGCACAGTAAATGAGTATGGAGAGCGATCAAAGACAAGCTGGGAGCTAAATTTGTTTAGCACACATTTACAAATCCGTACATTATTACATCATTTCCCTTTTACCGTAATAGTCGTTCTCTTTGGCTTTTCTTATATGTGTATAAATGTATTCTATTAATAGTATTGGAACCAGAGAAAGTTCAAGTTAACATCATCATGAGAGATGCAAGTAAATTTGCGGAAATCTTTATTATGATAATAATTGCCACGCACTCCAATGACGATGAAGAAGAAATATTGTTATTGTTATACTTTATTAGAGGTCAATTCAGCAAAAGATAATTCGCAAAACATCCAGAGATGATAAGCAATTTCGGTCAGGGTCGTAAAGTAAACTTGTTGTTTATAAAGGAAACAAATAAAAAATCGTAAAGAAATTAAACTTTTACATGTTGTTTGATAGTAATTTTTACTGTCAATACCTTCTGTGCGAAAAACAATTAATTTTATTTATAAACCAATAGAATTGGATTAATCTCAAGTTTCGAAAATCTCTTTGTAAATTTGGTGTTAAATTAATTTAATAAGTGAATATTTTGTTACTTTATTTATTAATTACATTTTATTCTACCTTATTCCTTTTTTTATTGTTCTTCTTTTTTCACTTTTTATTCTTTTTTAACATTTTTCATTATTTTTCTTCTTCGTCTTTGTAGTATTATTATTACTTTTATTTATTTATTCAAATTTCATTGCATTTTTGAATATTTTATTTCTGTTTATCTTCGTTTTCTGAATATTCCGTTGTAAAATAAGTTTTTAAAAAAATTATTGAATATCCAATGTGGAAGAACCTGGAAAACCTAAATTTAAAAATTAACTAACCAAATCAATTTAATTAAATTAAATTTTTTTTAAATAAAGTAAAATTAAAATTTTTGTCCAAATATAGTCGTAGGATTATTTAATAGATTGTTGAATAATAAAAAATTGATGAAATTGTTCCAAAAAAATAATTAAATATCTTTTACGAAGAAAAAAATGAGGAACTCATTCTCAATCAAATATAGCACTTTGAATTTTGCTGAGATAACAAATTCTTTTTTTTTATATAACAGACGTCATTCTGAAAATTGCTTCGAAGTAAGTTGACTATTTGAAATGCAAGTACAATGCTCAGGACATGAATGAGATATTAAGATCAGAGAATGACAAACACAAACGTGCGCCGAGCAGGAGCTTTGTTCTTCTAAACAAAGGAGTAAGCAAGTTTCAGAGAAGTTTATTTTATAATTATAACGACACGATCACACCCAATAAAAAAAGTGTTCATTCTCTTCTTTAAATAACAACAATTTTTTTTTTATTAATTATTCATATTCAATTTTCAAATCATAATTAAAAGTATTTTCATCGTATTAAAAAAATTTGTTGTCAATATTTTTACTCTCTATTTTTATGAATTTTTTAAAAATGGAAAATGTTTCTACCATATTTTTTATTTCTATTAAAAATGAAATAAACTTTTTCCAAGTTCGAGAATGTAAATTAGTCTCGTTAAATACAACTACTGTAATAATAAATTATTTTTACGAAATAGACATCAATTTCATAAAATATTAATATTCTTTTCATGAACGATAGCATTTGTAATTGAATTCTCATTTTTTATGAAAGAAAATTTAACTATATAAATAGAGGAATAAAAATATCATCAATGATAAATAGAATTTTTATTGTATAGAGTAAAAACATTTTTGTTAGCAAAAGTATTATTGGAAAGTAAAGAAATTTTATTTGAAAAACTAATAAATTTTAAAAAATGCAGTTCATTCATTTATTTATGGTTTAAATTGAAAATTTTATAATCAAATTAAAAAATTTTAATTAATTTTAAAGCAAAATTAATAAAATTAATAAAAAATTAATAGGCCACTTTAATTAATTTAAAATTGTTAATTTTACTGAAAATTTTCAGTTAATAAACAAATAATTACAAAATTCGAATAAAAACATTATATTCGACTTCCATTTAAATGGCATAAACATTATGTCGGAAATTGACTGAGAAACATTTTGTTAGAATTTAATTTGACTGCATTTGCAGGAAATATCTATATTCAGAATTTGATCTTAAATTTCGTAGTAAAAGCCACCTGGCCAATTATCTAAATATTTTGATCAGTCTTCATGATGTTGCGCTCCTTGGCCGGTAAGCAAGGGTCTTCATGCTCTACATTCGTCAGTTCCTCTTTGTACGTGATTGAGGAAGTATTGAAATTGTGCTCCATCACATCTTTTTTCAGTTTTTGAAAAAAAAATTTTTTTCAATTACAAATAAATTTACATAAATTAATAACTCAAATGTAAGATGGTCGAAAAATTCAAATAAGAAAACAACACAAAAAAGAACCTCGTAATCTCAAGTGTCTTACAAATATATCAAAAAATCTCTGACAATAATTAAAAACTGAAAAAAAAGTTACAGAAGAACATCGGAAAAAAAGTTTCAATGTTATACAAAAAAGTTTACAGTTATAAAAAAAAAGTTAAATATTTTCTAAGAAAAGTGAAAAAATTATAAAAGGAAAACTAAAATTATAAAAAAAAAATTAAAACTGCCTAAAAAGTTAAAATTTTATAAACAGAAATTATAAAAGAAAGTTATGTTTTAAAACGAAAGGAAAAAAATACAAATAACACTTTAACATCTCACTGGAATAAATAGTAAGATATTTTATAAATTAATCAAACTAAAAACAATAATAAAAGTTGATACAAATATTTTCTTGTCCAAATTTCGTTTTTCAATTTTCCTGTTTTGTTAATTGTAATTCGAATAATATTTCTAAAAACAAAGAAAAATTCGTAAAATTCTTTTTGTAAAAGGTTCAAATGCAACTTTTATTATTAACAATAATTTTATATTAATGTTCAAGTTTTCGACATTTTTTTTTCTACCACGCAATCATGAAAATTATAATAACTTTCTAATGCTGCGTTTTCATTTTACTGAATTAAAACAATTAATTATAGAAGCTTTTTTATTGATTTGCACTGCTTAAAAAAAAGCTTTAGCTTCATTTATCATGATTAGAAATTTAGATCACCCTGCTATTCCAAACAATAATTATAATTTATTATAATTAATAATAATAATAATAATAATTTATAATTATATTTTTTGATTAGAAAAAAAATTTTACAACAGATGCAAATCATTATTTTAAATGAATCCTTAATATTACTTGAATTTATTCGAATAAAGATTTAAATGTCGGAAATCGAAAGTGTTGAAGATCCCAATGATTTGGAGCACAAACATTTTAGTTTTACCCGGAAAATGAAAAACAGCATTTCAAAAGTTAAGCAGAGCATAAAGAAGATAGCTGGTACGTTTCATTTCACCCCCGTGCGATGAGTTTAAAAAAAATTTCGAAATGAAAAAAATTAGAAAATATTTATAACCTTCCCTGAGAATTATTTCTCATAGATTAGTTGATAGTGATTCATTTAATATAAATAATAAATTTTGACGTTTTTAATATTACTTTTTTTTTAATTTTTCAAAAAGATATTTTTTTATTCTTATTTTTAATTGAAATTTTTTTGTTGATTACTTTATTAAATGTTTTATTGTTTTAAAAAAATAATGTTTACGTTTTTATGAAAATAAAAGTATTTTTCTCAATTTTATCTCTCACTGTTGCTAAATTCTATCATAGAGGAAATGCAAGACGAGGTGCAACAACCAACACATATAATTCCTGAACGTTTAGAGCACTTGGAATATCAAACTGGATTTTCTAGACACGAAATACGTAAATTTTATCGTGCATTTAAACAACATTGTCCCGGTGGTGTGGTGACAACAAATAATCTCAGGCCAGTTTATGCAAAATTATTTCCCTTGGGTGATCCCCGAAAATATGCTCAAATTGTATTTAATACATTTGATGAAAATAAAGATGGAATAATTACGTTCAGCGATTTACTCAATGGAATAGCGTCAATAGTGAAAGGTGACACTGATAAAAAGCTCTCGTGGATTTTCAGGTAAAAAAAAAATTATATTTTAGACAATAAATAATTAATATATTTAAGATAATAAAAATTACTCTCTAATTCCAAAAATTCACACCCAATTGAAAATAAATTGACAAGTTTCCTAATTGAAATTACCTCACAAAATTAAAAAAGATATATAGAAATAAAAAATTCAATTATTTATTGTAAAATAAATTTACTGTGTATTGTATTTTAAATAAATTTACAACAGTAATTTTATTTATCAATAAAAAAAGAGAATGATATTCTCAGTAAATACACTTACGATTGTTAATTAGATTGTACGATTTAAATGGTGATGGACACATAACACGTAACGAGATGATGTCTATTGTAAGTGCCATTTATGAAGTTGTGGAAAACACCCGATCGATTGAGCGCGCTGTTGACAGGCATGTAAATCGCATTTTCGAAAAAATGGATCTTGACAAAGATGGAGTCATATCCAGAGAAGAATTCATAACCAGCTGTAAAAATGTACATATATAATTAATTGTCTACTAATATTAATCTAAATGAAGAATTTAAATTACTAAAATTTTCGTGACTCTTCATTTGCAGGATCAATTAATTTGCAACCAATTAACGATATTTGACGACATATGGTGGTAATAGAGCGCTAATTACATTTCGTGAAAAAATCAAATACACATTTAGCTATTAAAATAAAATAGTTAGTTACTAAAGTTAAATAAATAAAAGTTAATTAATTGGTCAAAAGTGAAATTAACTTAACAATATTTTTTAAATTAATTAACTAAATATAGTAATTAAATGTATACTTATTAAATGTAAATAAAAGTTTATATATATGTTTAAGAAATTGGTTTTAATTAAAACTAAAAATAATCAATATTAAAATAAAATCTCACCTAAGTCTTTTTTGTAAAATGTATCCAACACAGGCGAGAAAAAATGCAAAAGCAAGGGCCAATAAAATTTTATCTGTAATTTCTCGTCGACCATATTTTCCTAAAAGTTTTCCAGACTGAACAATTACTTGTCTCTGATCGACTAATTCTCTTTCGGTGCCAGTGACTTTTTCCGAAGAAGTAACTAAAAATTTTAAATTTAAGAAAATTATTAAATTTCCATTATTAAAAAAACAAACAAATTATGTATTAAGTTAGAAATAAAATAAAATAAAATTAATTTTAAATATACTCAGGGATTCCAGAGTATCGGCGCTTCTCTGAGTCGTTTCAGCCAGTTGTCTCGAAATACTTGAAAGTTTATCAGTCACTTGAGAAGAGGTGTCGACGAGAGATTTTTTATCTCTTCTTTTTCGTAAAAAATCCTGTTGTTCCTCTGACGATGCTAATAAATCGTCCCTTGACATTTTATCGATTACACATGAACTAATGACATTCGCTTTTCTAAAAGCTTTCATTGTCGTTGACATTTGTGCTCGATGATTTTCTATTTCCACGAGTAATTCCGATTTTTTCTTCTCATTGATTTCTAATTCTGTGGCATTGACAAGCCTATCAATACTAGATCTCAAAGAGGCAATTTTCCCTCTTCCCTCAGCGTTCAATTCGTTTAGAAATTCTAGAGGTCCTGTACATTGCTGTATATCCTTCATAGTTATAAAAAATTTAATTAATTCATAAATTATTTAACATTAAATTAAAAACTTCATTTTTGTTTTTATATTTACTCTATCCTTATTTCAAAATTTATTGTTATTTAACAAAATTTATAAAAAAAATACAGTTAAAAAATATATTTAGTTGGAAATTAAATGCATAGAAAATACAACATATGAAATAAATTCTGCTAAGATGAGTGAAGCATTTCTGTATGAAAAAAATTAATTAGAATTAAAAAAAGTCTTTTTACTACTCTTTTATAATATATTTTTTATTATTCGTAGTTAATAGAAATTTTCATTGTAAATTTTTAAATGTTTTGAATTCGTAAAACTTAGGTTAGAAATACAACTCTGCAGTAAAAAAATATTTACACTCGTTTAAATATTACCTGAATTAAAGCTGTCACTTCTAAATGATTTTTGACAATTTCCTGTCGAATAGTTTCAATTTCATAATTATCCGTATTCATTTTTATACTTAAAAAAATATGTTTAACTTTTATGCAAACGTCACATGTCAAAATTTTATCATAAACACTTAAATTCTGTAAGGTTAGGTTAGTAAATACGATCATCAGCTGATCGTATAACCACGAACATGGAGGATATAGTTTTCTGAAAAATTTCTGTAAGCAAAAAATGTTTTATATTATTGTTATTAATTTATTATACAATTAGATTGGTATTTTTATAATTATAATATTGTACATTATCTAAACTTATTATTATTATTTTTTAAAAATTAATATTGAAATATTTACAGGTTAGACTTATACCGGTTCCATGGATCTTTTCATTTTAATAAAAGCTCTAAATAAATGTTTCAAGATATATGAGAAAACTCTAATTTTAAAATTATAATCACTTCATCGTCTTCATCATATATTTTATTCAAGATGTCATTAAGTACGTCTTTTGTGAAAACAACAATTATTGCATTAGGTGTAAGTGTTAGTTTAACTCAACTTGTTTCAAAGTTTATTGTGCCAGAATGGATAAGAAATTACTCTAATTGTTATAAGGATGCTATAGATAGTCTTCATGATCATCAGGAAGCAGTAAAATTACTTGGAGAACCAATAAAAGAGAACTTCATTAAGTTTAATGGTTCAAAAGATAATGGTGCAACTAAAAAATTTGTTTGGTATACAGTGCCTGTAGAAGGTTCAAAATCAAGTGGAAAATTGCGTTATTGGGTAACTAGAAATACCAAAGGAGGAATGCATTTCACAGTTGCAAGAATTGAACTTGCAGTTGATGATTTGCCTGATAAAATCCTGCTAATTAAACAAAGTGATGTACTAAAATAGTATGTATTTTCTAAATATTTTGCAACATTTGTTTCAATTGTATATATACAATATGTATAAAAGACCTTGTTCAGTTTATAAAAAAGTAAAACAAATAATTTGCTGTTTTTAATTTATGACGCTAAAATTTAAATCCTATTACTCAACAAAAATTCTTAACAATTTGATAAATAAAATTTAAAACAAAAAATGTAATTGTTGGGGAAAATTAATTTTAAACAATGTAATTAAAGAGAATTATAATAATTGAAAAAGTTTGAAAACATTTTTAATGTTTAATGAACTTCATTTATTACATTAAATGACATAAGTTAATTATATTACAATTGTCTATGGTACAACACACGGTAAGTTCCTTCGTGTTTCGTATATTTTTTATTAATAATAAAAAAAAATCGATTTGTATTTTTACTACATTTTCTTCGGTAGAACGAATACAATAATTACAATAAATAAAATGACATTGTCATTGACACTGTATATGTATTTTATCCATCAAAGTCAATTTGAAAAAAAAAACATTTTATTCCTGATCGAATTTCGTATTCTTGTCAAATTTTTTAAAATCATTTTGTTCAATTGAAAAGAAAAAAAGTTTTTTCCCTTTCAAATTGACTTTGATAAAAGTATTAGAATTTTTCTAATACCTGACGAGGAACATCCTAGGTTGTCCTACAGATTGGTTATAATCTCTTTGAAAAAACTTTGTCTTCAAAATTATTTATTGAAGACTATGAATTACAGCACTTGTGAATTCAGTCGTTGAACTTTGACCTCCTAAATCTTTCGTGCGCACTTTTCCATCGTTTAATACACGATTTAATGCGTCTTTAATCTTCTCCGCGTAACGTTTCAAATTTACATGATTAAGAAGTTTCACCGAACACAAAATCATTGCCGTTGGATTTGCAACATTTTTGCCCACAGCTTCTGAATATGTGTGCCTCGCTCCCTTAAAACGAAAAAAGGAAATTTATTAAAATAATAGAAACTTTTTTTTAAAAAAAATTAGACGAATAATCAGTTAGTGTAAATTTTTTTTACCGGTTCAAAAACTACGCATTCTGCACTGTAACTAGCACCAGCAACAACTCCAGCACCACCAACTAATCCTGATGCCAAATTATCGACAATATTTCCATATAAATTTGGCATCACCATCACATCAAATTGATGTGGATTAGAGACCATTTGCATTGTACAATTGTCAACAATCATAGGCTCAAATTTAATTCTGTTCTTGAAAAGAAGAACCAAGTATTAGAAGAATGATAAAAATGGTAATTCAATGAAAAAAAAGTAATTATAATAAATAACAAAACTAATTTAAAAATTATTTTATATAAATAATAAATTTTTAACGTTAAAAATAAATCAGAAAAATGCATTTTACCTAGGATACAACTTGGCTATTTCCTGACATGATCTTAAAAATAGTCCATCACCTAATTTCATTATATTAGCTTTGTGAACGCATGTAACCTTTTTGCGATGAGTTTTAACAGCAAAGTCAAATGCAAACTTTGCGATCCTTTGGCTTTTGGTTGCGGTGACAATTTTTAAACATTCAACAACACCATTTACTGACTCATGTTCCAAAGCGGAATATTCACCTTCTGTTTGTTCACGAATAATTACACAGTCTACATTATTGTGACGAGATTTCACTCCTGGCAGAGATTTTACGTGCACTACATTTGAATACAAATCCAGACTTTTTCGCAATTTCATGTTCAATGTTTGTAATTCTCCTGTTGAGGAATGATCCGGAGTTGCTAAAATTCCCTAAAGACAACAAACAAAACAAAAATATTTCTTTAAATTAATTTTGTAAATTTTATATCATTTAAATGTTTACAATAATCTTAATTTGACTAAAAAATGTTTACCTTCAAACAAACTCCATTTCGGGCAATACTATTTGAAACTTGTTCTAACGGAGCACTTAATGTGGGATTAACTTCGGACAAAAAATACGGTTCAAATTCAACTGGAACATCTGCAGCTTGAAAAATATTTTGAACGGCTACCACCAATTCTGGTCCTACGCCATCTCCGGGGATTAAGGTGCATTTCGTCTTTCCCTGTCGCTCTACAGTCTAAGAAAAAATAAAAATTTCACATTAAAATAATTCAAGAGCTTCTTTTACAATAAAAATAAACAAAAAACAAATTATTTGAAAATAATAATAAAAAAAAAATCATAGATAATAATATAAATAATAAATTATAAAAATAATATGTAAAAAATAATTTTAAAAAAATTATAAAATAACACACAAAAAAAATGAAAAGAATAATAAATCATAAACATAATAAATAAAAATTACAAAAATTATAGACATAATAAAAAAAATTACATAAAAACAATAAATAAAAATCATAAAAATAAAACAAACAAAAAAATGCGTCAAATGTGAAAATTTGCAGTAATTGTTTTTCATTTTATTCTTTTTTTTGTGATTCTATTCGAATTGAGCCGAAATAAAAATTTTAATAAATTTCACACATTATTCATCTCTGTGAAATTATTTAATTAAGCCAATATTTGTTTTTTCAAAAAAATTTAGAATAGAAAAAAGAATGTCGGTTTACTGCCAACTTCTGTAAATGAACATACAGTTTCTGAAGTACCAACCGGCTCGTTGAAACAAACGGAGCCTACATGAAAGGTTCTTGAAGATCCCTTTTGAGTTGCCTGAAAAATACAATTGCCATTTAAATATAACTTTATTTTTGATATATAAAAAATAAATTAAATTTTAACAACAAAATTAGGTTATATTTTACAGCGTATATTTATATATGCGTTAACACATAAGATTTATTCAAGCATTTATTCTTTATTTTGCGATAATTTTTAAGCCTAATTTTTATTATCACTGTTAGTCATATAGCAAATGAAAAAAAAACATTTCACATTGCTCAATCAACTGATTAGTTAACTAAGGTACTACATATCAGTCGTTCAGTGTCAAATAAACTTATAGACTAATATAAAAATGATACTTCTCTTATGTCACGATATACTGGAACTTCAATAATATATTAAAAATAATAATATTAATTCATATAATTTTATGTAAATTTAATTCGTGTGTTTGAAATGCCCTTGTAAAAAAAGTCTCATACAAAGGCACTGACTTCTCAAAATTGTCGACATCACTTTTGAGACAATTGTAATTTTATCCACCCGTGTGTTAATTAATTCTTGATAATGAAAAGCGTTGAAAATTGTTGCGAATACTTGTAGTTAATAATTTTTTAATACATTTCTCACCTGGGAAAATACCCTGCAGACGTTCCTTAGTAAAGCCATTTTCCACGACGGATTGGAGCAGTCGACGTCTAATGAATTTAATTTCAGGAACGTAACATGTAATGTAATACCAAACTTCTTTTTCTTTTTGAAAATAATAACTTTCAACGTTTATTGACATTTTGTTAACATAACCTCACTTTTCAACGCACGAATAAATCACTTCCTGTCAAAACAATTGTTTTATATTTGTTATAAAAAGTATTTTTCAGGTATTTTATGCATGTCAAAATATGTGTGTATAAAACAATTTTATAAACACGATACTGCCATAATCGTGTGTTTTCGATCATTTTCGCTAAAGTAATGCTCGCCAAGTGTTGAGTACAAAAGTAACTATTAAACGCGCGCATCTATTTCTAATGTAAAATATTTTTTATTTTGTTTTTCTTTGCTTTCTCTGCCTTTTGTTATTAAAAAATGAAAAAAAGACAATCATGTTGTTATGACAGTAATTAACACTTTTTCCTTCAATTATTATTTTGGAGTTTCTATACACAAAATGTTGATGATAAATTCAAATTTCTGGTGATTTTTCAGTGTTAAATTTACCGACTGTGCTTGGAATAAAAACAGAAATTAGGTGGGAAAATAAACTGTGTTTCTATTTTGCGAAAAATTACAGTAAAATTCATTTGATTAGGATCACTCAGAATCAGTTAGTTATTAGACAACTTTATGGAGAAGACGTCTGATCAAAAAGTGACAATGCCCGAAGAAAAGAGTCGTGAGTAAAATTTATTTTCCAAATATTATTTAATTAGTTTTTATTAAATATTAACAGTTTTCTGTCATTTTTTGGTAAACTTATACTTTTAATAAGAAAAATTATGATTACGGATTTTTTTTATTTCTTCACATATGATTAATATAATTAAAATATGGGATTATAATTTAATTTTTATTTTCCTCAATCATCGTCATTTATTACAATATTATTTTCTTTAGTATTTTTTTTAGTATTAATTAATCGTATATTATATTTATTTTTTATATATTTAACTGGTTAAATTGTTCATCAAATAAAAATATTTTAGAGATTTTTTAATATTATTTATTTATATTTCTATATAATATAATTATATTAATGAGAAAAATTTTGCTTTAATGAGATTGAAATACAATGACTCACACGTGCTTAGATGGCAGAATTGCTAAACGAAAATATTGTTATCTATTGTCCGAGCGTTTCTGTTTACATTTTTTTTTTTTTTTTTGATAAAGGTACAATTCTTGTTTGTACTTTCGAACCTTCTATAAATTATATATGTATATTAAATAAAGCTTATTCTTCAAAAAATTACACTCTTATTACAAAAATTAATTTTTAAATTATTAATTTAGAATTATATATTGTATTTTTACGTTGTAAATAAATTTAATTCAAATTAATTAATCGTTTTTTAATTTATATTTAATAAATTATTTTAAAAAAAAATAATACTAGTAAATAGTTTATTAATTATCTATTTGTTTTTTGTCTAAAGCGGAAGGTGAAATAACTAAGCGTAAATTTCGTCGTAAGGCATGGGTTAATTTGACGAAGAAAGAAGCCGTAATTTTTTCCTCAAATAAATCGCACAATAGAATACCAAATTTTAAGGGCGCAGCTGAAGCAGCTAAGCGTTTGAGCGAATTAGAGGAATTTAAGAAAGCTAAAATTATAAAGATTAGTCCAGATAAACCACAAGAGTCGGTGAAGAATTTAGCTTTGGAAAATGATAAAAAAGTTCTTTTACCGAAACAAAGATTGAGAAATGGTCTTTTTAATCTTGTCACACGCGTAATTAATCCTACGGAAGAAGAACTGAAATCAATTGTAACAAAACATGGCATCCAACAAATTGAACAACCAATTGGTTTGGATTCTGATATTAAAGTATGTATTTTATTAAGTTTATTTCATTTATTTCACGAAATTCAATTAAATATATTTCACAGCGCTAAGAAATATATTATGTAAATATATTTTAATTTATTTTCTTTTATATAATATTTTGATTAAAAAAAAAATTTCTAGTTTTAAAATTTTATTTCGGTTTTTCTCTTTCTTTTCAATTTCATTATTTATTTACTTTCTACAAATGAGGAAAACGAAATTTGAAGGAAAAAAAGTAAATGTAAATAAAAACAAATCTATAGAAATATATAAAATATTTTCTATTTACTGGAAATTTGATTTCTGTTTATTAAAGGTGGATCTCGTTGTTTTGGGTTCGGTGTGCGTTAGTACTGCAGGACATAGAGTTGGCGATGGTGAAGGATATGCAGATCTGGAATTTGCATTAATGTCAAGAATGGGAGCTGTAAATGATGATACGATTGTTGTCACCACTGTTCATGATTGTCAAATAGTCGATGATCTTCCATCTGAACTTTTTCAAGCACACGATTTACCTGTAGACATTATTGTCACACCAACTCAAACCATTGTGGTTAGTGAGAAGCTTAAAAAGCCCGATTCAGTCATCTGGAACATTCTCAGCAATAGAAGATTAAATTCCATGCCAATTCTTCAACAATTGAAAGAAGAAGAAGAGAAGTAAGTTTTTCAAAGATTTTTCAAATTTATCAATATAAATTAATTAAAACTAAATTTAAATAAAAATTTAAAATATAAATTCAAATTAAATAAATAAAATAAATCATTTGAATATATTAATTAAAATTAGATACTAATTAGGTTCTACTTAAATGTAGAATTTTGTTTAAAAGAATATTGAAATATGAAAAGAATTTCTTGAAGAACGTTATATGAAATAATAATAAAATTAATTTATTTAGTGAAGGAAAGGAGGTTGTTTTAAAAGAAGATGATTCCGACGAGGATGCACTTTACCAAGAGAGGACCAAGCTTAAACGAGTTATTGGAAGGGTGAGTCTAAAGATCAGGCGTAATCTCTTGAATTCAACGATAGAGAGCGGAGAGGGTGATAAAGAAGATAAAAAACGAATTATGAGACGACGTTCATCTCAAAAACGCAAAGGAGATGGAGACAATAACGCATCAATGGACGTATGTAAAATTTTAATCCACCTTTACAAATTTCAATTTTTGTAATTTAATTATTTTCTTAAGTTTAATTATTTTTTTTATAAACTACATATTTCTTTTTTTAATTTATTATTAATTAATAATTTAGTGAAAAACTTATTAATAAGCACACTAAATTGATAGACTTATTTGATCTTTTTTTCAGACTGAAAAATCTGTGAACAAGGAAAGATTCCGTCGTCCATATTATAAATCGCGTCCAAGAAGTCAAATTGATTTTTCTTTGAAACTTTCGAATATCTCGTCTACTGTTCGAGTACGAGATTTAAAAAATGCTTTATCCGAACGTGGAGTAAAGCCCAATGACATTACCTGGAGAGGACAACGTGGTTTTTGTTATCTTCACTTTGGCAAAATGAGAAATGCCAAAACAGACGAGGAGCATCAACCAATTCAGGTAGATTCAGTTGTTGCAAATTTGCAACAATTAAAAATCGGTGAAGTGCCAGAAGAATCAACGGAAAATGTTTTCATTGTCGTTGAGCCAACGAAATCATCAACAAAAGTCGTCGAAGTAGTTGAGGCAACAAAACCGATTACAAAAATCGAAGTAACCGACGCAACGTCGGTTTAATCGTGTCTATTATTAATAAGCCTTAACAAAAAAAAGCTCACTTTACAGCATTGCTGGTTATTTGTTCTGTTTAATCGGATTAGTCTGATACATTTTTTTTGTTTTAAGCGATGTGATCGCAATCTTGATTATATCGTTATTGATATATGAATTTATATTTTTTTTTTAGTTCGAATTTTTGCATTGACTGCACGTTTTAGTTTATTTATTGAAACGAGATCCGAGAGAGGATGAAGTCACAATGCTGTAAATTTCGTAAAGTTGTGTTCACGTATATTGGATACGTGGTTTTTTTTTATTTTTCATTTATTTTTATTTATTTTTTTTTTTTATATAAAAAAATACTTAACTTTCGAAAACTTTGAGCTTAGTGAATAACAAAAGATAAAGAGAAAAAGGAAACAAAACGGTGTCTCAGAGAAAAACGAAAATCTGATCCTTATTACAGGACATTTAATCACATAGACTGAAAAATAATTGTTTTATTATTAAGAAAAATAATAATATTTCTAAATATAGAGAAATTATTCTTAAGAAAAAATATCCCTTAAAGCTCTGGGAAAATTGTTAATGATTCTTTATTAAAAATAGATTATAATTAAATATCTATTTTTCTGAGAAAAATAATAGTGCAATCGTATTGTCAGTAATTTAAAAAGAAAATTATGAATTTTGGATTTCTATGACTCATATAGAAAAAAATACGTATAGGGCGATACTCGAATATTTTTTTTTTTTGCGACAATTATAAAGAGTATAAAAAGAGGCAATACCTTGTGTGATATTATGGAATATTATTTGTTTACAATAAGATATCATTTATAATAATGGTACGAAGATTTATTATTAAATAAAAAAAAATTCTTTTTTATTTATTTTCCATTCGTCGATAGAATGTCCACTGATGATTGTTCAGTGCATTTGCATTATTACACTATTGTTATTGGAAAAGAATATGAAATTTCTTATATAAAAAGAGACACCTTTTCCGTTATGAATTCGGTTTTTCACAGAGCATGATACTTTTTTTTATGCAAAGTTGCGAATCAGCAAAATAAAAAAAAAATTATGCACTATAAAAGTTTTTTTTATCTCGACACGAAAGAAGATAAAAAATTGTAATTATTGAAATTCCTGTATAAACAGTGTGTTAATTCGATATTAACATTCTTCCAAGTACATGTATTTTTATTAAATACAAATATTTGACGAATAATTTTATGCGTATTTATTTTTTTTTGTACAATTCTTATTGCCTTTATAAAGATTTAATTTTTTTTTTATTTAAATTTAAACTATTGTTAGTTTAAATTTTTTTTTAAATAACATTGTAACATTTTTTAAATAATATTTTTTTTTTGTAGACGGTAGTATATTAGAATTACAGTAATTGATTAGTAGGCCAGTTAATTTTCTTTTAAAAACTAGCGCCAAATGACGTATTTTTTCACATCAAGGATTACAAATTTGAAAATGTAATCATTTTCAAATATTAAACATTCGGCGAATAGAATTTTAAAAAATTTTCCATTATTTCTTTTTTTGAAACAGTGACATGCGAAAAATATTAAATTCTGATGATATAAATAAAGTTCTTTTAATATTATTTTGTAATTATTATATTATTTTACATTTTGGTCCATTAGGTATGGAAATCGCAAGTTGATTTCTTATAGAATAGAATAGAATAGAATTTATTTATCTCCTTTGTATACTATTACATAAGTTGATTTCTTTATAAAAGTAAAATTATTTTTGTTTTCTCATTTTTTTTTTTTTTTGGTTATAGTTTTTAACAATTTACAGTCAAATATTTGAAATTTTTCTTTATACAGAATTAAAAATGGCAGAAAGTTTTACTAAAGAAATGATTTATTTTAAATATTAATTATCTTGTCAATGAAATCAAAATTTATTTTTAGAACATTTTTACACTTCGGTCAAACAATATTCAAATTTATTATTTTTTTTCCGTAGAATATTTATGATTATATAAAAAAAAAAGTTTTTTAGCTAAAAAACCAATTTCTAAATAAATGACATTTAATAGAAATCAAAATCACGGCGAGAAACTTGCGATTTCTAACAAATTTGCGGAAATATTTGAATAAATTTAACAGATTTCCATCAATAAATTCGTAAATAGATTTCTTTATCAATTAATACTATAATGATGGATTTAAAGATTTAAATTTTCTAGTAGCACAATAATATTTTTAATTTTTCTATTATTAAATAATTTCTTTCATTATATAATACATAACTATTAAGTTTGCAATTGTTGCCGAATTTTTAAAACATTTCTACGTTTTATTTGAAAAGCTAAAAGCTTACATCATTTTATATCTATACATATTTCTTTAGATTAAAATTGATATAAAAGTTATATAAAAGCAGTAACTTTATTTATTATTTATTTTTTTATCGGAACAAACATTTCTCAAAAAAATTAAAATACATCGAAGTTCCATTGATTTTTAAAATTGTAGACTTAACCGGGCATCATACTTTGAGTTGTATATATTTTTTTCGAAATTGAATATCAATTAATCATTTAATTAAAATTTTGTTCATGTATCGTGTCCTTATATTTTTTTTAATTGAAGAAAAAAATTTTGTTATGGAGACCTTAAAAATAATCGAGAAACCTACCTAAATCGTATTTTTAGTTTCGTGGCGCAAGTTTTTGGACGCACCACACAAGACTATCTCGGTTATTTTTAAGATCTTCATAAAAAAAACTTTTTTTCTTTATTACAAGAAAAGATAAAAATATGAAATATTTAAAAAAAAATCTTAAGAGTGCTTTTGATTGAAAAAATAAATTAAATTTTTATTTCTTTTTGTTTGGTAAATCGTCTCGAACCCTACTTTAATCAGAAAGAGTAAATAAAGAAATAAAAAAAAACCATTAAAATGTCTTAAAGATTTTTAAGTTTAAAAAAATCTAATTAAAAATTTGATAATCGGTAAGATCACAAATCAACTTTGTTTTTTTTTTTGAGAAATTTTCACCCAATCGTATTCTTACATACATAAATTTATTATCTCGAAATAATTAAATATTCATGTAAAATGACTTTTACGAAGTAATATTTAAAGAATTTTTACCCTCAACTAATTGTCCCTCTAAATCTTTAATTTAAGGAAAATCACTTGAATATTTTCCAATAAAAAAAAAGAATAATATTCGAAATATTTTTTTTTTTTGAAATTTCTTATTCTAGACGTTGAAAAACTTTAATATTTTTTTGTAAAATCTCTTAAAACACGATACTTAATACTTAGAAACTATTCATTCAGTTTATAGTTAATCACATAGTTAATTATGTGGTAAATAAATAATAAAATTTTACTAAACATAATATTAAAATATTAAAATTAAAAAATATATAATAGTATTTTTGGATCAAAACGTTAAATTTGGCGTTTGAAGATTTTGTTTGAAACGATTTTTTTTTTTTTATTGAAATAGAAATAAAGAAATAATGAAATTCAAATGAAAGTTTTTATAAAAGTAGGAAAAAAGTAAAAGATAATATTTTTAGAATGTTTCATTATAAATGGTACTGCTAATGGGGGGAGGGAATATTCTCTATATAAGTTCTCGATGAAAAGGGTTTATAATTTTCTCTGGATCTTTTTCTTTATGTGAAAGAAAAGGGTGTCATTTACGAATTACGATGTCGAAGGTTCTGGACTGGCATCAATATAATCAATATCCGACGACGTCGTCGCACTCTTACGTCGATTTTGTAGTGGAGATGCGTTAATTCGCGCTTTCACATTCGCATTCGATATATTCAAGCGATTGGCAGTCTTTGAAAACGATTGTTGCTTTAGCCTAAAAAAATTGAAAATATAAATTGAAAGAGCATTTTCATTTGAAAAGCGTTCTATAAAATAAACATTTTATAGAGTTTCTATTTTCAAGGCCTTGAATTTGTGTAATAATTGAATCTATTTTAATAGATCATTTCACACCCCTTATATATGAAAGAAAAATTGAGATGACACTAAATTTTTTTTTTGTAAACGCAACAAAAAAAAATACATTTTTCAAATAAAAAAATATAACTTCCACTTGATCAAAATTTGTTTATTAAAAATCTATTATTCTGAAAGTTTGTCAATTTTTCGGTAAAATTTCATTTTTTTTTTAATAAGACAAGTGAAGATATTAATTTGTAGAGAATTTGAATTATTTTGTATTGTTTACCTCAATCTTTGGTCAGCACTCCTCATAGCAGTATTGAGCTCCTCTTCCCATTGCTTCTCCTTCCTTTCTCTTTCGCGCTTGTCTAATTCCCATTCACGATTGAAATTGAGATACTCTGGTATGCATGCCAGCTTCCTGTATTCTTGAACTGGACCCTTTTCTGCTGCCAGGACATCTTGAGTCAGAGATTTCACCTCGAGCGATCTGAATTATATGCAAGATCATCTGGAAAAATTATAATCTATCGCTTGGTTTTCTCAGTTCACCAAACAGTCAAAATGTTTAGTGAACTTTTCTGTTTTCTTTTTTTTTTTTTTTAAATTAGAGTAAATGTGCCAGTTACGGTGCGATTATAGTCACGAAATCTTTGAAGTAAAAAATTATACATTTTTATTGTAAAAATTTATTAGTTAAATTAATTAAGTTAAATTTATTAGTAATTGTATCAAAAAAAGATTAAAATATTTTTTTTAAATCATTTTGCAACAGTTATATCAAATATAATAGTAATAATAGTTATTTTTTAAAACGCGCCGTAATTGAGGCACTTACCCTATTATGCTTTAATTTTCAATTTAATAATTTTGTTTTTTGATCTAAATATTTAAAAATTCTCAACTAATTAAAATTATATATTTTTTTATCATTAAACAAATCGTGAGAAAAATTCTATTATTTTTAAAAAACAAAAACAATTTTTAATTTGAAAATAATATATATAGTTTATTAAATTAAAGATTTAATGCGAAAAAATGAACTCTATTTAAAGAATCTCGAGTAATATATAGAAATAACTGCATACTCGCCTTTGTTTGGCTAGACGTTTTTTCTTTTTGTGAAGTGGCCTCTCCTCAATAATCATCTCTTCAAGTTCATGTGTTGGATCACAATTCAAGTGATCCTTGGGTGGTGTGAATGCAGGTTTCATTTTCTTACTCAATACCATATCGAAATCCAATTCGCTCATGATGGTAATGTACTTGAGTTCTTTGAGAGTTGACACACGGGCGCCAGGTGCCAATGTTAATAGTCGATCCAATAATTCACGAATTAATGAGCTCCATTGCTCCGGCGGTTGTCTTTCATCCTGTAGAATTTCTAAGGCTTCACGGTGTGATGTTGCTGCATGAACTGCGTATGGTCGATTTCCCGCTAAGGTTTCCCATGCCAAAACTCCCAAACTCCACCAATCCACGGCATAACCATAACCCATAACTCCCGATTCATCACATGAGCACATATAAATTTCCGGAGCTAAATAATATTTATAGAAATGAAAATGTCACATTAATTATTTTTTCTAATTATACAACAAAATTTGTTTGGCAAATAAAAAAATTATTTTCACAAATAAAAATTTTTTTTTATGGAAAACGTGTGAATAAATTGATAAAAATTGCATTTGAAAAATTTAAATTTGATAATTTAGAAATAAAAGAAAAGAATCTTTACCCATATAAGGTTTTGTTCCTGACATCGAAGTTGCCAATTGTCCATCTTCTAATTTCGTGGCGATATTAAAATCCGCCACATGAGCATGTCCTTGAAAAGTAATTATTTTCTTAATATAAATCTTTCTAAACAGGATTTTTATGAAATTAAATTAAATATATTTGTAATATTATTTTAATTTTTATGAAAGTTGATTTAATAATTCAAATAATTTATCATCCAATGCATATATCAAAATTAGCATTATAAATTTTCGAAGAATATTGGATTACTGTTAATAAATTAGTTTACTGCCAGTAATTAAATACTGTATTAATGTAATTGTAAATTTAGTATGTTCGCTTTTCAAAAGTGTTTATTGCAAATATCTCTTTTGCCTTTGTAAAATTACAGATTTCAATTATGTAATATTCATCAATTTCTGGGAAAACTTTATTCAATCGTATTTTAAAATATTGAAAAAGTTGAATTTTAACTAAAAACTAAAAGTGGAAGTTTAGTGTAAAAACAAAACTTTTTATCAAATTGAGTCAGTCGCGTTTTTTCTTTTTTTTTTTTTGTTTAATAAAATCTGATGAAAAATGTATTTTCACGTCACTATGTATGATTGGATTTAAGTCGCAAAGTCTGATTACAATTTCTTAAAGAGAAAAGTTTCTTGGTGGAATTTTAAATGTTGACATGTTGAGTGATTTTCTTTTCAGAGACCATCGCTGTCTGGCGACTTTCCATTTTTATTTTGAAATTCAACCTTCCATTTATTTCCTCATAAAGATCATTTCCAACTGTCAGAATAATCTAAGTGAAATGTGCATTTGGATATTTGCCATTGATCGTTTGTTACATATATACATATATCTTTTTCGGAAATTGATAGAAATTTGTCCTCAAGTTGGGAAAAGTCATTTTCCATAAATTGAATTTTTCATCGAAACTTTATTTTACATAAACATCGTTTTATAGTGTATTAAATTTTTGTCAGGATATTGAATATTAAGAGTGTGAGACATTTTTTTGACGTTAATTAAAAATTCTCACCTGCCTGATTTTTTTTTAATTTAAAAAAAAAAATATTTAGGTAATTAATTATATAACATAATAATTATATTTTTTTTATTTAATTTTTCAAAATTGGTTTTAATTAAAAATTAAATTTTAAATATTTTTTAATTTAGAAATTAAATGGTTAAGATTTTTAATTAAAAAATATATTCTTATTGTTTTCAACAACAATTTGTGATGTAAACCTGATACAATAGAAAAGTTTTAGTTGCGCAAATTTGATGCGCATATTATATAGGCATCTCTTACAATACTATAAATCATTTTTGGGAAGGAAAATATTTGGCTACTTGAAACGTAAACATCTACATAATAACGTGTAGGACCGGAAGAGAAAATTTTAAATAATTCAAAGGCAATTTCCAGCGTCAAATAGCCTGAAGCTTCCAGCCATTATGAAAATTTAGCTATCTATTATCAGAATCAAGCTGGAAAGAAGATCCACTAAGAATTAATATCCATATATGGTTGAAAAACATTTTTTACCGTGAATTAAAAATCTTTTCGACTTTAAAGCCTTCTTTTCTTTTCTTATAATAGATTTGGAAAAAAGTTTTAGCGCACTCAAGAAAATTTCTTTTATAATTAAAAAAAAGTTTGTTCTTTATTGCATTTGCCATTTTTTTCTTTTTATTTTAAAAATAATTTTTGGTTTCAAGCAATATTTTATACTGCATTTGCCCTTTATTTAAAAACATATTTCGTTTCATAAAATATTTTTACTCAATAAAAGATTTTTTTATTCTAGAACATTTCATTTGAACAAAATTTTCATATCCGCTTTCAATTATTATCGAAAAACAGAAGCGGGTATATTGTTTTTTTTAAATCTTTTAATAAATAAATATGAAAATAATTGAATTATGTAGTTAATAAATTCATAATATAAGTTAATTTTTAATATATTTAAAATTTGTTTGCCAAAATTGAAAATGTTTTGTTTTTAATTTGAAAATACGAATAAATATTTTTTTTTTCGTTCTTTACAGAAAAAATAGTATACGTATTTTTTTTATTTTTTTATAAGTGTCCAAAAGTTTGAGTTATGAATTTTTAAAAATCTGAGATTTTCAAGGTTTTTTAAAAGTAGAGCAGGATGATCTTTTTTGTTTAAAATATTTTTTTCTTTTTTTTCTTTTTCAATATCAAAATAAATTATTTTTTACTTTTTTTTTATTTTTACATATCTGAAAGTACTAAGATTTTTCAAAAAATATGTAAAAATAAAAAAAAAGTCACTCTCAAGTTCAATAATTTTTTAGTTAGATGTTATTGAATAAATAGGTCTACTTTTAAAAACCCTCGAAAACCCCAGATTTAAAAAAATTCAGAACTCGAAAATTGGGCACTTACATAAAAATAAAAAAAATACGTATACCATTATTTTCTGTGAAGAACGAAAAAATATATATTTATCCGAATTTAAAAGCTCATAGATAAATTTCCCGTAGAATTGACCTTATAGTCTGATTTAAACTTTATTAATTTATTTTCAAAATAAAATCTTTCTATTATTTACTCAAAATAAAATTATATATTATATCCTGTAAAAACACATAAAATTTTTTTCTTTTATAAATTATTCGAAAACGAATTTTTCGACTGAAATAAAACAAAAAAAAAAAAAAAAAAAAAAACGTATTATGATAAAAATTCTTTATGAAAGAGAATTGAAAATGTATTTGGATGGAAATTTTGATCTTTTTTAAGTTGAAAGACGTGTAATCGAGTATAACAGCTGGTCCATTGAGATTGCTATGTTTAAACCATCATAAAAAATGCATTTATAAACGAGAGTTGGTTCGAGGTAGAAAATGAATTCGCTCTGCAAAACCACAGTGAACTATAATATAGATCCTTTGTGGCTTCGAAACCCCTGTTGAACTTTGTCAGTCGATTTCTACCCTCTCTGGTATTTCCCATTTTTCTCATAATTATTTTTCTCTTTCTATTATTATATTTTTTATAAATATGGGAATAAACAGGAAAACTTGTTTAAACATATGCAATTTACGTATAAGTACTGTTTTCATTCTTTATTTTACTTTCTTCTTCTCTTCTTTTATTTCCTTATTTTTTCCTATTATAAATTTGTTTTTCTTTTTAATTTATTTTCTTTTTTGGCTTCCCCATAGAGAAAATATTTTGTTACATCTTTTTTCTTTTCTATAGTAATTTTTATACAATTAAGAAATTTTTTTTTTTAAACAGCAGTTTTAGTTTTTTTTGGTAGAAAAAATGTAAAATTGTAATGTGAGAAAAGAATTTTTTAAAAACAGTTAGATTTTTCATGATTGAGAAAACATTTGAAAACATGTGCTAACATAGAGCTTCTTTTATATTTGCGTCAAAGAATAAATTCTTAATGAAATAGCGTCTTTGACTTTTATAGGTCGTACGAGTCTTGCCATAAAATGGCTATTGTAGGAAATAAGCAGTAAAATAGTCTCTAAATTTGAAAGTGTTTATTTTTGAAAAAATTTTTCAATTTAAAATTATCAGAATAATTTTTTTTTTTTTAAAGAAGAAAAAAAAAATTTTAATTGCATTATAGTTTTATTTTTTAATTTAAATTGACTGAATTTTTTCTTCTAAAAGGAAACTGAAAGGATTAAAAATTTATTTTTTAGCTAAATTATTCAAAAAGTCTTACCGTCCTCATCCAAGACAATGTTATCAGGTTTTATATCCCTGTGGATAATTTTGTGATTTTGTAGATAGTCGAGAGCCAGGGCAATCTCAGCGACGAATAGAACGATGCTGTCTTCACTAAATTTTACTACTTGTTGTATGTGATATCTTAGATCTCCACCCAAAAGTAGGTCGGACACCATGAATAAATCTTCTTCATCTAGTAAGAGTAATTTTACATGTAAATTAAATAATCTCGTTAATTTGCTTCTTGTATCTCACTTAAGTGAGAGTATAAAAAAAAATTCTTCAAGTTTTCCATATTTAATAAAAATTTTCTAATTCTCCTATATTTAATCGAAAACTTAAATACAAAAATAAATATAATTCAAATTAAAATAAAAGTAATTTAATTGAAATTTGTTGACACTTTTTATTTATGTATTTCAGCTTCTTCTACCATAATTTTAGAAAATACTTTTTTATTTTGCTTCTTCACGTAAAAAAAATATAATTATAAAATAAGAGGTAATTAAAACTAAAAAAGTAACGTTTTTTATTAAAAAAAAGATTCTTTAATATTTTCAAAAAGACTTTTACTGCAGACATAAGTTAAAGCCCTTGAAATATTCTTTTCCTTGGAGAAAAAAAATTTTTGTTTTATAGATGAAAATATGATGTTAAATATTTTGCAACACGCCAGGGAAAAAATTAAAGAGCGTTTTCTCATCTCGTTTTTCTTTTTATATAGAAAGAATTATGAATCTCTCGTGTTTCTCTTTGTGGACTCTTCTTTTACATGAAATTAATATTCTTAAAAAAGAGGTAACAGAAAAAAAGGTTTGTTGAAGCATGAAAATTCGTAAAAAAAATATTAATTAAAAAACATTTTTTTCTTTTTTCAAAAAAAAAAGGAGAATTTTTTATGTAATATAATAAAAGCAAGTATTTAAACGAACCTTGAAAACTGAACCACAGATTCACTAAAAAAGGATGTTCAAGTTTCGAAAGGATCTCCACTTCTCTGGCAACGTTAGTCAAGGCACCCCTTTCGGCACATTCCCACTTGTGAACGTACTTCATGGCATACATATTTCCTGTGCGATCTTTCTTCTTCACGATACAAACCTTGAATAAAGAAAATAAGCAAATTGTCACTTTTTTTTTTGATTTTATAACAATCTCGTTAGTAAATTAGAAAAAATTCGACGCTTCTATATTAATTAAAACCGTGCTTCAAGACTGAAAAATAAATTTGAGACCAAGAAACGAAACCATTATTTAAAAAGATTAATTGAATTTTAAATAAGTTTCAGAATACTTTTTTTAATTAATGAAATAAATGAAAACTAAAATATTTCATCAATTGTAAATTAATTTAACTATTTAAACAATTAATTAATATTAAAAATTCATAAAACTTTAATTTATAAATAAAAATAAGTACAATTAAAATTTTGTATTAAATATACAAGGAATAAATTTTCAAATCTTAATTTTCCTCAAAATTGGAGAAAATTCGCAGAAGAAACTTACTTTTCCGAAACTCCCTTTTCCAATGGCTCTGAGTATTTTGAAATGATCGAAATTCACTGCAAGCAAAATAGAATTTATTGTTGTTTCTTCACATTAAATCGACATTTAAATTTCATTTTCAGGAATTGTTTGACCTGCTTCGATCATTCTTTATACAGATTTCTGATAGAATGTTAGAAATAGTATCGATTTTGCGGGAAACAGAAAATAACATATAGAAATGACATTTTTGTGAATTTTCTCGAACAAGACATTTTCAATAATGCTCTTTCGTCGTAAATTCCCATTTTTACGGTTTACTTTACCAATATTTTTCACTTCCCATTATTACGTTCCATTCACTCAACATATATGTAAACCGAGATAAATAACTTTTTTTTATAACTATAATTTATAATTAAAAGAAATCATAAATTTCCTCTTATTTTCATTTTATTTTTTTTTTGAATCTATTTGCGATTTGCAATTTTAGTTCTCCTTCAGTTTTTAATAAAATTCACATTTTACATCAGAGTAAAATAAAATTTAAATTCCATAACTATTAAAAAATTTTCAATTTCAAAATTTCAGTTATCAAATATTGTGAGATATTTGATAAGAAAAAAAAATTTAATAAGAAATATAAAATGTAAAGAATTTTGTTAAAATTTTTGTTATATTTTTATTATCTTCCTAAAAATGCATATTTTACATGAAATAATAAAAATTTTAAATTGTTTTTAATTTTTATTTTGTATTCTAAAAACTAAAAAAAAATTTCCTCTAAAGTTTGATAATTTTTAAAAATTAGTCGACAACGAGTTTGGTCGAAATATAATGGAATGATATTAGAAGAAAATCGCCTTGTCTGAAACGGTTTTATGAGTCAACATAGTGATGCTCACTGTAATAAGATAAAAACTTTTCTTTTATGCCTTGTACACTCAGTAGAAAAGAATAATATATATATATATACGAAAGAAAATACGTGACTTGAGCAAATTATGTTACACACAGCAGGGAATAAAGCTCTCTAAATTATTTTATGCTTTTTTGGTAAACAAGTTTCACAACAAGTTTAACATTCTTTTTTTTATATCGTAAAAAAGGGAACTTTATTTTTTTTTCACAAAATTTATTGTTAGTCTTATAATTATTTTATAATTCTTTAGTTTCTCTTTTTCATAAAGTCAATTGTAAATTTTACTTAATACATTTTTCTGATATAAATATTCTTAAAATTTTTCATAAAAAAACTCTTTAATATAGATTCTATATATTTGTAGTTTTTCATTATATTAATAATAAACATCATGAACTTTATACACGAGTTGAAGAGTATTAAAAGCTTATGTAGTTTACGATTTAATATCATTTGATCCCTTGGAAGCTTTTAGCCTGACATTAATGCAGTTAGCATTCTAATATTAATGTAATTTATTCTGATCGTGGGAAATTGGCAACAATATAGTATATTTCGTATATGTGTTAAATTTAATTCAAGTCCTGAAATTTCGTTACGTAATTTTGACGACTATTATTCACATTTTGTGATTCTAATTTAAATTGTATTTTATAAATTATCAAAATTTAGTACATTAAAATAAAATATAACAATATTTTATTTTTCATTAATTTATTAAATTTTTAATCAGAGAATAATTAAATGTTTATTTTTAAAAAATTACTTTATTATATTCAGGAAAAATATAAAAGAGGAAAAATTTATTCGTAAAATAATTTGAGAGAGCAAAATTAAACATAAAGCAACGATTTAATAAAGGTAATTTATTGTTATTATTTTCGATTTGTATGAAAATAAATCAGAAAAAAATATTATATAGAAAATCATAAAATTTGGTAATAATCCATGAATTCTATGTGGGAATTTTCAATAGGGAACGATATTTTTACATTAAATTACCCCATTGAATTTATAGGGCAAAAAAAAGTACTGCGAATTTGAATTTTTATGTATAGAAAAAAAGGACAACGATCACTTTCTAAAGAAAAAAAAATCATTAAACCACTCTTCTTGATAGACACACGGTTAATATTGGAATTCTATTTAAAAGTTTAAAGCCTCAATTTCGTTTCCTTTTAAGAATTTCTTGCGTCGGAACAAGAATCCCATCAAGGCTTTGAAGTAAATTAAAAATAAGAGGATAGTGTAAAGAATTTAAATCTTTTCCATTCACGATAAAATCTATCAGTGAAAATAGTAATGTATATGTTTGCTTTGAACACAAGCATGGAGAAAATAATTTTATATAGAAAATTACAAGAAACAATAATTACATGTTTCACTTTTTTATTACAAACTTTGAACTGATCAATAAAATGATATTTTTATATTTAATAGGTAATTTCAAAAAATTTCATTAATTAAAAATTTATTAATTTTTGTAAAACTTTTCAAAATTAATTTTGTACAATATTAAAAAAAAAATTTGACTCAGGGAATATATTTATTCCCTTAATTATCGATCAAATATTATTAATATTTTAATTCACAAAAAATTGTTTTAAAGTTAAAGTTAATGTATTAAATAGAAAATAGTGAATTATTTAATTTTTATTCAAATTAAAAGTTTTATAGTCCTTTTTAAAAAATTGAATTGTGCTTAGAAAACCAAAAATGTACTCTCAAACTTTTTTTTTACAAATAAATATTTGTCTCATTCTTCCTTAATTTAATTAATTTTCTAAAAATAAATTTCAAATTAAGGTACGTGAATATTTTTAATTTGATGTCATCCCTCGAATTATGAGTCAAATAACTTATCTGTCCATAATTTAATTTTACCACTGAAAAAAATTAACTTTTTTTTTTAACTATATCTATATACATGGTTGAAATGTTATACTATTTACAGGGGTTTTATATATAGTTTAAGCTCAAATAGTTTTGTTTAACCTTCTAAATAGTTAAAATGACATCCTATTTTTCTCCGTGAATTTCAGAAATCTCATATAATATATATATATATATATTGGGTAATCCAGATAAAATATTTTGTAAAATATTTTACACAAAAACCACAAGGTATCAAAATAATAAGGATTTTAAGATCCTAAATATTTTATAATAATATTTTAAACTTTAATAGAAAATTAAAAAAAAAATTAAATACAACAAAATATTTGTCGACAATTAATTTCCATGAAATTTTCAATTTTTTGTAAATTTTTCTTTTACTTTACATGAAATTATACTTATTATTTATACAAAACAATTTGCATTTTATCTTCAACGCAACAAAAAGATTGATGGTTTTACTGTAGATTGAAGAACAAAAAGAATAGAAAAAGAAGAAAAAAAAAATGAAACTTTTTACCTTCCTCTCCAGTAGTGGGCAGATTTCTTGCGGATTGCTTTGCACCCATTTTCCTAATGGCTCTTCACGATAAAGTGCGAGCTTTTCGAAAGTGGTACCTATTTCCTTGTCTTTCAACCTTACGAGCTCCCAGTAGCTTAATTTCCACATTTTCTCTTGTACTTGCGGAAACACACATTTCAACGGTTGAAGTCGCTTCAAGAGACAACTAATCCCATTCAGAAGCTGTGAGCTTTTAATTCCTCTTCTCTTTTTTCGTTCATTGTGCTTTTTTATTATACTTTTTTATTATACATAATTCCGTCTGTTATCCGTCGAGAATCATTTCCCTGTGGAAAAAAAGTAAATTATCATTTTTCGTGAATTTCAACAAGACAATTTCACACATGTTTCTATAAATATAGATCTCAGTTACTAATTCATGAATTTATAATTTAAGTGCAAAAAAATATTTTTTAAATCTAATTATATCTACATTTTTTTCAAAATAATTTAATAATTCATTGAATCTTGCACGTGTGTTTCCAATAAGAGTGAAGATAAACGAATTTTGTACACAATTTTTTTTTTTATTCTTTCTCTCCCTCTATTCCAGTGGTCTAAAAAAACAAATGAATAAATTTCTGTCACTCGCGTGAGAGAAAATTTTTACAATTTTTTCGTATTTTATACAAAAAAAAAAAAAATTTTTTTGCGCCTAAAAATAAAAAATTTTTTGAATTAAAAATAAAAGAATTGCGAATTAAAAAAAGCATGAATGATGAAAACAATTTTATTATAAACATTTTCATCCAATTTCTCAGTAATATATAATAACTTTATACCTCATTTATTATATTTCTGCGCTAGCAATGATTGAAATAATAATGAATAATTAATCGCATTGTATCTCTTAATATTCATCAAATAAATCAACATTAACTTGGAATCGTACATGTTTAATTTAACAAAATTTAAATCGTTAATTAACAACAAATAAACTGGAGGAGATAATTCAATTATTCTATGTATATTAAATGTATTTTTCTTATTTTTTGTATAATTCTCTATTTTTTATTTCTCTTCTTATACAAAAATAAAATTTAAAAAATGCAATAAAAAATGATTTTAAAAAATGTTTAAAAACAAAATTACAAATTTTAAATATAACTATTTTTATGTGAATAACCTGGTAATTTTTCTTTTCGTAACTTTCTATCGATTGCCTTTCAAAAGCACTCATTATTCTTTAATAATTTATCAAACTTTTAAAATTACACCTTTTCTCCCCTTACTCTTAAAAACACTATACCTTTTTCTTAAAAAGAAAAAAAATACTGTCGATGGTAATTCTTCTTTGTTGAATCTTTTTGAAAACTTTTTTTTTGTAAAAGATTGTATTGATTGATTTGTAAAAGAACTATATTTAATATACTTAAAGTTCAAATTTCAATCAAAATTCATTTTTTTAACTTTATGAGATTATTTTCTAATAATTATTATAATAATTAATTAGAAAAAAATTCATTACTAATTGAATCATTTCGTATGTTTGTGACGATTAAATATTTTATTTCTAATTAAAATTTATAAAGAAAATTAAAAATTTCTTTTCCCCTCTTGAACGTATATGTTTCCAATAACAGTGAGGATAAACGAATTTTGGACACTATTTTTTTTTTATTCTTTCTTTCCCTCTTTTCCAGTGGTCTAAAAAAACAAATGAATAAATTGCTCGCACTCTCACAATAGCGTGAGAGAACAATAGAATTCAATTTTTTAAAATATCTGTTCCTTTTACTCTGAAACCGCACATACACACACATACATACATACACTGGTCACAATCACTTTCTGTATCCTACAAATAAATTGGATTTTCATTTTTCTCCACAGTATGTTTTAAATTTCAATGCAAAAAGTATCACAATGCATTTTCCAACAGAATAATGTACTATTGTTTGATCATGAAAACAAACTTGAAATAATTATTTCTTTTTTTTCAATTCTGAATAATTTAAAATACTCTGTTAAAGAATCTACGAAAATTTGTATAAAATTTTTCAAAATTAATTTATGCTTTCATGTTTACATATATTATGTTGACAATGTTTTTAAAAGATAAAATATAGATTAATTGTAAACAATTTTCAATAAACTTTTGAGATTATTTAAACTCTAAATAAAAATATAATAAAATAAAACTAAAATATAAAGAATATTGGAAAAATACATGTAACAATATTCATTTCATAAAAAACAGTTTTTTTTATTTGAATCAAAGAATTTATTATAAAATAAAAAATTGTGATTTTTTTTAAATAGTTACAAGGGAAAGTTTTACTTGTTTACTAATAAAAGTTTTTAGTGAAAATAAATAAAAGAATGAAAAGGAAAAATAAAAAAATTGAATCTCATAAAGCACAGAATGTTTCTAGTTTTTGCATTTCTGAAATAAGCTGTTGTCATTTGTAATGAACGCGTTTCCACCAAAATAAACTTAAAAAAAAAAATTGAATTCTTTTTTACAGCATATCAAAGTAGTTTCTCTTTTTAGCTTTCTAGGAAAGTAATCAAAATAAATTTCAAATTAAAATTAATTAAAAAAAATATATATACAATACCTACTATAAAAAAATTTTTTTTTGAAAATTTATCTTATTGAAAGTTAAAAATCTATTTAGATTTGAAACTATCTTTGGTGATTAGAATATGAATAAAATAGTCCATATTAATGTGTTTCGCAAGTAATCAAACTTTATTATCATGTTACTCGAATTCAATAACAATTTGCCAGTTTTCAGATTCTAGATCATCGTACAAGTTTCCGAAATTGATTTCGTCCTGAGAATTACATTTTAAATTAATTGTCAAATTTTCCAATTTTTCGTAAATTTCTTCTAATAGAAAATTGAAACACAAAAAAAAATAACAATTTAACATTCTCAATAAATATAGAGGCATCAAAACAATATAAGTCAAGAATTAAAAACTTATATGTTCCTAATTTAGTTTTCAAGTTCATTTATGTATTTTACAAAATTTCCTTTACCTTGCAAATCACACTGTTTTATTTTTATTTCAATTTTTGTGAAAAAAAAACTTTTCACCATGCGTGTAAAAAAAAAATAAAAAATAATAACTTTTAATTTTAAAATTACTCAATTTATCAAATGAGTAATAATGTAAAGTTTATTAAATGTTATTGTTATTCGAAGAAAAACAAATTTTTTTAACTGTCATTTAAAAAATAAAAATTCTCTCGTGCTTTGTTTATATCACAAAATAGAGCATCGTAATAAACCGACGAACATTTGCCGGCTGTGCGAGCCGCACTGAAGTATGATACCGCGTTCTGAACATAGAAAAGCCAGATATTCTATATAAGTTAGAGCTTGCAGCTTTAAAGCGTCTGCGCTAAAGTTACTAACTTCTGAAGACCAACTTTTTTTTTGTTACAGAAATGTATATATAATGCGTTAATATAATTTATTTTGCAACTTATTTTTTACTGTTTCTTTCTAATGAACTGTTTTTTTTTACATTTTTTACCTATTTAGCCATTTTTTAATTTCATTTTCTGCGAATAAAAAACTTTCTCTTTATTTGAAAAATATCATTTTCAATATAACAACTGTGATAAAAGTTGGAAAATCAACTCTCGGAGAAAATTTTTGCGATGAAACTTCTCTATTTCATCAATTTTATTTTATTTTACTCATTTTTTATTTTGATATACGATTAACTTGATATTTTTCTATTATTTAATTTCATAAAAGTTCATTAATTGAAAAAATTTAAATAATTCGAATAAATAGAACATCATTATTATTATTTTTTTTAAAAAAATTTAAAGAATTAAGAATGATTACACTAATTAATTCATTACACTAATTAATAGATTTTTGTTTCTTTTGATGTAAAAGAATTCAGCTATAAAGTGTTAATTGAATTGTAAGCGAACCTTTGTACATTCTATCTCTTTGCTACTTTGAAATTAGCCAGTATTGAATTTGAATTATTTTAATTAATACCATTTTACGTATATGTACATTATAGTAATTTAAAAATTAATTATATAAGTAAAAAAAATTCTTTTTGATAAAATAAAATTGATTTAATTATTTTAATGAAGCAAAAAAAAATTATATAAAATATCAGTTGTTTTAAGATTCAAACCTTTTCTTTCAAGAAAAAAATTATTTTTCTCCAAATATAAATGATACAATAATGTAGTAAATATATTTGAAGATTGTAATACTTTTTGTACACATACACGTGTCAATATGATATATATTTGTTGAATTCCTGTAAAGTGTTAACAATTTACAAGATTTTTTTTCTAAAGGAAAAAAAAACAAACAGAATTAAAATTGAATTTGTATATTGGAGTCGATCGGTTGGTTAGACTCGATTTATACTGTCAATAACTGGATTTGCGGTTGAATGGAAAAGGCGTATACTCACGTAAATAGCAATTGATGTTAGTATTAGTGATTCGATTGTTTAGCGATATTTTACTCAATAATCTATTATTCAACATTGTTAAGCATTAAAATAGAAAGAAAGTTATTTATAAAAAATACAAACAATAATTCAAGTCTAATGATATATGACACCAAAATTATCAATAAAATAAGTGCGGAAAATAAAATTTTTTAATTAATTTTAATAATTGATTAATTAAAAATTAAATTTACCTAATAGTTAATTTAATGTAATTAATTGATAATTTAAATTTTTTATTTATAACTGAGATTATTAACAATTTTTCTTGAAAATGTATTTTCTAAGAATTTAAAAACATGGATAAAATACGTAAAAGTTGAACTTTAAAACAAAACAAAACGACAATATTTTCTCCCTCGCTTGATAACAATACTTCTTTTTTTATTTAAAAAAAAAAAAAAAAAAAATGTATCTTGCTTCTTCCCATTTATTTTCAAAATGAAATAAATGTACAAAAAAACTCATTTTTCAAGCGTTCATTACTTTTTTTCTATAGATTAAAAAATGTTTGAAACTCTCGAGAAAAATCCATAATTTCTTCTTTGATGTCTATATGACCTCAATTAAAAAAACATACGATTTCTGTCATCATTGTTTCAAAGAACAAGAATACGTTCAACGAAATGAAAACAAATTGCAATGGCCACACCTTCAAGTACTTATATAATAATGAATAGATAAAAAAATGTTACTATTAATTTTTTGTTTTGATAAAGAACATGTGTGATATATATAAAAATATTTTTACCATATATTTTTCTCAAAATATGTTTTGCGCGTATGTAATGTAATCTGATCCATCAGATATAATTGTCTTCTTGAATAGTCTTTAACACACGCATTGTTTCCATAATTAAACATTATTATGTTCAAATTTGTAACCTGCGAAATTATAATAATTAAACTAGATTATATTCTTTTTTAGATAAAAAAAATTCCATTTTATTATGCACCAACCTTAATTATCAAGAATATCAAGCTTTTTAAATCAAAATATGAAACGAAAATTATTTATTAAAATTTTAATCAAATGCATTAGATGTATCAATTACATTAAATAAATAAAAAACCATTATTTTGCGTATTCGCAATAATAAACGTACTTTTTGTTCACAGAGTATGTGGCGATACTGAGTGTAATATTAATTAATGACCACAATCATTTTAAAAAAATCATTAAAAGTAAAATTAATTTTTGTTTTCATTAAATAGGACTTTGTTATAAACGCATTTATTAATTTTGATGATTAATAAAAGAAATTGTTTACAATAACATTTATTAATAATATTTATATTATACTTGCACTTTTAATTTAAGGTTAGAATCCTGTTGTATGACCACCGTATCCACTTTTCTATGTACATTAAACTCAACATTTGTATTGAACAAAAATGTCTTATTCAAAATAAATAGCCAGAGAATTATTATAAATTTTCAAAATTTCTTGATTACTTTTATTAATTTGTACAAAAAAGAACAACAAATGCAACAGATTTTATTGACATTTTGACAGTTTAAAAATCGATTTATTCGAGTTTGTAATATCGAGATCCCGGAGAAATCGAGATTTTTTTCCGTAAAATGTTCAGTAGCAGAATTTTTCCGAAAATTCTATCAGGAGCATAGAAAGTTGTAGAAAGTAACAAATCAAATTAGCCAATTAGAAGCCTTCTTTATTCATTAAAATATCAGGTATCAGGATTGTATAAACATTCAAAAATAAGAAGTAGCCATCGTAGCCATGTTGCAAAAAAGCAAAGACAAAAGTTTATGAATTATTGAATCTTGTTTTTTATGTTTTTGTGAAAAAAGTATGTTGTTTTTTCAAGAAAATAACATTTTATTTTAAGGTAAGATACTTATAATTTCTGATTTTAAATTCTAAATAATAAATTGATCTTATATATATGTATAATCATAATTTTATATCTTTATACATGTTTTTGATTTTTAAATTTTAACCTCAAAATTAAATTATTCTTTTTAAAAATTATTTCACATAGACACAAATAGTATCTTGTAAAAGTACAATAGGTACGTTTTTTTTAATTAACTAATTAATTTTTAAATAAATATATTAATAATATATATGACTTATTTAATTTCAGTATGAGTAGATTCGTTGTGCACTGTATTTTATTCTCTTTCCTCAACAATTTATAAAAGAGTAAAATTAAAATAAAAACAAAGATGCAATTTAAAAATAATTTATGCTTTGCAGAAGAACCAATTTCATTTGTCACCATTATTAATATTTTTGTTATTGTCACATGATTATATTATTTTATTCTTTACCTTTTCTTTTTTACAAATTTTCACAATTTTGACCTAAATCGTAATAAAAAACATAAATAATAAACCTTCTTTCGGTTCCTTAATAAATTTTATAAAATGTTTTCTTTTATTAAATTTTAACAAAAAAATCTGAAAACTTTTATAAAAAAAAAATAAACTATTAATAAATATAGTCACAAGTTAAAATAAAATTCTTTAATAAAGTTTATATTTCAGTAAAACTTATCTTTATATCACCTTTAAATGTTGTACATTATTTTCGAAGGATAAAAAAAGTACATTGTAACGTAAAAAATATAAAAGAAAAATATTATTAAAAAAAAATGGAGCAAACAAATTTTTTTTCTTTTTTCGTTTCATAATAAATTTTATAATTAATATGAAGCAGCTATTTTTGGTATTAAAATAAAAGTGCAATTTTTGTATGTGCTCGTGGCTTTGTATCTCTTTATATTTTATTTTCATTTATTTTAATTGTCTAATTACAAAAGTACTTAACAAATTCTTGAGGTGCACAACAAAAGGGGGTAAAAAGGATTCACAACAATGCAAAAGAAGTAATTGTAGAAAGACAATTTGTAACATGAATAGAACAAAAGGAGCCATTCTTTAGTGACGTATTTTTTCTTTTTCGTTCTACAAATTTTTCTCTAATATTTTATTGTTATACTCAATTATTACTATAATTAGGCATTTTTTTAATTAAATTATAAAAATTATTTTAAAAAATCGATTTTTACAATTTTTTTTTGAAGTTTAGATAAATAACAAGAAAATAATAATTAACCTTGATCTATGAGTAAATGAGTAAATCGTACAACTGTAACAAGGAAAATTACTGTTTTAAAGTTTAACTATATGTTTGAATATAGTTAGAGTTTCCGTTTTAACTTCCATTTCATCGTTGTACAATGTGTTTCTATTCAATATTCATGTTTCTCTGCGTCTCCATTGTTTAAGCCGTTTAGACTCTGAAATGTTTATGTTTAATCTATTTCTCTAAACCCTTTTACAGTTATATTTATTTCATTGAGATAGTTGTTCTCGCGAAACGTCATATTCAAAAATACAATTTTACGTTCCATTTCTGTCACACATGTGTTATAAACTTTAATTATTATTTATGCCCTATTACACATATGTGGTCCGAGAGTAAATATTATAATTTAAATACAAATTTCACATTGTATATAATGTTCGCAAAATTTTACTGCCTCTATATGGTATATTGCAAGTTGTAAAATTTTGTTTATCTGATTTAAAAAAAAAAAATTTTTTTTTAATGTTTAGAAAGATTTTTTTTTTAATTAAATAGAATTTTAATATATGTAATTATTTTAATAAACAATTAATTCTTTTATTTATTATTTCTTCATTTGTTGATATTGAAGTAGTTTACAAGCTTTATTTTTTTAGTAATAATTTAATAATAATTTTAAAAAAATATGATTTATTATAATGTTTTAGTATATTAAAATTGTTTATGATACTACATTTTATTCTTGTTAGCTATAAATTTGGTACGGTACTTAAAAATTTATGTTATACATAATTTTTTTTTTTTTATATATGTATAAAGTTTATTATTGTTGTTGTGATCAAGAAAATAAACTCATTGAATTTCTACGCATAATTTAGCATTTAAATTCGAATGGTTTTCTAGAGTGCGCGCAACATAATGAAATCTTGATCAATGGTAAACTTTTCATATTTCTGGTAAATTGAATATATATTTAGCTTCCGCAGGCGATTTTATTAAAAATGTTTACTTTACTTTATTTACTTTTTTTTATTCCTGATTTCACTTTAGTATTCGAATCTCTTTTATAAGAAATCAAATTCTTTCTTGCTTTTTTTCTATTTATTTACTTTCAACTCTAATGTACATTGTAAATTTTGTAATGTTTCTAATAATTTATTCGCATATTTTCAGAATTATCAAAAGATCCAATTTCAGGAAACTTGTTTCGAAAATTTGGAATTATTCTTGTATCAGAAATATTTTATCCAACATTTTGAAAATCCAAAATCTGGAATATTTTTGTATATATAAATATTGAAAAAGATGAAAGAATTTTTGAGGAATACAAAAAAGAATATAAGAGTATGTGGAAGGAATTTTACAAGAATAGTATCTACTTCAGTGTTCCATAATATACAGGTAAGAAATATTTTTAAAATATTTATTTTTAAAATAAAAAAATTCAAAATTTTAGTTATTAATTTAAAATAAATTTAATAATTAGTTAATTTATAAATTATTTAGGTAATTTAAATAGTAATTCTCTAAGTAATGGATTTTTCTACGAATTGAAAAGCTGATTTTTTATTATATGAAAATATTTATGATGATTGAATATTATACAATGATGGAATACTAGTCATTATAGGTGCGTGCAAAGATTCGTGAATCTTTACAGTATAAAGAAATAGTGATTGATAACTATCACAAGATTGATTAAACGAAAAATGATATCCAGAAATAAAGATGCTATTTACTAGTTCTCGATATATAAAAATAGAAAAACACAATTCCAGCATCATCAGAATCCATTTGATATAGCGTACACAGTCCTTTAAGTTGTGCCTTTTATAAGCCTACCCTTATATGATATAACACTAATCCAACTATCTCACATCTCGTTCCATATATCTATCTCTAAATCTAAATTCTGGGAGCATTGGCCTCATCGATTTTACTTCAGAGACTATACCCTTGTAGCGTGTTTCATATAACGTATACTTCATATTCCGAACACTACTCAAATATATATATATATATATATATATATATATAGTTTGAACTCTATGCTGTTGATAGAATATTTAAAAAAAGTGTGACTTATTCAGTTTATACTGCACTTAAGTTCCATTAGAGTAAATTTCATCTAATTAGGATTAATATTGTTTGACAGACAATTTTTACGCGACTTTTTCAATGTTTTTTTTTGTTGGAGTTCCAAACTTTAAAAAAAATTTTAAAATAGATGATAGAATTTCTATTTGATGGAATTTTTTACTAAACAGAATAGACGAATTTTTATTTGCATGAATTGTCCATTTTGGAAGAATTTATAAAAAAAAAATCGAATTTTCATTTGAAAAAAAAAGAAAAATTTCGACGTAAATTTTAAATTAAAAAAAAAATGTTTAATTCGCGCCTAAGTCTTTCTATATGTTTGCAGAAAAATGAAAATTTAAAGTTAAAAAAATTCTATCAAAGGAAAATTCATGTAAATAAAAATTCAGTGATATGGAAATTCTATCTTATAAAAATTCATCTAAATGAATATTATTCTGACAAATGAAAATTCGATAAAATAGAAATTTTCTACTATATGAGAATTTGTTTAAATAGAAATTCTGTTAAATAAATATTTCAAGAACTATAATAACACGGATAAAAGAAAATTCCATTAGCTAATAAAATTCTAATAAAATGAATTTTAGGACTTATTCATAAGTATCAAAAAATTTTAATTATACACTTGTTTTCTACTCGATTCAATTAATATTTAAATAATTAAATTTTTTACAATAAAATTAGTTGAGAAATGTGAATTTTACACTTAAAACGATTAAACATTAAATTATTTAAATTTCTATGATTTATAATTAATTTGTTCTTATAAAATTCCATACAGTTTAATTTGAATATAAAAATTGAATTTTATTGGCGATAAAAATCTACTTCAAATTTTTAATGTTTCTGTCACGTTTCCACACTTGTGTATATGTACAATAATTTTGCAACTATTTTTGCAAAAAAAACAGAAAAATTTTTACACCTTATTTCTAAATCTTAAAAAACACTAATGAAAATGGTGAATTAATCAATTTTTTTAATACAGTATTAAAATATATATCATCAATAAAATTTACATATATGTTAAAAAGTAGTATATAATAACTCAAAAATGCTGTAAATAACTCAGGTTCATGACTTAATGTAGAGTATACATATATATGTATAGTCTATAGATCTATTCGACCTTTTGCCAAGTACATATCCTAGAATAGAATAGAAGCATTAACGTAAGTTTTATGTTTCAGGATCAATAACCGTTACAAAAGCAAAGGCGCATAAATATCGGCAAGGATCGACTCTCTTCAGCTATAACATAACAGCTCACAGCAATAGAAGCTATACTCTCTTATGTGATATTACCTCTCTTTCTTTCTCTCTCTCTCTCTCCGGCTTACCTGGTGAAAAATGAGAGCCTCTGCATTTACCTGTACTCAGCTCAGCCAATCGGAGACAGAGACCTTCCTCGTTGTTGTCCTGTTAAAAGTGAGTGAGAGGAAAATTGAAACCTTTAAGAGGGATGGATATAATATATATAGGGAAGGATCTATATAAACTTTAGGTTTTTAAAGAAGGACACCCGATATAGGAGGCATTGTACCGCAGCCGTCATGCGTTCCAGGCATGGTTCCAGGTGCTGTTGTTGAAAGCTGAAAGCCAGTCGAGAGACTTGCTTTTGCTAAGGCTAAACTAACACATTATATATATTTTTTTCCCCCTTCTCCATGCTTCAAAAACCGATTGGTTCTCAATCCTCGCGGACACTCAAAACTTGCTCTTCCACTCAAAGTGTCGATTTTCACAAGTAAAAATTTAACTTTATCCTTTTTGTTTTGTTTTTTGTTGCCTCAGGCTCGGCACGTGTGTAATACTTTTTTTTTTCTTTTCATTTCGCTTTGCAAAAGTGTGTGTGTGTGTGTGTGTGTGTTGAGTATTCGTGTGTGAGGCATGTGAGTCACCACGGATACGACCCACAAGACCAGACGATATACTCCACAATAGTAGACCCGCGTGCAATGCGGATACTTGTGCGGCTGCAACTCTATGTTCAATTATTTTATTATTATTATTGTAAATAATAAGAGAAGAAAAAATTAGGATTTTTTTCATCTCTTTTTTTTTTAGTGTCAACTATTTTTTTTTTTTTTTTTTTTTTTTCTCCATAGAAATTTGTGAAGTTGATGTGTCTGTGTGTGAGAGGGTGAATAAAAAAAATCGTTTGGATAAAATTATTAAAGTTTTATTGATTTTCTCAATAATCATTGAGGAATACAATCACAGGATTTATATGGAAATTTTAATATAAAATAAAAATTATATTAATGATATAAGTGAAATTATAAAATACACTTGGTGCCTTTTGAAAAGCAAATATAGAAATATTTGAATTTTGTGTGTATGGAATTCAAGTTCTTTGCGAGAAGAAGAAGCATTCGAAGATCCACGCTGATTTCTGAGGTGGCACATTGGAAGAGAAATGAAGATGGATCAGACAAAGGACAATAAAAAGTAAGTTACATTTAAAAAGAACAAAGCCTTGGGTAAATCTTGGAGATTTAGTACAGCTAATGTTCTTTTAGGTTACTTTTTGTATTACAATTTTTTTTTCTTTTTTTTTTTTTTTTTTTAAGAATTATACTAGGTATAATTAAATATTTTTTATGCTCGAAAATAATTGTAAAAGAATAAAATGAAAATTGTTTTTCTTTAGCAACAAAACATTCGCTTCATATATGTGAAACAAAATTTTAATTTAATTTAATTTTGTTGACCTAACTAAAATAAAGTTGAAGAAAAAGTAATTTTTCCAGACTAACAATAAAAGACTTATAATTAATTAATTAATTATTTTAATTCATATTATTATTTTTATTAAATTTTTCCTTCATTTTTCATAGCTGGTTTCTTTGTTGTTTTTACAAGCCATTGATTAGTATCGAATTCTATAATTATAATAATGTCAATTTTCGATTATTTTACTTTCTAACAAACTTACATTGTGACCTTGCAAATTGTGTGGTTATGCAAGAAATACATGAATATTGTACTTATTTGCCATTTCTTAATCGCACTTAATGTAGTAAAAAGTAAGAATTAAGTAAGAGACCCTTGGCGGGAAAAATCATAATTTTCTGTATGCAATTCAAAAGAGAATATTTTTAGACATGATTTCTTTTTTGCAAATTGCATAAATTCCATTTTTTTCAGTATTTTTGGAAAAAAAATTTATATTTTGTATAAATAAAAATAGGAAAATAATCTTTTAAAATTAATTAATTAATCATGTAACTTATTTATTTATAAAAAAACACGGGCTGAGAATTCTGAGAATTGATTAGGTTAAATTGTTAAAATAATTTATATTTATTATATATGGGCAATTAGAAGTGTTTTTTGTCAAAATTTATTTCTTTTTATGTAAAAGAACATTATTAAAATTGTTTTTCGTTTTTTAACCTTTTGAAGAAAAATTAAAATTAATTATAATAAGTATGTATATAATTTATTTTGTATTAATAAATTAATTGAAATAGAAAATTTGTAAAGATTTTATAAATTTGATAATAAATTTTGTTAATAATTTGGAAAAAAAATGTGATTAGGTTTTATAAAATTTTAATTTTTGTTAGGCCAAGGAAAAAAGTCATAATAACTAAAATTTTGTTATTGTCAAACATAAAATATTTTTTGCAGTAAATTTATTTAAATATTTTTGAAAGATTTAATAACAAAAAATATAAAGGTACAAAATTAATTTATTAAATTTTTTTGTTTCAATTGATTTAGAAAAATATCTTATTTGTGAATAAAATTTCACACAAGTGTGCGGCAAAGCACAAAGGTTTTCTTCCGTGAAACAATTTTAAGAAAAGAGATAAAATTTATGTGTTGTGATTCCTTTGTCCATGGCATCTCACTTGGAAACGTGTAATCCTATACATGGAAATATGTAAAGAATTTCTAAGAGAATTTCCGATTATGTATATATTCACTATATAGTGTGTATGTGTATGTGTGTTATTTATACTTAAGTTTTACGAAAAAAAAGAACATTCTATAAGATTAGAAAGTTCCTTTCAGAAATAATTTCGCGAATTCTCAACTTTTTTTTTTAAACGCAATATATTTTATAATAAATGACAGAACAATAATATCCATTTGAATGAGTTCACGTTTCGGTAATCGCGCTTTACGAGCATTCTTTGTTCTTCAACATATCATGCAGGAAGCTGACTGATTGTTAAACAAGTGTCTACTCGGTTTAATAACCCATAATATGCACATGTAGCTTTTCCACAGACGACAGCACAGGTGGTTTTCAAGGAATCAAGCTGCAATGGTTCTCATTTTATACTCAAAACGCTATAATTTCATTTTGCATCGATGTTGAAAAGAACAAAATTTTAAGTATTTAAAAAATAAATTAAAATTATTTTTAAATTAATCATACAAAAATTAATACGGTGTCAGAAAAAAAAGTCAATTTTTTTTTATTAGGTAGTATAATTTTTGTTTATATACACCGTATCAAGTTTGTTCTTATTTTTTTTGTATTTAAATATTTAAATTTCAAAATTATTATAAAACTAAATGCAAACAGCAAGAAACTTTAAAATGAGAACGTAAGCTTGGAAGCAAAAATAAACTGACAACTAAAATGAAAGGGAAATAATAAAAGGGGAAAAATATGTTAAAAAGTAAATGAAAGAGTGTGTTCTTTCATTTTAATAATGAAGAAAAAAAATAGAGAAAATAAAAACAAAATGTGAAAAAAATATATTGTGAATTAGAAAAAAGGTGCTAAATTTTTTTTTGAAAATTACAATTGAATAAATAAATTTTTATATATATATATATTATATACAGGAAAGAAAGACTACTTTTGCAATAAAATCTATTTAAACACCTCTTATATACTCTCTCGTGATAAAAGTAGGTTGAAGCAGAGGCGATTTAATTAAAGCATTAAATTAAAACAGAGAGTATTACAGGCAAGGGATAATAACTGTGTCTACTACAGTTTAAGAACTCGAATTCAAAACAAACGCGACGCGTGTATATAGTAATTCGCACAAAATTCTCTTCTTTGTTACAACATTTTACTCACATATAATATTTTGTGAACTAGAAAATAATAAATTTACGAGAAATTAAATTATTGACTGATAAATAATTTATAATATTTTGTGTAAAATATTATTGTAATGAAATTATATTTTTTGTAATTTTATTTTCATTTTATACATTAAAAAGAAAATAATTTTTTTATCTTTTTTATTGCAGAATCCCTCCAGCTGGAGCATTGCCATCCATTTCAATGCCACGAGTTCCGGGAAATTCTTTACCAAAAAGCACTATAGGATGTAAGAAAAAATCTTGGAAACGGAAGATTATTCCTTATCTAGCATGTCTCGCTCCATTCTCAACAATTTTAGCCATGCTCTTCATTTGGAACCAAGTCGCTGAATTCAGGTATAATATATGTAATAAATTTTTTTCAAATGAAGGGTAGAATGACAAAAGGGGTCAAGCGCCAATTTATCGAAAATGAGGTTTTTGCATAAAAAAATCAAGAAAATTCATTTACACATTTCTGTAGAAGGATTTCCTTTTTTATTGCGTATTTAAATAAGTTTTTAATAAAAATTAAATTAATAAAATAGCTTCAAATTTACTTTATTGCAACCTGATTGAAAAACAAAAGAAAGTGGTGAGTCAATAATATTATCAAAATAAAAAAAAATATTATTATTTTAGGTTTTATTTTAATATTTTATTTTAATTTTATTTTAATAATATTTTAATTAATAAAATTAATAATAATAATAATAATGCACATTCAATTTTAAACAATTTTAAAATCATTTTGTTATTAATTTTTAAATATTTTTATGGTTATACTAAGTGAACAATTGAATTTAAAGATGAAAGTATTGCTCAATTCCAAAGCAAGCAATTAATTCGTAATTTTCTATAAAACAACCAATTTTTTAAAGGAATTTTTTTTTCTATTCATTTCGTCGATTCCATAGAAAGAAACTAATTTTCCAGTTTTTCTTTAAACTGTATATTTTTTTTATAATTAATGCTTAAAGAAAATGTGCGCAGTTGATATAACCTCAAGGAACCACAGTTTTTTTTAATTTTATCGTTAATATGTAGGTTTATTTCAACAAATTTTTGTTTATTTATTAAAACATACTAATATATCGAAACGGTTTTCTCAGTTTTTTTTTAAATGACCTGCAAAATTTTTTAAAATGTTTTTTTTACTTCCTGTAAAAACAGTGAATTGGCGCTTGACCCCTTTTGTTATTCTACCCTTCAAATATACCATACAAAAAAAATTGAAAATGTTCAATTTTAAATCGAATGAAAATAATATTTTTTAATAGCGAAAGTTAATATTTCTTAATTTCTATATTTTCCACATGTAGACAATAATTTATATTGAAAAGGGGAAAAAACGAAAAGCGAATGAAAAATTAATTCATGAGATGTATGAACATATAATTTTTATCTTACATTTTTGCCTTGTAAAATGTATTTTTTAATGACTTTCATTTAAGAAAAGACAGAAAAATTCTGTTAACGAAAAGCGCGGAAGTGAAGTTATAAAACAAAAAAAAAAAAAAGTAGGGGTTGCTTGGTCTTGAACCGAAGAAGATGTCGAGGGTTGTTCTCATCTTTTCAAGATAAAAGTGCTACAGAGCAAGAGAGCTACTTCATAATTTAATCTGACCGAGTTTCCGAACCTATTTACCCTCCAGTGTTGTGTGCGCAATCGAATAAACCAGTGCTATATAAAAAATTCACCCTCCCTTACTACACCAAATATCGTTGTTATATTTCTATAAATATTTTATGTATTCCAAAAGCAATGTTTTTCAATGTTCTATGCGCATAATAAATTTCTCTTCTTTTAGTACCAAAAAAAAGTAGAATATTGAAATGAGAAATTATAGTAAAAGAGGTAGAAGCAATAATGGAAATACCGAAGAGAGAAAATTTAGGAAAAAAAAACTAAATGAAGTAGTATATTCTCATTTAATTAATAAAAAAAGATAATAACGAAAAAAGTGGAAAATAAAAGAAACATAGCAGAAAATATTAAATTAAATAAAAGAACGGTATATTTAGAAAGTGTAAATTTCAAGAAAGAAGAAATGAAAATGCACGTACGAGAGGAAAAATAAAATTATGTCGAATACGTTCATTTTCTTCCATTCGCCTTTTTCTCTATATGCAAATTATACTTCACAGATAAAATTCGAAAAAAATGTCCAAGAATCAAAATCGATAAAGTCACGTGTAAAAATGTAATTCAAATTTTCATCTTTTGATTTAAATCGGAAAAATTTTCTTAAAATTCAATTTTGTCTAATATAAAAACAAATTATTATTTATTTAATAATTTTTTATTTATTCAAAATTAATTAATAATTATTAATTAAATGTGAATACTTGTTTCTCCACTAAAAATTGCATTGAAATTTTTGTAATTGTAAAGATTTTTCCCCCAAACATTATTGAATGAATGGTATTGTTAGTTCCAGGAGGCAAGCATTCGATGCAAATTTAACCAGAGATTACGTGCTGGACCGTGTTTCAATGGATAATCCCCAATTGGTCGCATACATTCGGGAAGTCGAATTGAAAGTTACAACTAGACAAGATCCTTTGAATGTTTCTCAAACCGAGGAAGAAAAGGCAGTGTCTCAAATTCTTCAGGGAAAACGTGATGGAGTTTATTTAGAATATATTAATCGAGTAAGAAACATTTTTTCTTAAATTAATTTCAATCACTTTTTATTAGTTTTGAAAAAAAATTTCTTTTTCTTTTTAAAAATAATTTAGAGGAAATTTTTTCTCTTTTAAAAAATTAATTAAATCAGTAAAAAATATTATGTTCCCATTTTTAAGGAATAATTCATTAGTCAGCAAAAACTAAGTTTTCCTTTTTAAAATTATAATTAGATACTTAATAGAAAATAAGTCTTCTTTGAAATTTAATTAAAGACTTTATTTTATTTTTACTTTAAATTTTAATTACACATTTGTTAATTTAAAAATTGTACAATTTAGAATTTTACATTAGTTCCAGAGATCGTGGAAAAAATTTAGATATTTGAAACTATTTAGAAATCCTGTACCTACATTTATTTTTATTTTTCACCTAAAATGAGTCAAGAGTCCCTTAATTGTGAAAAATTAAATTCTTTCCTGTTTAAAATAACTTTGAAATTGAGAACATAAATTCCTTTTATGTTTGACAATATTAATTTACTTTCAGAAAATAAATTATAAATTCCATTTTGTTTTAAAATTAATCTACAGTGAAACAATAAATATGATATGTAAAGAGAAAGAAATTGTTCCTTTCTATTGAAAATTAATTAAATTAGAAAATATTTGTGTTGCACTATAATTAATTAAAAGTTCTTGTATTAATTAGCTAATAGAAAATAAATTTACTTTTATTTTTGAGGAAAAGATAATAAATAAACATTATGTCTCTCACCGTGCGTTCAGAAGTAATTTAATAATTTGTTGATTGCGTATTCAATTTCTTAAATTAAAGCAATTAAATACTTCTAAGTTTTATACCATTCAATTCTCTCCGTGGTAAATGACAAACTTTTAAACCCTTTCGTACACTTTGTGGAAATCTAATTTAAATCCTTTGATGCTAAAATCCTACCCAATGCTTTTAAATTAAAAGCGATAAAGTAAACCACTTTTCTAACATCAAACGATGAATTATATGAAAATTTATGAGTTTGAACAAAGAGTTTGTGATTAAAATCTTCACAAGAATGAGGCTTGTTTTATTTTAATTATTTTGTATTGTTTTTGAATTTTACATCAGAGCTGTAAAATATTGTTCTGTATTTTAATTTATTCATTATTACATTTCCATCATTAATATTTTGCTTCTTATATTTTAGTGCCCTAAAATAAGTAGGGTTTCAAAAGGTTTGTCTGTAGACAATTTTGCTTCCAACGATGACTCGAGAAAATCTTATTGGACCAACTTGAAGCTGCATAGAAAAAACTAACATAAAAATAAAGTCTCACATTTCGTTGGAGACAGATAAATTTATTCAATAATATAAAAAATATTAAAACTTTAAACATTTTTACTCCTTCCCCCCCACAAATAAAATATTTTGAATGTAAATTCATTAATAAAATTAGATAAATTTATAATAAATATATATATGTTTTTTTGTGTGTATATTAGATGGGAGCAGTATCAACAACGACCTGGTTAGAGTCAGCCCTGAATTGGAAGGGAGTAATAGTGCTGACGGATCCTAGAAGTTCCTTTCACGTTCGAAAGAGCAAGAGAAACCCAAAAACAAGGGTTCTTCACGCCTGTCTTAGCACAAACAAAAATACTAAAGAGGTGAGCTGAAATTATTTCAGATAGAATATATATTGTGGAGAATAATAATTAATTGTTGAGCAGAATTGTTTGAAAACTAAAGTAAATTTCAACAGTGTTCTAAGTCAGTTGGTATTATTATAAAATTAAATAACCAAATTCATGTTTCTTGCATTCTTGTCTGATTTTTTAAATAAATTTTTTCTTATTTTCATCAACTTTATGTTTGACTTTATAGATACCTTATCATCAGGAGAGTGAGGTACAAGTGACAAAATTGGGCGAGGGGCCAAATAGTCTCATCACACCGGATGAAAGTTTTCCAACCACGAGACTTAAGTGCTTTCCTTTATACAGTGTTCTTTTGGCGTATAACGCCACGCTTATAGATTATCTCAGCTTGGATAGTTCTGATGCTCAAGATGAAGAACAGGTGATTATAGTAATTAATTTTTTTCAATTTTTCATACTGACTGCTAAAAAGGGGATATATTTTATTTTTAAATAACGGAATTTTTAAGTTTTTTTCAAGGGAAAAGGGACCAGTAACTAAATTATCAATTATTTTTTTCTTATATGCAAAATCTTTCGTTGCTATATAAAATATAATTTATAGAATAGAATAGACATGTTTTTATTCAATATTCTTAGATTTTATAATTTTTCATATTCTTTTTTGACTTCTTTATAATATGTGTAAATTTATTATTATTTATTTAATTTTTCAATTTTTTAAATGTTTTTTATTTCAGTTTTTTTATTTTTCATTTCAAAAAATATTTTTGTACTTTTCCTTTTTTTAAATATATTTTTAAAAATAAAATTGGAGAATTTTACAATATACCTAATTATATTTTTTAATAAACATAAAATTAATAGAAATAATAAAATAGGAATTAATTAACAATCTCTTTTTTGGTGATTTTGTCAAAAGGTTTACGAACCACATGTGGGAAATACATCTGGTATTTTAGAGGGTGTTTGGGGTTACGTATATATATATTCTGTGCTTACATCTGGCACTTCAGTGGGAGTGGTGACGGGTTAGAATTAGCTCAGCTTATTTTTCCATCTATTTTGGAATCTAATAAATCCGTCGCTTTAGTCTCCATTTTATCCACGATTTAATTCCTTTAGTAATTAATTACTTAATTAATTCTTTAATTTTGAATTCATTTTGATAAAAATTATTCTTTCTTATTTTTACTTCATTTCCAGTTCATCTTATTTTCTTCTTTTTTTTAAAAAAAAATCGCTTAAAATCACGATTTTCCTCCCCGTTTTTCAATAAATGTCTATTACTTTAATTTTTTGTAAAAGTAGAAATTATTTTTTACTGCAGACGTTTACTTATATTTTCTCTAAACAATAATTTGTAATTAAATTTTTAATATTCTTCTTTTTAAGAAAAAATATTTCTCTTTTTATTTAAAAAGAATCTAAAGTTGAAAGAAAAATTCTTTGTAATATATTTTTACGTTATATTTGCAATTTTTTATTACATTTTTTCTGATTTTATTTTCTATTGAATTTTTTTAACGCTTCTCCTTGTTGCTTATATCGCGGAAAAAAAATTTTTTTTACGAAAGTTTCACGAACTATTTTTTTCCGTAATATATTATATTATTGAAGAGAAATATATATATACGTATGTGAATTTATTTTTTTGCAGGTGCTGGACACAATTCCTTGGGATAAAATTCGAATCTCGGTGCTATCAATTCACTGGAGTCCACATCATGGGGAAGCTGAGACAAAAAGTTTGATTGAAAAACTCTCCAGTAGAAGATATAAGCTTCATCCCTCATCATACAACGGCAAATTAATATTCCATTACGCTAGACTTTTGAAAATATAATTTTTATAAGTTTACATTTACTCTTTCTCTCTTTAGAAAAGTAAGATTTATATGATATTAATATTATGAAAATAATACGAATGGAAGAATCCAAGCATAATATCTTTTGAGAATTATTCAAAAGACAATTCAATAGAATATTGTCTTAATTTCATAATTAACTCGAGTAAAGAACAAAAGTTAAGTAAGATACATAAATTTCAAAAATAAAAGAATTTTATTATTATTAATTAACATTACAATATTAATATAAATAATATTAGTATTATAATGAATACGAAATTTGTAATAATTATAATGAGCGCATTTTTTGTACACGAAAAAGACGTGCCACGTGTCACGTAGTGATAACCAGTGAGCTATTCTAAATAATTAAAATAAGGGCCTTACTAGTAACTAAGATATTTTTTTGTTTTTTTTTCTTTTGTTTGTTAGATTTAGTAGTATTAGGAGTACCTTAATTAAGTAATAATTAACGCCCAAGTAGAGATAGAAAATATTCTGTGACTGATACTTAAACTTCCGTTTAGCTTTAAGTTAGTTATCAATTTATTATTTTTCGTGGATAATTGTAGACGCTACTCAATTTAACAAAAATGAAATATTTTAAGGGCGCGTGATACAATATTATAAGTCGAGTCACGATATTTAAAAAAAGCCTTAATTAATATTTTGGAAAAAAGCCTAAAGTATAAACTTATCATTAATTTACTTATTTCAGTGAATTATTTATTTAATGTAAATTAATACAATTTATACAAATATTAATTTTTTTTTTTAAATAAATGTAAATTCAATTTAATTAATTGAAATTTTTTTGAAAATGTTTCTGTAAAAAAAATAAATGTAGATTATTATATTCATAATAAAATGTTTAATAATTAGTTATTAGATTTATAAGTCAAATTTGAATAATTGTATTTTATTTAAAATTGTGTTTCACGCCCTTAATTGAAACGAGATTTGCGTTTAATCAATTAATTAAATTATTTATTGAAATATAGGAGAATTTACTTAATTGTCCACGAGAGTTTTTTTTTAGATCTCTGATATACATTTAGAATTAAATCTCGTATTTTCATATACTTTAACTTTTTATATTTTATTTTATATTTTCGTTAAAATAAGAATTATGTATTAATAAATTGATAATACTCGTGATTGGGATACGTTCTTTTTTAAATTATAAATATCAGTATCTCATTTCTTTCGTCTCGAAAATTATTTGTTACTAATTGTGCTTTATAATAATACAATTAAACAGAAATCTTAACAATTTTGTATAGGATAAAAAAAATAATATCTTTGCCTAAATTGTACCTATCTTTTTTTTAGAAACAATAAAATTTATAATATTACGTATTTTGGAATGGAATGCGTTTTAATTTTTATATTAATTATCTATATGTGGAAGTAATAAATATTTTTTTCTCACAAGAATATTATAATTTTTTTTTTTTTTTTTAAATTAAAAGATGCCATTCCTTGTGAATATTTAATCTGCTTTTGCGTTTTTGCATAAATTCTACGTGATAATAATCGTTTTGAATAATAAATTTCTTAATGATGAGCTCTTAATGCGAAAATATTTCAAGTGCAGTTAATTAATTGAATTCCAATGCAGTTTTCCGTTACTATTTTTTTTGTTCTCTCTCTCTCTCTTTTTTTTTATTTCAAGTGTGAGAAGTTTAAATAGTACTATGTAAATATATACATATTGTTGTAGATGAAGAGTCAAGAAATTTATCGTAACTTGTTAAATATTGACCCACGCTTATTTAATGACATGAGAATTGCTTTAAAACTGTTATTTTACTAAGATGAGAATGGGTCATATGGGCTATCTAAAAATTAATTAAGAGAATTTATTTTTATTATTTTATTCTCTTGAAAATAAAAAAAAAAAATGTAGAATTAAAATCATATAATGTAAGTGAAGGTGTCATATGGAAGTTTTTTTCGGAAATTATAATATTTATAAAATGAAAAATAGAATTTATTAAATTCTTTTTGACGAAATTGTATAATATCATCTTTTTGTGTTGTTTTAATTTTCTGTTAACACTACAGGTGGTTGTGAAATATTGAATGAGTTTTTAATATATGTACTGGTATTTCCAATTTGTAGTTGACAGAATATTTTCTTAATAGCTTTAAACATTCATTAACGAAATTAATTTATCAATTTTACAAAATATTCGAATATTTTACATTTAAAATATTAATTTACACACTATTAATTGATTAACAATAAAATTCAATTATTCAAAAAAATTAATTTATATTAAAATTTTTATTTCATTCAATTCATTTATTAAAAATTTCAATTACTTTTATATACATACAATTATTTTTTTTAATTCAATTACATTAAATGTGATATATTATTTTTTATTTATTCAATTTAAAATAATGGAATAACTAAAGAAGATACAGGAAGTTTAATAAAAATATATATTCAGGTCACGATCAATGAGATCTGTAAAGGAAGACACGTGATTCGATTTTTATTCTCGATTTAACACTGTTAGTGGTAAGAATAATGTTGAATTTTTTTTTATTCCTTTTTTTTTCATTTTCATAATTCTATTTTCTTTTTTTTAAAGGAGAGATGCTTTTCCTACAACAGAAAAGAAAAAAAGAAAATATATCCTTAATGAATAATACTTGGGAACAAAATACCCGTAAGCAATTTAATTTTCACTTTGCTTGACGATATTTAATCGCGAGAAATGGAAAATAGTCTCGGTGTAAATTTTTCCTATAAAAAAAAGAAAAAAAATAGTTAATACTCCGGTGTGAGAGAAATGGAATTATAATTTAATTATAGAACTTTTTTTAATCTTAGGTTTTTTATTCTTCAATTTCTCCCATACCTACTGTATATTAATTATTAATTCACATATGAAAATGAAGATCATGTAAAATAGTCAAGAGTATAATAAAGTACATATCTTGAAAAAAAAAAAAAAAAATTAACGAGGTAAAAAAGATCGAGAAAGGATTCAGAAATTCTGAAAGTAAAAAAAAATAAGCGAAGGGAGAAAATTAAATTCTTTAGCGGTTAGGTATTAAAGTATTATTTAAAAGAGTTGAAAATGTGGAAAAAATTTCATTTCTAAAGAGTCACTTTCATTTTATTAAACATCTGCGAATTAATATTCAGTGAATGAGCATTTAAAAACAAAATTTTCTTCATTGTTTTTGAGAAAATAATATTACATTTAATATCAATTTTTAAAAAATAATTTTTGAATTTTTTCAAATAAATAATATTTATGTAAAATAATTAATTTGAGAATTTAAAAATTGCTTAAATGTTTAAATAAATAAAAATTAGTTTCAAAACTCTTGAAATTTTTTTTCAACTAATAGAAAATTAAATTAAATGAGTATCCTAGAAAATTTTTTTTTGATTCATCAAATTAATGGTGAATTCATGTGAGTTACTATTCTTCACTTAGTGAATAACTCTATTATCGTAAAAATTTCTTTAGAAAAGGGTGTGGATTAAATTGTAGGTATGTGTATATATATAGGGAATTACTATTGATTCTTTGTTATCATATAACTTGATTTTTTCAATTAGCGTAGATAAGTTGAAGATTAGAGATAATGTCTCTAAGATAATAAAACGATGGTTCCATAGTAATTAGTGCAGTCAACGATTTCTTCTAGTTCTTATGGTCATTCTCTTTCCACTTGTCGTACCTTCAAAGAAAGAAGTAAAAAAAATTATTTCCTTACAATTTCATTTGATTAATAATAAATGTTAGAATACATTTAAGACAAAAATAATTTTCCAATTTTATAAAATATTAATAGCAGTAATGGAAGGGACTGGAATTCTTAGTAATGTTCCAGTCAAACAGGATGGAAAGAAACTTTGGCAATATCTCGCTGCATCCGCTGGTAATTTTCAAACTTAATAAAGTTTTTCATTTATTTTTTTTTATTGTTCTTTATTTTTGTTTAAAATAATTTAATTTTCAATTTATTATAAACAAATAATAATTAAAATTGTTAAAAATTTTTTTAATAATTTTTTTTTTTTTAAAAAAGAAAAATATAAAAGATATAATAATTTTTTATAAAAACAAATTAACTAGTGGGAAAGAAAAAATTCTAAAACTTTGTAAAAAGTACACAATGGAGAAATAAAAAATCTATAAAAACAAATTATAATATATTATAATAATAAAATTAATAAATAAATTTGTAAATGTTTCTAATTTCTTGTGTAATATTTGTATAATAAAAATTTTATAATTTAAATAATAATAATAATGTCTTTTTTATTAATTTAACTCAAATTTTATGATAATTTTTCATTATTTTGTTGCAAAAAGTATAGAAATGCATTTTGACTTAATTTTGAGATCTCTTTATTTTTGTCATTCCAAATTCTTTGTTATATTTGTATAAAAATGTAATTATTTTGAGAAAGTTTTTCCAGAATGTTTAAAGTGTAGTGAATCACTGTGAATTTATTCTAATTACTGCAGCAATAATTATAATAAGTATCTTATTTATTAAAAAGTGTAATTTTATTTATTTTAAAAAATGAAAATTTTTTAATTAAAATTTAATCAATTATATTAGAGATTGGTTCAAAATTTTAATTATCTTGACATGAAAATAAGATATATATTAACTCTTTGAAGGATTTATTGTGAATTAAAAAAATTATTAAAATTGTTTATTGTCAGTGACTTTGAAATTCTTTTTTTTTCATAAACTAAAAACAAAACAGTGAAAGAAATCATTTATCTACTAATTGTGTAACAATAATCTATATATATAATTACTGTCTATCTTCCTCATATACTTGAGTTTATCCTTAGCAGTACTAGAAATTAAATATAAAAACACGATAATTAAAATGTAATAAAAATAATAAAAATTCAATTATTGAATTTACCAATCGAGATATTTTAATTAAACAAAAATTGATTTTCGATTTGGTTTTTTTTTTTTTAAAAAAAGATAATGTTTTAATATTGAAATATTGAATTTTTGTTCAAAGTTATAAATTTTTAAAACTACATCAATAAATTAATATTCAAATAAAATTAAATCATAAGTTACGTTAAATTATAAGTAACCTGAGATAATAACTTTTCTCTAAATTATTTATTTATTGAATAACGGGATAAGCCCCAATTAAATAAATTTATTTATTTTATAAATAAGTTAAATTATTTATAATAATACACTGAAAGACTTTTCGTTTGAAAAATTAATATGATTTGTTTGAAAATGAGGATAATTCTGTTTTTATGCGATTTAATCGTATGAATCGTGTTTAAGACAAATCATACCGAAAATTAGTATGGTCATATTAACATTCAGTATTATTTGGTTGAAAATTGTTACATTTCATACGACTAAATCGCATAAAAACAGAATTATCCTCATTTTCAAACAAATCATATTAATTTTTCAAACAAAAAGTCTTTCAGTGTAATAACAGAGTAGTGCAGGCATTTAGATTTAATTTTAGTATTTTCTTTTCTTTTGTAAATTTTTATTTTTCTACTACTTTTGTACGATTATTTTTATAAAAAAAAAATAAATATTTCATTTAAAATTATATTTTAAAAATATTAAATTGATATAATTTACAAACTAATTTTATAAAAAATCAAAAAATTTCAAAATTTTCTGATATTGTCTTTAAAAAACAAAAAAATTAAAATTCCAGCTTCAATTTTGGCTCTTGGCGTTGGCACCGTATTGGCATGGTCGTCACCAGTTTTTGATATGTTAAAAAAAGATGATTCATTTCTAAAATTAACAACATCAGAAGAATCGTGGATTGGCTCTTTACTTGCAATTGGAGCAATTGTCGGTGCTTTTCCAGCGGGAAAAATTGCCGATATTATAGGACGAAAAAAATCAATTCTTTCCTTGGCAGCACCATTTCTTTTGTCATGGACGATTATTCTTTTTGCAAACTCGGCAATTATTCTTTGTATTGCCAGATTTATTGCTGGCATTGGAGTTGGTGCTGCTTGTGTTTTGGTACCGACGTACATTTCTGAAATTGCCGAAGCATCGGCTCGCGGTACATTAGGATCAATTTTTCAACTATTTTTAACTGCCGGCATTGTATTTTCATTTCTCTTTGGAACACTATTATCTTACATGGGATTTACAATTATTTGTGGAATGGTGGAGATTGTCTTTCTCGCATGTTTCTTTTGGATGCCAGAGTCACCCGTTTGGTTGGTGGTAGGTTTTTAATTAATAAAAAAAATTTTTTTTCACTTTAATTATTTTCCTTCAATAACAATATTCAAAGAAGTATTTTTACTTTTGATGTTGTATTTAAAATTTTGTAAATTCTTTATCAAAAATTCAAAAGTAAATTAGTACCATATAACAAAATTTTTTGTCCCAACAAAAATAATTTTGTTATTCAAATTAATTTGTTACCACATGATAGATTTATCAAGTTACTTTTGGTATCATAGTACTTTGGAACCAGAATAGTAAAAAAAAACTTTATCACAATTTGGTTAAAAATTACTTTTTGTACCATGATTATAATAAGAATTACTTAATTTTGTAATTTTGTAAAATAGAAAAAAAATTATTTATTTTGAAAAACGAATTATTGCTTAATTTTTATTTACACATAATGATAGTAGAAAAATTGTAATTTGTTATAGCATGCTAAAATAAAAATGATTGAATTTTTTTTTTTTGAAAAACGAATTAATGCTTAATTTTTGTTTAAATAGGGTAAGAGTAGAAATCCAGAAGCAACAATTGCTATGACTATTTTAAGAGGAGACGTTTATGACCAGAGTGCCGAGTTAAATAGTATACAAAGAGAAGTTGAAGACTCCTCTTCAAGAAGAAGCTCAATATTTGATTTGATTGGCAGTGTTGCAGCAAGAAAAGCCACATTGGCTTGTTTAGCTGTGATGATCTTTCAGCAATTGTCTGGAATTAATGCCGTCATTTTCTATACAAGTCAAATTTTTAGCGATGCAGGAAGTGACATGGATTCGGGTTTAGCATCAATTTTAGTTGCACTAGTGCAGGTTATTAATTAATTTTATTTTTTTTTTTAATATTAATCATTATGAACAGTTAATTTCAAAAATAGATTTCGAATTTAATTAAAAATTGAATTGAATTGATGAAGTAATTTATAATTATTATGTAAAATAATTATTTGCAATTACTAATCAATATCGTTTAAAAAATATGTTGATAATTTAAAAAAAAAAATTCCAGATGATAATGGCTGGAGTAGCGGCTGGCATTGTAGACAAGGCTGGAAGAAAACCACTTTTGATGATTTCTTGTGCAGGATGTGGATTGAGTTTAATAGCAATTGGAGTTTATTTCTTTTTGAAAGATGAAGGAAGGGATGTCAGCACCTTGGGATGGATTCCACTCTCTTCATTAGTCATTTTCATGATTGCTTTCTCAGTAGGGTGAGTTTCAAAAATTTTTCTACTGGATAAAAATCATTTTCGATTAATAATTGATTTAATTTTTTTTACTACAAAAACTGTGGTAAAGTAATTTAGCAAAAGAATATAATGATACCAAAAGTACTATACTGATTTAATAGTACCAAATTGGTAGCAATACACAAAAAAATTTTCTAATATGTAATTATTTAATGAATATTTTTATATTCTTAATTAGAAAAATTGACATTTTTCTTTAAAGATTGGGACCAATTTCGTGGATGTTAATGGGTGAATTATACACTGTTGAATTAAAAGGAATAGCCACCAGTTTAGCTGTTATGGTCAATTGGTTTTTAGTATTTTTGGTAACTAGGACATTTTCCGATATGAGCAAAGCATTAGGATCAGCAACGACTTTCTGGATATTTGCTGGCGTCATGATTTTTGCGACAATCTTTACTCTATTCTTCATTCCTGAAACAAAAGGCAAAAGCACTGAAACTATTCAAAATGAATTAAACGGTATTAAAAGAACAAGGCCTGCATGTTAGTTTTAATAATATAATATAGGAATAAATTAAATTAATATTAATTATTAATTAATTATTATAAGTTAGCTGAAAATTTATTTCTTGAATATATAAATTTAAGGAAAAAATTAAGAATTTTTCATCTCTCATTGTTTATGTCATTATTATATAGAAAAATGTTTGTGTGACTTTTTTGCAATTTTTTTTTTTTGTACTTTTGAATTTAAAAAATCCATATCTAGAAAATCCTGGTATTCTCTCTGCAGTTAATACCTTGTAATGAACTTTTAAGTGATTTTAAAACAAATATCCTTGCGATAACAAAAGCTACCGATATTTATCGTTTTATCAGTTTTATTTACAATTTGACTCAATGCGATTATATTTGTGTGTGTGTAATGTATAATAATTTTGTAATATGTACAGAATTTAATTTTTGTATAATGAGTATATGCGAGTATTCATTTTTATTATTTATAATATAATAATTCATTAATGAAAAATCTCGAAAATTATTTTTAAAAATATCATAAATTACTCACGAATCGTTATACGATTATTTCGATAATAAACAATAATTTAAAAAAATTTGTAATATAGAAAATTTACCAATAATTAATAATAAAATTAATAATTAATAAAAAAATGAAATTAATTTCAAGTTTGTCAGATAATTTTGTATAAAAATTAGCAATAAATAATGTGTATTTTTAGAATTTTAATTTATGAACTTATATATATATATATACTTTTTCCTGAAGTGGGAATAATAAATTAAGTTGTCAACGATTTTCAATTAGGAAGTAATACGAAAAATAATTACTTAAAATTAATTAAATTAAAATAAATTAAATTAATTACTTGAAAATAATTTATTATAGAAATATTACTCTTTCAAAATTGTAAAAATTACTTTGTATATATATACACCGAAAAAAAAATATTCTTGTATTCAGAGGAAAATTCCTCTTACAGAATCCTCTTGAATTTTATTCTTAAAACAAGAGTATTACTCTTTAAATGAGAATATTTTCCTCTAATTTCAAGAGGATCGAAACAAAAGGACTATTCTAGAGCATTCCTCTTATATTCAGAATAATCTTTTTAGAATAAAAATAATGCTCTTAGAATTTAGAATAATCTTCTATGTTTAAGAATATTCCTCTAAATTCTAAGAGGATTTCCCATTGAAAGTCGCTCATGCGCAAATATGATTGCGTCATATCATTTACGTCGCGTCATAAATCGCATATCATGCGTGAAAAAGTTTTAGTTTCTGTGTGAAAAAATGTGAATAAACCAAAATGGATAATAAACTTTTAAATATCTTGATAGAGTTGCAACTTACACAATACGTGCCTATTTTTGAAGGTAAAAGAAATTTTTTAAAGTAATTTTTAAGAAAATTTAAATAATTTTGAGGTTATGCTATTTAAAAATTTATTTTATTACGATTTTTATTTAGTTTCATTTTATTTGAAAATTTATTTAAAATAAATTTTCAAATTTAATGAATTATTTGTTTTTTGCATAAAAATATTATTAAAAATAGATTTAGTTGATTTATTCCAAAAAATTAAAATCAATTTCAATTTATTTATACTCAAATAGATGTAAATCATGGAATAACAAATTTTATTCCTTTTAATTTTATAGATTATATCTATGACATACAAATTAGATGATTGCATTTTTATTATTTCAGAATTCTTTTTAAGATGATATTTTCCTCTTAAAATAAGAGTATCCTCTTAAATTAAGAGAAATAATTTTACATAGAGGACAATCCTCTTAAACCTAGAGGACATCCTTTTGCAGCATATACTAGAGGAAAATATGCATTGAAATAAGAGGAATCCTCTTGAAACAAGAGAATTTTTTTTTCGGTGTATCATTGACTTATTAGTAATAAATCAGGTCTAGAGCAAATGATAAGAAGTTTTTCTAAGATGCAAGGTGATTATAAAGAATTCACCTTTCCATTAACAATGTTTACTTTACACTTATCTATCGATAATTAATTACAATTTATATAAATTTAATGTTTGAATTATATTCCAACACTGCGCAGTTTAAATGCATAATTTATTCAACTGCGAAAATAATTTTAATTCTTCAAAATTTTGCTAAGATTAGAAAATATTTTTATAAAAAAATTTTAACCCTTTTTAATTTTCTTTTTTAACAATTTCTTAATATTTATCAGTATTCCGATTTTTCTTATTGTTTTTATTTTAAAAATAACTGCAAATTAGTAAAACACTTTTTTAAGTGAATAATTGTGTTTAACATTTATTTTTACATAACAATATACGTATATATGTTTATGAGATGATAGATATTGTTGACTTCTTGTTTTTACAAATTATTATATATGTGTTGTTACTTCCGTTCCAGGAAATAGTCGACAAAAATTAAAAAAAGCAATTATGCAAAAAAAAAAAATGTTTGAAAAAATTTAATTAACTAAAAGAAATTTAAAGTATTAAAAAAAAATATTTCAAAAATTCGAATTGTTACAAATATCTTAATGAAAAATAATTACATTTATTGACATCAATAATTATTAAAAATTAGGTAATCAGAATAATAAATAATAGAAATCAAGATTATGTGAAATTCTTTTTTTTATCGCGGATGATGAAATATTAATAGAGTAACTGTGTGAAAATACACAGGTAAATTTTTTGATAAGTAATAAAACAGAAAAAAAAATTGGGTTAACACTTTATTAATATATAAAACAGGAGCGGATTCAGACAAGATTTTTTTAGAAGAGGGGGGGGGGGTGGTTGATATTAACAAAAATTGAATCCAGATATAATGTTATCTCTTTGTCTCTCATAAAATTTATATGAAGCTTTTGGGAAGGTGGCCAAATATTTGTGCCCCCCCTGGATTAGCAACTGATATGAAGTTAATAAAAACGTCGGTTATAATCATTTTGCGAATTAGTTTGACAATTTTATTCTTGATATTAAGTTACAGTGATTATAACCACGTAAATTTGTGTTGGTAATTATGTCTTATTATTTTCTATTAATATTAATAATTATAAACTTTGTTTTTTTTTATGAATTTCATATACTTAGGGCCGGTTTCACCAACTATGGTTAAAAGTTAATCAGCGATTAAAGCCAATTTAACCGCTCATGATTGGTCGGTTAGGGATTTAATCGCTGATTAACTTTTAACCGGAGTTGATGAAACTGGCCCTTAAAAATTTAAATTCTTAAATTTTTTCAAATATTAAACAAATTTCAGAACGTATATTTTAATACAAATTTTATATAAATTTTACATGATAATGGAGAGAAATTCATAAATTAATTCGAACAGATGCAAAATACACTCTGAAGTTAAAATTTGCATTTAAAAGGATTTTTATTAGATAGAATTTTCTTTTAGTTGCATTTTCATTTTTCGTGTTCAATAATTAAATTTAAATTAACTCAAATGTTTATTTAGCAGAATTTTCATTTTAAAAAATTTTTCTTTAACCAACTTTTTTGTTTTAGAAGAATTTTAATTTAATCAAATTTTCAAAATGAGTATTTTGCTAAATTAAAATTCTGATTAGAATTTAAAAAAAAATTCGACTAAAAGAATATTATATCTAATAAAATTCTAACTTAATGAATTTTTATTGAAGCGTCTCAAAATTTGACTAAATATTGTCTGATGAATTTTCTTATAAATATACTGATTTTTTTTTTGGAAGTTATAATAATATGTTATTAAAATTATTGTGCATCGTTATTGATTGTCACGTGCGGATCTAAAGAGAACGCAAACAAATTAAGAGGTTGATTATCTTTAGTGACGTAAAACTGAGATGAGTGCTTTTTAAATGGATGAACGACTTTTCCATCAGGTAATGCGTCCTCTCAAGCTATTGTCAAAGTAACCCTGATCAAATTACAATCGCGATTTTATTAAATCCAAAAGTGAAAAAGAGATATTACTGAAATTTTGACTTTTTTATAGAAGAACTAATTTTTCCAAGGTGACTAATTGAAAATTATAATTTTAAAAATTAAATAAAATGAGTGATAAAAAAATGTTTCATATTCCACATAAAGACGTTTTTTTAATCCTAATAAATAAACTTTTTTTTTAATATTCTATATCATGAAAAATTTTTATTTTCCTTTTTTTTCACCTTGAGATAAAGGAATTCATAGGAAAATAAAATATACGTGAACTGTATATATAAAAAGATTATATTAAGTGACTAATTTAAAATTTTTATTTATTTCACTCTGTGACGTTTATATACATATATATGAAGAACACTTCATTAACTTATTTTAATTCGCGATTGGAATATTGAAAAAAAGGAAGGTAAAAGTCGTCAACAATATCCTGGGTTACATTTTTACTCTATTTCATTAATATTATATTATTGGTCTGAAATGAAAAAACAACAACTGTTAATTAATATTTATATATATATATATTAATTAATATTATTATTGTAGAAAATAATTAATATTCATTTTATTGAAATTTAACAACTTTCTATAAAAACAGTTTATTGATAAAATGTACTTAAAAAATAATATCATAGTTCATTTTTTGTCCCTGCGATTAATATCTTTAATTACTAATCTTATTTTCAATTAATTATTACTTTAATTTATTTTGATAAAAGTTCTTGACCAGAACAACATTTTTTATCAATATAAATTCTTATAGATTTACGTCAATATTTTATTTCAACACAATTGAATTTATAATAAAATGAGTAAATTATTTAAATGCATTGTGGGAACACATTTCCAATTTTTGAAATTCTTTTTTTGCATCTCTGTTTAAAATTTTAAAACTCTGATTTCCGGAATAATTTTTCTATTTCAATCCGCAGTCAATTTCCGATTGTCAATTCTTGTTATGTTAGTCGAAAAATATTAAATCATTTTATTCTTATTGAATTAGTTAAAAAAAAATTAACTTAGAGATTATAAAGTTATTTTTCTCAGTGTAAAAAATATTACTAATATGTATTTTACTGATAAATATTGAATTTGCCATTAGTACTAGCGAAAAGAAAAATCGTCACTATTCACTGTATTTACAATAGATATAGAATAAGAATGTATAAAAGCTTGTTCCGGTAAGAAAAGAAATAATATGTAACGTCTGTTAATAAGAATTAGTTTTATTCTAGAGAAGTATTATTGACTCATTCATTTTTCTATGAAATTAACTTATGTTCCCCCTTCAATTTATTTATATTTGCAAAAAAAAAAAAAAAAATTCAGAAAGTTTGTCTTCCTTATCTATTTTAACTTTATATAACAAAAGTTTTCTCTAAAATAAAAAAAAAAAAAAATTTTCTTTAAAAAAACAATTTAAAAAATTTTTAAATCATTGATTTATTAATAATAATTTAAAATTTATTTTAATATAATTAAGAATTTTATATAATTTTTAATACAATATAATTTAATAAATTATTCTAATTATTAAACATTTTCAAATTTCTCTGAAATGAATTCATTTTTTTTCTCAATTTTAATTTTAAATATTGCACATTATGTGAATATTATCATCATATATAATTATGATTTAATTTTTGTCAAATTAAATTTTTAATTTATAAATAAGAGTAAGAATGCGCGTGTATAATGAAATGCAGAGTGTTCTTGATAGTACGTTATAAAGTTGAGGTATTAAAAATTCGGATCGAGTAGATGATTAAAGACAGTAGTGAATAACTGCAGAACAATTAGTTAGAAAAGAAGGTCATTTCGTGGGAAAGAAACAAACATGAAACGAATAAAAAAAAATTCCATTTTTACACTTTTTTTTTTTCTTAAAGATGTATATCTCTTGTTGCCAACAAATATGATGTTTTTTGTTCTTTTTGATAATTCCTATTACGATGAGATGATAATTATAATAAATATATTTTTAGTTATATATAATTAAATAAAATAAATAACTTTATTATCAATTTAAATAAATTATAAATATAAATATATTCAAATTTTAATAAATAGCTATAACTATAATTAAATAAACAAATATTACTAAAATTTAAATAATACTACAAAAAAGCGAAAATGTAATTTTTTTTTTGACATATACAAAAATTATATTAAAAAAATGCTATTTTTTCAAGAAATGACAAAAAAGCTCTTGGAGGATATAAAAAAAGAGCAAATGGAACAACTTTCAGAAAAAAAATATAAAAGCCTTAGGAGATAGAAAGATAAAAAACTTATATGCTTCCATACTCACTTTATTTTAGGCCCTCTGATAAAATAAAAAAAGATTTAGTTCCATCACTCCTAGGGGGAGAATGATATTGGATTTTTATGGAAACATAAATTGCAAATGTTTCAATAAATGACAAAGTATTATGTTACAAAATATTACCATTATTTATGTTTCAAGAATTTTTTTTAATTTTTCTAAAAATTATAAATATTTTTTGAAACCCCAAATTAAAAAAGAAAAATTGTTTTGAAATTAATTTTAAAAAAATTGGATAGTGTATTTTGAATTATAATAATTAATGAAATGGAGTAGGTAAATGGAAAATTAGTTTCGTTTATTCGTTAGATAATTTTTGAAAGAAATATATATTATATTAATATATATGTTCGAAAGTTATCAATTTTAATTTTTTTTTTTGGCATGTCCGATGGCCTACTTCTAGATAAAATATTATAAGAAAGTGGTATTAATATTACTCAATGAATGAATAATTTCCATATCATATGTATAAAAAAGCAAAAATATCTGCGATATTATATATATCAAGGCGCCAAGTAAAAAGGAAAATCAGACATTTGGTACACGATAATTATGACACAAATTACAAAACGAGTCTATTTTGTTATATTGAACTTGACCTTCCAAGAGTATATGAAAGGCGTTAATTATACAAATTATAATAAAAAATTGTTGAAAAAAAAATACACGGGACTGACAGAAATTACACAATCAAAATTTTTGTAAAATTGAATTTAAATTGTAAAATAAACAGATTTCTCATTTTAGAAAAAAAGAAAAATATTCTACTGGAATATATAAGAAATATTACATAGTGTGATTAAATAAATAAATATAAATATTCCTAAAAAAATAATTGGAAAAAAAAATTTGACAAGACAAATATATTTACCTATATTTTTTAAATAAAAAAAAATGTCATTTTTTCCTATTAAGACTCTTATATAGCAAAGCGAAATTTCCCTTTTTAAGTAGAAAAGTCAGTTTTCGACAAGACCAACTTTATTAAGTAGAAAAGTCGGTTTTAAGGAGAACGAAATTTTAAGTTTTAAGTAGATAAAATATTGTCAGAGATAAAATTAATTTTTTTTCTGCAAAAAAAAAAAAAAAAAAAATAAGTAGGAAAAATTCTTCTTTCACCAAAAATTTTAGAATTTGAAATACTGCACTAAAAATGGAACGTACCTAAAAAAAAACATAATTTTCATTAATCAAAAGATTAAAAAATAACAAGAAGAGTACAAAAATATGAAAAGTAAAAATATACAGATTTGTTAATAGACAATATTTACAATTTCAAGTCTATAAATTTCATCTATTGAAAAACTTTAATTTATTATGTGGGAAATATGAATGACAACATTGTGTAAATTTGCGTACAAACAATTAGGAAATATATGTTGAAAAGAAATTTATCTTCCAACATGAAAGTGAAGATAAAATTTTGTAAAATACAACTGTCATAGAAATTTTTTCGAAAAAAAGAAAAAAATTTTATTACGTACAGAAAAAAAACGTGAAAATTTATCATCGCGAATTAAGACTGTAAGATATTTGAAAAAAAAAATGAAGATAACAATATTTTATTTACCAACGCCTATATATAATATACTTACAGTACATGAACTCAACCTTTGATTTATGCTTAATATTGCAAAATTGGAGGATTGGCAAAAGATATAAATACGTCATCGTATCAACGTAATTATTTTGCGATAATGATTTATCGATAATTATGATCGTCATCAAGGCGTTATATATGATATAATTTTTTTTACTAAATACCTTTCGTACACATTTTTCTGTTATCAGTAATGTATAAATAAATAAATAAATAAAAAATTTATCATAAGCTTTTATAATAAGTGAGAGAAAAATTATATAGTTTATTCTTATTTCAAGAAACTATCAATTTTACCAAAAAATTGATCAAAATAATTATTTAATAAAAAAATTTGCGAATATTAATTTAATGGAAAACTTTTTTTATAGTAAAAAGAATTATGTATAGGAAAATTAAAATTTTGTTTTGATTTAATTATATTTTCTCCATATTTCCAAATGGAGAAAATATTATCTTTTCATTATTTTGTTGACTATATATTATAGGATAGACTTTGTTCCCCTCATATAAATAAAATAATAATCATTTGATTAACAAATCAATTATATATATATATATTTATTTTAGTTTTGAAAAAACTTCAAAAAACAATTAATAATTTTCAACAACTTAAATAATTTTTATTTGTCTCAGAATTAAATTTAATTGATTCAAATAAAATTAAATAAAAAAGAGGAAGAAACAAATAAATAATTATTTAAGACAAATTTATTTATATTTAATTCAAATATACTGAATTTGACAAGAATAAAAAATTTCTCTAAATGTATACTTATTAATGTTTTTGTGAATTAAAAATATGATAAATTGATAGAAATGTTAATGAATGAAAAGTTCAATGAACTTTAATATTTTTGATTGTGAGTAAAAAAAAATAAATGTTTACTGGATGGCAAATTTTTTATGATATTTTCTAGTGGCAAGGCCGGTGAAAAAAAAAACTATAAGCAACAGGGTCCGCGTATTTGTGAAGTTGTAATGACCCCCACCAATCGTAACGATGAAATAGAGGGGCAATATAAAGAGTATGTCTACAGCCCTGTACCAGTAAGTTCGACTTCGGCAGTGCACCTTCCTACCACCACCCTCACTAATTTTCATAAAACCAATACCAGCAACGAGTCCCAGTGCGTTAATTATAATAAAGGTTATCATCATAATTTTCAAGCAGAAATGGCAGAAAAGGGTTCAAAATTTCTTCAATACCTTGCTGCCACTACTGGTAAGTTTACAAATTACAGACAATTTTACAAAAATAATCTTAATCGCATATAAAAATATTATTGTAAATTTTATAATAAAAAAATATATATATAAATTTTATAATAATTTTTAAAAATTTTATTTAATATTTTTATAAAATAATTTTACATTAACAATTAAAATAACCATCAAACAAATACCATTTAATTGACTCGAATAAAAATTATTTGGTTCAAGTAAATATTTATTTGATAATATTCAAGTAACCAATTATTTGAATCAAATAAATTTTTTTTTTCAATGTACTTATTTTTAACTAATTTAAATTTAGAGAGTATTAGCATTCATATTCAAATAATAATTGTAACTAATCAATCATTGATTGTAATTGTAACTACCATTGATTATAATAATTATTGTCTATATATAATTATTTGAATGCAATCATTTTTTATTATAAAAATTAATTTTTGAAAACATTAATTATATTAATATATATCTCTTATCAATAATTGAAATTACCAATATTTAATAGTATCAGTATAATTAAAATTATCAATAAACTAAAAATTTCTATATAAATAATAAAATTTAATCGTAAACTTTATTACCACAAAATTGTTAATTTAATTCTTCTATTTTTGTTTTATTCATTTAATTAAAACTACCAAGAAAATTGTTATAACTTTTTTTGGCTAAAAATTTTTTTCTAAAATTCCTCGTTAAACGGTTCATTATTGCTTAATTTAATTTCAAATTCAATTTATTTTCCTATATATCTCCTATGTATAAAATGTGATAACAATTTTATAATTAGATATAATATCTACGTTTTACAATAATTTATGCCTTATTTAGTCAATGATTTAAATTTTTTTTACGTTTAATCAAGTACTTTAAATGGATCATATTTTTATGATCTTATCTTTCTTAATAGATATACATACAGAATAATAAACGTATATATAAATATAATATTTCAAACTCGCTATATATAATAGTTTTCATAAAATACAATTTTTTTTTGCTTAAATTTTTTTTAATTATGCTGTATAGTGAGGAAGGAAATCTATTTTTCCAATATGTTAAGCAAGAAAATTTATAAGGGTCGTTTAACTTTGATAGAGAATCAGTGAATTAATTATACTCATTTTGTGTTTCAATATATTATAATAGATTGTGACAGAGATTTATCGACGTATTTGATTTTACATTTGACGTTATAAGAAAAAAGAAAAAAAAAGAATTACATTCTTTACGGTGAATTATAATTACAAAACGTAAATCGTGTACAAACAAAATAAAATGTGTTAAATAATTTTTATATGTTTTATAGTAAAAAAAAGTTTCAATTTATTGTTTGGTTAAAAAATCAACCGCAAATATATTATAACAGTGCAATCTATATTAAATTAAGTAAAATTTGGTTAAATTAATGAATTAGTTGTTAATTATATGTAATTAATTATTTAAGGATAAAAATTTGTTTCATTAGATCAATCAAAAATTTTCTTTGAATTATTACTAATAATTATAGTAACTATAGATATAAATGTAATTTATTAAAAATGACTACCAACTAAACTCATAATTTATTATTGACGAACTAAATATTTTGTTGTCAAAATAAAATCAGAGTTTCTACAATAATTTCTCTTCGCGAAATTCCATGATTTTTCCATAATACTTTAAAACTCACTATAAATATAAATTATGACGAATTAAAATACTGAAAATGGGTCATTTTCAACGAACGTGTAAATTCGAGTCTTAGATCATGGAATTGAAAAATTTGCATGATATGATCAGAAATTCCATGATTCCATGATCCAAAATGAATTTCCATGCCATTTCCATGATTTCCATATTTTCCATGATTTGTAGAAACCCTGAAAATATTTTTAATAGTAATTAAATTGAAATATTGTCATATACAGGAAGGTAAATAATTTATGTGTTTCAAATAATCACGTATTTTTGCAATGACTGATTCCATATACGTATAATCGTATAATGATAATTAAACAAATTTTTGAAAATAAGAAAATTAAAATTAAATTATAACAAAAAAGTGGAATAATTTCGTGAAATTTTGGTAAATATTTTATATCGTGTATACTTTATTTTTTTATTTCTTCTGACAAAAGCGAGAACTTGTTGTCAAAGGAATAAATTGCAATTCAAATTCCTACACATATATGCTTTTTCTCTTCTCTCGTTTCAAACGTAATTCAATTGACCAAATTACTGGATCCATTGCTATACAACAATAGCAATCATTATTATATTCAATCTAAAAATATTTTTTGAGTCATTCCATTATATTTCGAACAATGTCGTTGCCGACTAATTTTTAAAAATTATGATACTTTGCAGGAATGATCTTGAAGTTATAAAGATCACGAAATGAAAAGATTTTTACTAAAATTTTTATTATTTACTTTAAAATATGAATTTAAAGTGTACGAGGTGCTGAAAATTGACATTTTTTCAGATAGCAGAAAATATTCGAAAAAACCTATAATTTACCATAAAAGTGTGAAAATTATTATTGCAATTTATTAAGAATGACTAAATTTACTTTTATAAATTGATTTAAGCATTTAAAGATATGAAATAATAGGAAAAACATGATTTTCAATTTCATCTTAAAAATAACCTAATTTTGCTATTTTTATCGATTAATTATGAGAAAGGGTAAATATTAAATTAAAAAAAAACTTACCAAATATCAAGTCATTGCTATTAACTTTCAGATTTTCTTTGTACTTTTTAATTTTTCTCTTTATTTATATAAAAATTTTGAAAAAGAAAATTGCCACTTTGCTAATTTTTGCGATTTTTGAAACTGAATAACTTGTTTACAGTAAAACGGAAAAATCTGGGATTTTGGGAGTATTTAAATATACACTAAATAAACATACTCCAAAAGTCTTGCGTTGGTTTTTGAGCTATTTTGTAAGATAAAGCGGATCGAAATTTCATTACTTTTGAGGCTATATTGACAATAATTTGTTCTTAACTTGAAGTTGGCTCGCAAGTGTTGTCATTTAATATAAACAAATATGAATTTATTACAAGACACGACACTTGCGAGCCAACTTCAAGTTAAGAACAAATTATTGTCAATATAGCCTCAAAAGTAATGAAATTTCGATCTGCTTTATTTTACAAAATAGCTCAAAAACCAACGCAAGACTTTTGGAGTGTGTTTATTTAGTGTATATTTAAATACTCCCAAAATCCCATATTTTTCCGTTTTACTGTAAACAAGTTATTCAGTTTCAAAAATCGCAAAAATTAGCAAAGTGGCAATTTTCTTTTTCAAAATTTTTATATAAATAAAGAGAAAAATTAAAAAGTACAAAGAAAATCTAAAAGTTAATAGCAATGACTTGATATTTGGTAAGTTTTTTTTTAATTTAATATTTACCCTTTCTCATAATTAATCGATAAAAATAGCAAAATTAGGTTATTTTTAAGATGAAATTGAAAATCATGTTTTTCCTATTATTTCATATCTTTAAATGCTTAAATCAATTTATAAAAGTAAATTTAGTCATTCTTAATAAATTGCAATAATAATTTTCACACTTTTATGGTAAATTATAGGTTTTTTCGAATATTTTCTGCTGGCTGAAAAACTGTCAATTTTCAGCACCTCGTACACTTTAAATTCATATTTTAAAGTAAATAATAAAAATTTTAGTAAAAATCTTTTCATTTCGTGATCTTTATAACTTCAAGATCATTCCTGCAAAGTATCATAATTTTTAAAAATTAGTCGGCAACGACATTGTTCGAAATATAATGGAATGACTCTTTTAGTAAAATTTTTTTATTTCATGATATAAAGAATTTATGCAATATATAAATATTTTAAATGTATACAATTTCAGAAGGAAATTTTAATTATGAATTTTGTCTTACATTTGTTTTTTTTTAATTATACAAGTTGTTTTTATATAATTGCACGTGCAAAGGAATATAAAATATTTAACTAGAAAGTTTTAATTATTGATTTTTATGCTTCGAGTGAGATGATACAATGATGGTGATACTAAATTAAAAATTGTGAAAATTTTAAAATTAGCCATATTGATAGTTTTATGTGAAAATTAATTTGGAAGCTTTCGCGCCTTTAACAAATAAATATATTATTGCTGATCTTTCAGAGTGATAATTCAGCAATCATTGACAAATAAGGTGTGGATGTGAAAAAAACGTTTTATTACGTGTGAATTATCTCACACAATATCCCATATATATTTAACTTTTATTTCGAAAAGAAAGTAGTTCAAAAATCTCAATGTAAATTTTGTAAGAGAACAAATTTATAAGAAATTAATTTAAATTGCTGTAAAAACCATTAAATTTTTTCCAAATTGCATATATCTATTTGAAATTAATTATTTATATTTTATTATTCAAATGTTTTTACTGTATAACAAGATTTACATAATTTAAATTTTCTATTTATATATCACTAATGTAAAATTTCAATAATTTTTGAAAAAATCAAGGTTTATTTTCAGTTACATGATTAGCTGCTTGAATGACCGTATAGCGATTAGTCGTCATTCAAACACACCTCCAATTGTTTATTGAATTCTTTTTTTAGAAATTTCACGTATACATGTTCCACAACGTGATACGTTTTGATATAATATATGAGACCACAAATTTAATTCATGTAAACATTTCAGGTATATTGTTAAAACATATATAATTTTTTAACGTTATATTATAAATCTCGATTTTAAAAAATTACTAAAATTACTATAATTATTTTTTTAAATATCAATGAAATTTTTCATTAAATTATTATATTTGTTGTATTTTAAAGAGTTTGTTTATTTATTTAATTTTTGGTTCTTGTCGAAATAATTTATTTTCAATCACTAGAAAAATAAAATAATAATTGGTAATTTAAATTAATAGTGCCCACTCTCTAAATATAAATTAGTAAAAATGTTAACTAATTTTATTTAGTGACAATGATAAAGTAATCTAAAATTT